CTCTCGGTATGCGTCTTGCTTGTCACCATCAAAACTGCCTTGGTTCTATTGTTACCCTCGGAGAAGAAGAAGAATCCGGTAGAAACTCATTCTTGATTCTTTAATTCACTTCGTCTTCTAATTTTTTCCCCCTTTTTTAGCTGTCAATCAAAGCAACATGGTGAGGAACAGTGCATCCAAAAAGGTAAATCCATAAATGAATGGAGTTTTAACCGGGTCGGGGTCTAGGATCTGGGTTTTATAAAGATTTGTGATAATATAATTAAATTTTCATCTGGGTTTTGCTTTGCTCTTTCAGATCTGACACGGATTATCAAACATAAATAAAAGAGAGAAGAATGTGGAATAATATTTGAAAACTACATTGTAACTGACTTGATTACAAAATAAAGGATAGACACCATATTTATAAGCATGTCTACACTAATGGATAAAAACTACTCTTGATGATAAAAATTATTTTTGATAATTAATAAATTAAGTATGTCACTAAAGTAGATTTCTATCACTAAAATAGATCCTAACTTCACTATTTGATGATTATCTTTAATATCCTCCCTCAAACTGAGTTGGGATTGGAGACTCAGTTTGCTTTGATTGCGTTGACGGCTTTCTCATCCTTCAAAACAGGAGTAGTGAAAAACTTGTAGACCACCATCGTGACTCTTGCTATGTGTTTGGACTGCTTGAAATTTTGTTGCTTGGTTAGATTGTGGGATGACAAGTCAAAACTCTTCTTTTGAGAGAAGATGACTTTTGCCATATTGGGAATTTTTGTAAATGTTAGATTGGTGTATGACAAGTCAAAACTCCTTTTTTTCTTGGAGAGAATCTGACTTTTGTCATAATGGGAATTTTGTAGAGTGACTCAGAGGTGTCTTTCTTTTTTGTCTGAACTTTGTGGATCAACTAAAGTTAATTTGTGAAAGGAAAAAAAATAAAATAAAAATTTGGTTCAATGGATTGATTTGTGAAAGAGTAATGGGAATTTGGACATTCTTGAGAGAATCAAATTGGAGTATAGAATTAGTAGTGGAGAGGAAGACAAAATAGTGATTTAGGTTGAATTTGAAGTAACATGACACAAATGCTATATTATGAATGAACATGATCAAGAAATCATGTATTTTTTTTAAAAGAAAAAATAGTGAGCGGAAGCAAAGAAACAATATTTTTTTATGGTAAAAAAAAAAAACAGTAAGCAGAAGCAGGAAAGAACATGCTCTGGTACCAAGAAGAAAAATAAGAATTCTAAAAACATAAATAAAAGAGAGAAGAATGTGGAATCATATTGAAGCTTACATTGTGACTGGCTTGATTACAAAATAAAGGGTAGACACCATATTTATAGGCATGTCTACACTACTGGATAAAAACTACTATTGATGATGGAAACTATTTTTTATAATTAATAAATTAAGTCTATCACTAAGTAGATTCCTATCACTAAAATAAATCCTAACTCCACTACGTGATGATTATCTTTAATATTTAGTACTTGTTCATCATGGATTTGCCTTTGAAAGTCAGCAATTTGTTAGTTTAGGATCCATTTGTTATGGTTTCACTACCCATTTCCCATGGGTTAGTATCTTTTGGATGATTTTGTACTTGTTATCTTCATATATGAAAACCCAGTTTCTAAGGATTTTTTAAATATCCAGATCATCAGTTTTGCACTTATTCATGAGTTTACTTATGGATTTGGGTCATTTGTTAGTTTAGGATCCATTTCTTATGGTTTCATTATGATCCTAACCTATTTTCCATGGGTCAGTGGATATTTGGATGATTTTGTGCTTGTTCTCGTCATTTATACACACTCTGTTTTCGGGTCAAATTCTTTTCCAAGATCTCTGGTAATATAATCATATTTTATTGCATTCATAATTGTGTTGAAGCGCCTTTAGATCTGGTTTGACTCACTTTTTTCCTCGTTTTTCTTGATTCTTAAAGCGCACTTAGGTCTGGTTTGACTCACTTTTTGTTTTTTCGTTTTTCTTGGTTCTTGATATTTAATGATTATGATTGAAGAAGACTAATGATGACTGTAGCCGTTCTAAGATTGATGAAGCCAAAATAGCTGACGTTGAAAGCAACAAGGTACAGTAACTTTACCTTGGATTATTTGATTGATGAATTTGTTTTAATTATTCAGAATTGTTTTTCTTTTTTACCGTCCAAGAATTACATCATTTGGATCAACTTCAACCTGCGATAACGATATTGAAAAAGAACAAAAAGAAGACCTTTGCCCTTAGGGATCACAATGCCTCTTCTTCTACCGAAGAACTAGGATTAGAGGAAGAATTGGGATTGACAAAAATTAGAATTTCAGAGTTTCATTTCAATACACAATTATTCGATGATCTCTTTTACAGACCCTATAGATTATTTATAGTCCCACACATTTCAAGACTACAATTAAGTCCCTTAACTACAGAATTGAGGCAGTCAAAACCCTCAATTCATGACATGCTAACTTCATATGCCTACAAGCCTCTGGGCTCATAATCTTAAAATGAAAACTATTTTTACTTTTAGACATGAACATTCAATTATTTAGGCATACAGACTAACACAACAACAAATCCACTTCATATATAGGAGTAAAATCACAAAAGATTCTCATCTCTCATAAACTCGATTCTAATTGAATTGTAAAAAATAATATACTTCTTCTATTATATTTTTTTGAACAGGATGAGCTTAGAGGTATATCTCCCTTTTATAAGAAAACTACGTCAAGGAGGAAGGTATAAGCCTAGCATTTGCTGAAGAAAACTAAATATATCAAGGGACTAAAAACTCGACTAATTCTTATATAAGACATTGAGCATTTATCAAATCGGAATAGACCCTTAAACCTTGTCTGCATGAAAGAGTTTGTGAATCGCCCACACAAATGTGATCTTTGCTTCCCAACTTGACCAAACTATCAATTACTGTGTATACTTTGCGATAATCGATAGATATTTCGTATTGTAAATAGAAACAAACTATTGAGATAATGTTATATATGAGAGTTATTGTCTATGAGCAAATTGTTAAAACTGTGGTTGCTTGTTCTACACTTAAGTCTAAATTAGTTTAAAACTTATTAGATGCTATATTCGGATCAAATACCAAAAGCAAATTTATTCTCTTTCCATTAACTATTTTATTGTTAGATATTTTTTTTAATCAAAGTAGCTATATGGTTTACATCAATGTCAATGTGCTAAAATACTTGCAATTCTTTAAGGTAAGAGAGACTTTATACAATAAGCGGGACATTATTAGACAAAATTGACCGTCAATTTTTTCTCACGAATAAATCCACCACTTGAAACATAAACCAAAATCTTATTGGTTATTACTTTCTCTTTTGGATTTTCATGATTCCCACAATCATTCCCAAAGATGTTGCTACTCATGCTTCAAGGACGTCTAACCTTTCCTGCCTTACCAACATCAATTTGTTTCCATATTTGATTGCAGTTACACCTTATGGTATCTGTAATTTTGATTCAATTTTCTAGAAATCATGTTCAGTAAAAATAACGGTTCTCCAGATACATGCGTCATGCATTCACCTGGAGAAAAGATTAAGTATATACTTTTGATATAACCATAAAAGTAATAATTTGTTTGTAGATTGATGGGATTCAGTGGATTAATATTGAAGAATGTGGACGTTTTGTAGGAAAACGTAAAAGAAAGGTACAAAAAGAAAAACTAAAAGAAAATTTTTGAGGCTATCAGAGACATTCCTATATATAAGAGACCTTTTCATGTTAGGAATAACTGGCAAGATGATATGTAAGACTACAAAGCAGAACTGTAAAAGAAAATGGTATTTAGGGTGGAAAAGAAAAAACAAATATTGTCATTTTCCCCCTTTGATATAAAAGAAAAAATTCTAATAAATAATGTCTTTATATTTATTTTATTTGTTATATATAAAAAGTGTATCATCATTTTGAGACGGAAGTAATAATTGATTTTGATTATTTCGTCTTGGATATCTCTTTTTCTATGGGCCATCACGTACTAATGTTGTCTGCTAATCAATCATTTAACCGCATGCTAAATCGCAAGCATTACCAATTATTCCATGTGATTTGTCCGCTACTAGTTATTCCCAGATTAGAGTCAAAAGTTGATTTACACTCTCTCACATGTTGCAATAAATGCCAAAACCTCTAGATTTTCTGTATCAATTATATGCCAATAGTTGATTGGTAGTATTGACATACTAGTTTTATAAGTTTTTTTTCAATAAATTAGTCCGGAATTTCAAAAACAAATGATAAAAATATTATACAAAACACAATACATCCCTTTTACCCTATTAAAGCAGAAGACATGAAGCTTATGTGGCAACTAAGTATGCATCTGTTTTGGCTCCAATGCACCATATTTCAGATTTCAGGAGTCTTTTTGCCACGTGTAAGTCTCTTTTAATTAGAAGTTGTATAATTTTTTTTTTTTAAAAAAAAACACATGTTTTACTACAAATAAGGATCAATTACATTTCAAACGAATGGATATATTAATTCAAATTCAAATGTCCAATCGTATAGTTTTGCAGGCTTAATAGAAACAAAAAATAAAAATACCTAAATCCAACAATTAAGAATAATGCCTTATAAACTAATTATTTATTATTCCCTTATAACCTCAGATTTATAGGTATATTTTTTTAAGCCTCAAATCATAGCATAAATGATATATACGCCAAATTAATTCTTCAAAAAATAATAATTCAATTAGATTTTAATAAAATAGTAATTTAGATGGGGCGCCCGGGCATCTGCTTGAGCCAAACATCTAGTATACATTAACACTAACATATGTAAAGTTTGGTGAAAATTCTATAACACAATGTTTCACAATTCATCAGAATTAGTGCAAGTAGGATTGGATATATCTTCTAGTGCACGAGGACATCAAAAGCCTTTTTTTTTTTTTAATAAATATGGTGTTGGTTGTGAATTGTCATGTTCTTGCACTCCATATCGACATTACTTGAATTGGGAGCCATTTTATTTTTTTTTAAACAAAAGGTACAGACCAACCAACATTCTTAACTGTACAGAAATAGGAAAAAAAAAAAAAAGGTTGTGCAGAACTTTCAAGTTTCAACGTTGTAGAAAGCAGAATCTTTCTTAACCTTGTAATGAATCCGGACCCATTGAAGAAAATATGAAGATTTTTAATTCCACTATATGTTTTCATCGTCACAGACACAAATTTTGCATCAAGAAAAAATCAGAGAAAATCATCTTAGCTAGCAGCCACTAGGGATGGCTGCACTTCTCTTGATGTTGTCCATGTTTGTTGTCTCATAAACTGGTAATCCGCTTGATGAATAGCAGCCCAGATCATAATTTGGCAATTCAAATAAATCAGAACTTGAATCACTATCAGCACCATCATCATCATCATTGAATTCTCTGAATCCCTTCTCACCTGACAAGCTTTTCTCTGTAATTCCTCTGTTTATGCTCTTGTAACTCTGGAGATTTTGATCGACGGAATTCAATTTGTCATCCAACCAGGCATAATCCAGGTTGCGTTTCTTCTCAGGATAGATAATCTCATTCTGGACAGACACAGATTTGACATGATTCTGCTGTTTGGAAAAGGGTATGATCTTCTGATGATGATGATGCTCTGAATGGCTTCTGAATTCCTTGTATGATTTTGTTGGAGTGAATGAATAAGGTGGTGGAGTTCTAAATCCAGAACTTGAAAGTGAGTAGACCGATTTCGAATCAATTGCTGCAGTGGCACTGGTTGTTGTTGTTGTTGTTGTGCTTTGAAAATGGCTAATGCTGCTTCTTCTTTTCCTTCTCCAGCCAGGGCTCTGATCTTCATCTTTTGTAGACTGTGTACTTGTTGTGGATTTTGATTTCTTCTTGTTTCTTGAAGATGTTTGACTGAAGAGAGAATTCAAGAAATGAGCAAGCTTGCCTCCAGGAGAACTAGGTTGCTTGTGTTGCTTCTTCTTCTCTTTGATCATCTGAGCCTTTTCCATCAGAAGATGATTATTCTGTGAAGTAATTGAACCACCTCTCATTGGCATATCAAGGCTGAATCTTCCAGCCCTTGAACTTTGCTTTTCTTGAAGATGATAATCTTTCCCATAACCAACTTTGTGTGTACAATTTGCACCATTATTGTTGGTGTATCCATACATTTCATTGGCACCAGAGAAGTATCTTGCAGCCTCAAACACATCAAGCTCTTCTTCTGAATCGCTTTTCCGGTGATGCTGCGATTTCTTATACGCCTTCTCCGTGTCTGGAATTCCGGCTACGGACATGGCTGGCTTTGGTTGGTGCTCAAAGTTGAGATAAAGTTACAAGGTAGTTTGTTTGAAAAGGAAGGAAAGATGGTGTTGGTTAAGGATTGGATTTTATAAGCGAAAAGAAGAAGTGTATAAGAAGCTTTAGAAAAGGGGAGGTTTGTGAGGTTGTAAAGACTAAAGAAACAAGATTATTGTATTTGTAGGCGTATATGTATGAGTAGTATACTATATAGATGGTGTAATAATTGATATAGTGCTTGCTGTATGGTAGATAGGGTCACTCACTTTTAAAGCAAGACTTTGCAAGTTTTGAGTTTGCTCAAGAAATTAATATGTAATTGTCCTGTTTATTGTAATAAAAAATAGTGCGCTGAATAAGATTTGGGACACTAACAAACTTAAAATTTTTTGGAGATAAAGCGTCAAATCTCATTGAAATAGCAAAATATAAGGATTATATGGGGAGATTTACTCATGTTAATGATGAAATGACTACAAATCATGATACTTTAAAAACCTGTTTTCAAAAGGAGAATCTATAATCGTCCTCTTTAATCAATTTTGGAGGCCGTAAGGTGATCCCACAAGGTCAAGTTTGCTTGATTTGTGCTTGAAATTGTGGTAAAACAGAAGGGGGGGTTGGAAAGGAACAAAGAGCTTTAATTATCTTTCTCAAGGTTTGAAAATCCAGAGCTTCTTGCTGTGCATTATAGGGGCAATGAAATGGTTTTCATTGGATTCTCAGTCTCACATCATTCTTTGCCTCCTTTCTTTTTCTGGGGTGGGGATAATCTCCCATCTATTGCTTACCCTCAGTGTTTCCCTAAACATCAATGTCACTAAAGTGACAAATTAAGGGTACAAATTACAATACATGTCAAAAATGATATGTACTTGTTAACTGAATAATTCAACTGAATTAACAAGGATTACACTTATCCTTAGATGAGGGTGATACCGTGCTTCCTTATTGATTAAATTATCAGTCGATACGATTATAATCATTTTCATCTGCTTGAGGAACCAAAAAAAAAAAAGATTTTTATGATATAAAAAATAAATTAATTTTTTTTTTTAAAAAAGAGAGAGAGTAAAGAGTAAATTTGGATATAATAATATTGAATTTTAAGAAATAATTATGAATGTCATCAATCAAATAAACTTTGGGCCATCTAGAATCAAAATGTAGATAATTGTTGTTGCCAAAAGTGGTTGTTGGTTTTGTGGAGGAAAAAAAGATAGTCAGTGACCACACGTGTAATGGCATGCATCGAAGTGATGGTGTACATGTGATGCTTGTTGATGATGTGATTGTTCTCATTTATTTATTCATTTTTTTTTTTTTGTGAATACAAGTTTGTTGCTCGTTTAATTGCATTTTCCAATTATGTTTGTAATCCTAAGGAAATGAGATAGTATGAGGAATTCAGTTTATACGATTAAGATTTTATCATATTATTTTCAAATTTGTAATGTGATGTAATTTCTTTTTGTGTCAATATATATATATATATATATATAGTGAACTAATTAGGTGATGTTACATCTAGTTTTTTATTTTATTTTTTGGTGGTAAATATATGTTCTAAAAGAATGCAAAAGGGCAAACTATCTAATTTCCGAATCATCCAGAAAAGAATGTGTTAATGATGCCATAAAATCGATTACGAAATTCACCTTTACGTATACATGCTTTAGTCACACTCGTCTCTTTTCAACATCTCCTCAATACCATTCATGATTCCATCAAGGATTTAATTGCTTTTGATAATTACAGTTTCTAGCTCAACTAATTATCAATCAAACTTTAAAAAAGGGTACCCTAAAAAAAAAACGTTGATAATTGGGCAATTGTTACTATGCTAATATTGATGTTAGGCATAAAATTTGGACGAAATGTTAGTATAAATATGAGTCCGTAATACCTTAAAATTAATATTTTAGAATGGATAGGATGGACGGAAATGAGTACTTAAAATGAAATAGTTGAATATCCATGGGGTTAGGTTATCATGGTATCATAATAATCTTAAAATGTACTCCCTCCCTTCGGTCCTTAATATAAGTCATTTTGATTTTGTCTTAAATTTCACCTAGTATGCATTTTAAATTAACGAAAAAATCTTAAAATATATATTTTCACATTCATTGTGTTGTCTTGATTGTTAGGAAATGTTTTTAAGGTTTTTTTTTTATCAATTAAAAATGCGTACTAAGTAAAACATAGGACAAATCAAAACGCCTTATATTAAAAACCGAAGGGAGTAGTAGGTTAATGTTTTATGCTCTATTTTTTAATTTGTACCCAAAAATAAAAAATAAAATAAAACGACTAGCGCGACCTATTTTTGAAAAATTTTGCCATAATTTTTATGAGATGAAACATCAGAATATCAATATTGATACATATATCCGAAGCTTTTAAATGCTATATATATGTACGTACGGTTAAACGATGTAGACGCAACAAAATTAAGATTGCCGAATTGTCAATTTCTAAACTAGACCACAAAATTATTAATTTCATGGCCCTTTTCTCTTATTTTTTTTTTTCTTCTCGTGTTCTACTTTTATTTTTCTTCCCCTGGTTAGTTATATGATCAATGAACCAAGACAGTTCAAGTGGATCCATCGTCTTGTATGCTTTCGAAGAGTTTCTTTATCGTCTTATAAGTTTCCCAAACGCAGCCGGCGCTTTAATTTGAGTTTTTGATATTGGTTTCAAGAAAAGAAAAATGGTACGTAAAAGATTTTATAATCCATTGATCCCCAAACCATAAAAAAAAGTTGAAGAAAAACCTTTAACTTTTATCCTAGAAAGAGAGTCTATGTAAGATTATCACTTTTTCTAACCTTAAGTATTAAATTACGTCCAATAGTATAGGAAACTTTGAGACATTTTTTTTTTATTATATTATACACCCGGTGTCCGAAGCCATTTCTTCGACTAATCCAGATTCGAGCTGGGTAGGTCTCTTTCGGGAAGCAAACCTCTTCTAACAAATATTTTAATCACTGCTGCATGTTTATGCCTGTGTTCAAATCCGTGTCATAGTTAAACTGGTCCAAAACCTTTACCACTTGGATCAAGTGTTTGTTAGTAAATTTTAGACATTTCAGTACAAGAGACTATGAAATTTCAAGAAGGGATAATAATTGATCGAATTAATGCATGCATGCATGGTTACTTGGTTGGCAATCCAGGCTATACTGTAATCACATTTTTCTCTTCGTTTCTTACGTGAAATTAACATTTTACATTTCTGATACCACCTTCTCTCATTTTTTTTTTCTTTCTCTTTTTTAAATAAAATGGACCGCTCAATTGAGCTAACATTAATGAAGGCATTTCCTTCGTGTACATTTACGGTTTTATGTACTCCCAATTGACAGTCTCAAGTCCCACCATTCCTAGGTCCAATATAATATCTATGTATTATTATCGCTCGAAAAAAATGATAAAAATTAAGCATTTATTCAGGTGAAGAAAATTCCGGGGTCGACATGAAATCGATCATCTTGAATGAGTTATTATATAGTACCGATCTACATGTGAACTAAGCAAAAACATGTCTGTAGATATGAATAAAATGGATCATGATTCCATATGTGTCGTCCATATGACAAGAAATAGAGAGATATTGGATTCAAACTCACTTGGATGACTGAATGACATTTTCCTAAAGCCCACACAGCCCCAGCTAAGCTTAACTAGTTCTTCTTCACTTCATATATACTTTTGTTGTTTGATATGATTCGGACCACAAAACTTAGGCCAATTCTTTGAAACATTATTTGGATATTAGGATTACTGGGATTAGAAATTAGCTTTGTCTTCCCAAAGGGAGGGCAATGCCCACTTGTTGGCTCCATCTACTGCAATTGTCTTCTTCATCCTCTCGTCCTTTCTTCAAAAAAATTTTTTGGCTGCCTAACTGTACAATAGTACTTCTAATAAAATTGGGTTTCGATATGGATGTTTTTATTTTTTATTTTTTATTTTTCTTTATTTGTTGACCATGTTAAGTGGCTATCTTTTACTAAGGACCATGCAATTTAAAGTGGGTATTTACGGTTATGGTTTTCCTAGAAGTCCCATCTGAATCTGTATAGATAGATTCAGGTCTCCAAAAAGGGCCCTTTTATAGTCATTTGTAATTTAGTTACTACTAAGTTGTAAGTTGTAACTTCGGTCTAAAGTTTGTTTGGAGTTGTGGGACTGTGCCCTATCCTTTGAGGTTTAGATCATCAAATGGTGAGCTTTAGTTTCATCAATATCTCATTCTATTATCCCACACTATCCTCCCACCAGACCTTCTGTCTAATGTCTATATTGCGATTTTTCAAGTGGAAGTAATCCTAATCGTTTTTCGTTCCTAGCTTTAGTTTTTTGCTACTCCCTCCATTTTTAATTTTATATATATATATCGTTTTAAGGTTTAGTGATTTTTTTTATATGTCATTTTCACAAATTGAGGTATATTTGGCTCTATTTTCTAACATTGCTTCTGTATTACTTTTTTATTGGTTTGTCATGAGTTGTATAGACCATAAATAAATGTGTTTTTGTATTTTAACTATATTATTTAATACTTTTTTGGTTTTGATGAATTCTCTAAAAAGACATATAAAAAATATTGAAGGGAGTACTATTTATAGATTTTCTTATTCTGGGGAGGTTACGGACTTACGGTAATGCAAGCTCCCTTCCCTTTTCAAATCTTTAAAGCGATTTTAGCACATTTCACGCTATGTTAAGTCTAAAATTTAATCACAAAGTAATCACCGTATTATGTTAACCTGGTGAACTTTCAACTCTGTAATTTTCAAATGGAATCGAAACTTTTTCACATCCCTTGGAAGTAGCATGTTACATGTATATTATTGTTAAACTGGACAATAATTTTGAACAGAGGGAGTATGAAATTATTGTCAGTGCCAATATCAATTATCATGCTCGTTTCAGATTTATGCAGTTTGATCATAGTAACCAGTAAATTTCGTGCAAATCAAACCTACTTTACTTCCTTTTTTTTTAAAAAAAATTAAAATTAAAAATGAAAATGGAATAATTTCTCTTGTGCCGAGCACTGTTGCTTCAGTTTGTACGTAGCATTATCGATCCTTACTTTTTACGGAGAGGCTGTTTATGTTAAAGTAATTTTATTTTATTTTATTTTTTTTGGATAGAAATTCAGCCAACTGGTTATAATACTCTTACTATACAAAAGTAGAGGCATTTCTAAAATTTGCCTCTAAAAGCAAGCTTATATAATTCGGGGAACATCAAAAAAATATAACCCCTTTCCTAACTGAATCGCTTTTTTTGCTAAGGTGTCTGTACACATGTTGTTGTCCCGACATGCATGTACAAAAACCACTTCCCAATTAGTAATTCTTTTTTTAGTTATGTTTATTCATGAAAAAATTGGAGTTTGTGGGAGTGGGAAGACAAAATTTCATTTTATCAAGCACAGTTGTTCCAAGACATTATTAGGCCCCGACTAAGGTGCTAATGTAGGAGACAATGATTTGGACAGTATACAATACTTGTCTCCTCTTTTATCTCAGACTTTATAAAGACTTCATTAATGGAGAACACCCCACCCCCGCCCCCCCGCTTATCGTATCTGTGGGTTTTCATCAATACACACACGATAACAGATTTGCATATTTTTCATACATGGACGAGAATACACAAAATCAATATCATAATCAAATCAGATCAAATAGTGGAAATATGATACGTTCACTTTTTTCTACACTTGTTGCTGCCAATAAATATTCAATTTCTCATCAGCAAAAAGAGTGACGCTAAAAAAATACCCAAATGGAAGATCCCTTACAATCGTAGTAAGATTAATTCTTTTTTTTTCCCACCAAAAAAAAAAAAGGAAGAAAACACAATGCTAGTCTTGAGAGTGCAATTGCATAATTTTGTCTTATTTGGCTCTAATTTGAATGAATACAGAAAATAGATTTAGACACCGATTATAATAAATAACAAAATAAACCAAAATAAAATACGAGATTTTTATCCGGCTAAGCTAGCGCTACTGCGCATTAACCACATTGAAATAATTAGAAGTTTTGCTAGACGTACGTGGCATTGTAAGATTCATATATAGTGCCTTAAAACCAAAGATCATTTTTCATCGAGGCCTCTTTCCTCATGGATATTAATCCACGATGAAACGAGGGATTTGTGTGTCAAACAGCAACAAAGTGACAATGATTTGAAAACTTGCAAAAAACCTTGTCTCTCCTAGAGCAAACATTATCTATATATGAAAATTAATTACAAATTGAAGAGAGAAAAAGGGGAAAAGAAATGAAAGGACGAGGACATGATCTTATCCCTACAGCTAGAGAGCTATATATACACTAGTATAAAGGTTAAATTTAATATGTGAGCTAGGGCAGCTTGAGCTTGTCTCTTTGCTAGCTTTTTCTGCGGAACATTGCATTTATAGATGGGAAATTGCTATCATGAAAGTCTATTATTTCCTTTTAACTGTTTATTGGAATTTTTTTAGATGGACAAAAAGAAAAAAATTCACTATTTGGGACATGAGTACAAAGTACCAAATAAGTGAATAACAACAAAGGGAGTCGCAATTGTGGATTTTTGGACACTCAAAAAGAGATTCATGCACTGCATTTGCTCTCGTCTCATCATCTTGTGCGTGTGTGACTGTGCTTCAGTATAGAATTACCGATACCTGTTGTAGATTGGTGCCAAAGTCAATGTCATTCAGGGATGGTATATTTTGTTCAAGGAACAATCCAAAAGAAAGTTGGCCTATTTGCATGGCATTAATTTTAAAAGTTATAAATGATAAGAGACTGAATTCTAATGTATCCAAACTCTGGTGTAGGATGAAAAGACTAAAAAGAATCTGGTTACCGGACCAAGTAGATAGTAAGTACATACTTACAGTATCTAATGAATGGAATTAAGTATTACTCCTTCCGTTCCATAATTATTGTCCAGTTTGAGTTTTCATTTTTAGTTCAAATTATACTAAAAGTGAAATCTCAAACTGAACAATAATTTTGAAACAGAGGGAGTATATGACTATACTTCGAATTATTTCAACATTATTTAAAAAAAAGAAGAAGAAAGAAAGTAGTACTTCTTCCGAATTTTATTATAAAGACGCTTTTCAAGATTTCTTTTGGTCTCTCATTTATAAGGTATTTGGTGTATTTAAGATTTGATGTATGAAGCATTTTCGAATTTACTCCTCTACTTTGATTGGTGTCTTATATTTTTGGACATGAGTACTATAAATAACTAAATTAATTATTTTCATCAATTCTTCGAAACTACTAATTATTTATGACTTGTACTAAGGATCAGGGAAGTTACAATTTATTCTTTCTTGGCTTTTTCTTTTTCTGTTTCTCTTGGCTTTTCCGTTGGGATATGAAATGATTGTTAATTTGAGTTGAAGCTCAAAATAATGGTGTTTCATTGCCATTTTTTTCTTCAATTGCTTCTCTTACATTTTAAATATATCCTCAAAAGTGGAAAAGAAAATTAAGATCCAAAATTAGAAACTGTGAAGATTTTGACTCTATACGAGCGGCCCAAAAATTTAGGAAAGCTTCCTGAAATAAGGTCTGGGCCGAATGCTTTAATTAAGACTTAAAAAAAGCCATCAAAAAGAATTTGGCCCATGCAGGTCTCGAACCTGCGACCTTCGCGTTATTAGCACGACGCTCTAACCAACTGAGCTAATAGGCCATGTGAGAGTTCGTGCAGATAAAATTATTATAACAAAATCACTGTTATGGGTAACTACAAATAGTTTCACAATGCACAATATTATTTCCCATGTTTTGTCTCCACTGTCCACCCATTTGATTGCCCAAAAGATTGCCGACAGAACAGTAAGTAGGCCAAACTTGTTTTTACCATGTAATTATGGCATGCACTTCCTTGCTTTATCGTTTACATAGTAGTATGATATAAAGTGTAGATCAATATTGTCTTGCCATTATATCTATGATCCCATATTGTGGGACGAAGTATTAATTTGTACAACCTCTCAAAATACATACCCATTGCGTCATGTTTTTGACGAATCAGCCTTCCACTTCCATTCCATACCCACCTTGTGCTTTGATGATTTATTCTTTGGGCATTGTAATCAAAAAAGAGGATCGCCTATCGGTTCCATCAATGTCGCTCGCTTGAACGTTTGGTGTCATTTTGTGACGATCCCATTTAATAATGGACTCACTATGTAATCGGAAAAATGATAAACACGTATTTATCATTATATTCCGGTTGGTATCCTTGATTCGTTCTTATTTTCGTCGAATAACAGGTAATTTAATAGATGATCAAATAAAACACATAAATTGAAATTAAATTTAGTTTCGACATAAAAATGAGATCGGAGATATATCATCTACATAATCTCGCTTTGAAAATGTATAGCAACGATGGTGATCCGAGTTACCTACCACCCCCCGTCCCATAACTCTCAAATTCAATTTGATATTGAAAGTTTGATTGCTGAAATACTTCATGTGGTGAAATTATTGACAGCAAAAGGCAACATTATTACCAAATGCAACAAACCTCATTTAACTCGATTGACATTAACACTACTACTAGGTCACCCCCACGAACGAAAAGGAAAATAGTAATCCTTGATTCGTAATAACAACACAAGTTAAGGGTATTATCGTCTGGGAAAATAAGGAATCTGACGATGCTTCACTGAAATATCGACACGTATACACCCTATGATGTGACAGATAGTTCTAACTTTTTAAGGTTGGAAGCTGACGTCCACCCGTCATTTTTGTAGTAAAGCACACACACTCACACACGAGGCAATACGAAAAACCTATATATATATATATATATATATATTATATTATGCCATGAACCTCGTACCTTGCTTCAAGTGACTTTCTTTTTTCTTTTTTCATTTTAATGTCCGATAATACATATTCTTAATGATGTATATATTCCTAAGTATATTTTTTCTATTCAAAATAAGAATGCTATAGTTTTACTGTGGATAATTTTTTTTTGGATCGAACGGAATACCATTCTTTCTTGGATAATTATGCGCGTATACTACAAACACCACAAGTACATTACAAAATCTGGTTGCTTCTTTTCACAAGACATATTAAGAACCATTCATCTAGCATGACTTCCTTTTTTATGAAGAAAAAAAAAAAAAAAATTTTGAGAACAAAAACACATGACAATATATGCACTTGCCAATTGTAGAGCATTTAGGAGATTCTTGCCCAATGGCTGTATATGTATATCTTGATGGCCAGGGAAGCATCGGTTCCCACGTAGCATAAACCAAAGCCTACACGACCAGATGCACCAAACTTTCTGTTGTCAACTCAACTACATAGTATCTATCTACACATCAATTACGTATAAAACATAAATGAAAAAATACTTAGGCAGTAATAATACTATATTGTTTGCAGTAGTAATAAGAACCTGAACTGTCCCAGAAAAGAAACACCTTCCTTAGACCCTAAAAGTGAAATAGGAAATTAGAAGAGAAAGAGACAACTTGCACATATCAGTATGTGTGTATTTATATATACTTTTTTCCATTTCTGCTGTTTCTTTCCATAAAAATCCAATCTTGCCAGAGAGTTTTATTGCTTTTCTTTTCCTTCTCTTCTTTTTTACAGAAATATAAGAATGTCAAATTTTGTTGAATCAAGAAAAGGGTTGTTTTTTGTTTGAATAATCTGTTGGGTTTTTTTTTTTTTTTTTGTACTATCATTTTTGTAGGCATCAAAGTACCCTTTTTCGGGCATAAAATAATGGGAAGAGGTAGGGTGGAGCTGAAGAGAATTGAGAACAAGATAAATAGACAAGTGACTTTTGCAAAGAGAAGGAATGGTTTGCTGAAGAAAGCTTACGAGCTCTCAGTTCTTTGTGATGCTGAAGTTGCTCTCATCATCTTCTCTAATCGTGGGAAGCTCTATGAGTTCTGCAGCGGTTCTAGGTAATTGTTTCAAATAAAAATTCACCATTTAATTTAGAACTTGAATACATACTTTAATTTTGTGTGTGTGTGTGTGTTTTTTTTTTTTTTTGGGTTCTTTCTTCCTTCTTTTTGTTGCCTTAGAGATTTGTGGCTGTAGAGTAGATTTATTTGACTCCTTTTTTTTTCCTGGATAATTGGAGAGGGAAATTTGAATGTGTTAATCTATGGAGATGTACTATATAGGCAGATTGATTTAAAGATTAACAAAGAGTGAACTTTCTTGTACCTTCATATATTTACATTGATTTATTTGGTCAAGTCAGCCGTACAGTGAGATCTAGCATAAACCTGGAAATTGATTCCAGTTTTGTCACTGAAACTTGCATGGGGAAAGTCTGAACTCTGAAGAACATCTTGATTTGTTAATATATAGCAGAATATGAGAGTAAAAAGGAACTGTGATTTCTATTGAGATTTATTTGCACATACTGAAGAATTTTCCCTAAATAGAAAATAGTACTGAAAATTGGTGTCTTCATTAGTCCGAATCCCTAAAAAACTGGATCCACAATTCATAAAGATGATGATACTAATTGATCTTTTTAGTAAAGGGGTTGGTTTACTTATACATATGCAATTTCCTTAATTCCTTTTGTTCATCTTAATCACACTGTACAAGATTTCAATCATGCACTTACACAATACGTAAATAATTACCGTTGTCAAATGACTACATTTATCTTGCACATTCAATTGATCAACTCTATTAATCTTGTATGATAGCGCTATGTGACATTATAAACTACCTACAAATTCATCGGTTGTTTTCTTTAGCTCCAAATTCATCAAATTTTTCACATTCATTTGTCAAAAAGTTTATTTAATATTTGTCACTTGAATGTGCTAAAAGAAAAGAAAAGATAGGGGCTGGGGGAATCTTAAAGTTTGCACAATCCATTGATTTAATTTGATTATCATGTTGCAGTATGGCTAAGACACTTGAAAGGTATCACAGATGCAGTTATGGTGCTGCTGAAATGAACCAGTCTTCCACTGATTCACAGGTTAGCTTATATTTATAAAAAATACTATTAGCAACTTCATATTTGGAAAAATCCTTACTTTAGGCAATGGCTTGCTCATCTTATCCTTCCACTAAAAGGCACATCTCCTTTGTTCGTGTAAGCACTAACGCGCTTTGTACGTACTAATTTTCAGAAAACAAACAAAAAAAAAATGTAAAATATGTATCTTAACTCATATCATCATTGTTTGCAAAGGAAATTTTAGAAATTTCTTTCTTTAACGAATATTACGATAACTATTCATGATCTTGTTCCAAGAACTCTCAAGCAGAAAATGCTACGATAGAGAGAGATTTGAATTCATAAATTGAAATGACTGGGTTGAATGAGTTGATGGCGGTTACCAAGATCCTTCCAAGCTCCATTTAGATATTGGTTGATATATAAAATTATATGACATTCGGAACATCAAAGGTGATGTTTTTGAGATGGACAGTTTCATTACAACTTTTGGATTCACTATTTATATTTATCTTCCAAGCAGAGTAACTACCAAGAATACCTGAAGCTGAAAGCCAGAGTGGAGGTATTGCAGCAATCTCAGAGGTAATGCAATCTTAAGCCTTGGGCAAATCTTGGTACTGTTCACATCATCTGTCTAGATGTGGATATGTAGTTTCTGCAGGCGTAAAGAATTCGTTGTTTAGAATAATACTCCCTCCGGTCCTAATTATAAAGAACAAATTTGAACTAACTTAAGTATTATTTGTACCTTATTTTCAGGACTCGAGTAATATAGCTAACTTCACTTTGCCCTAGCACGTTAGATCAATCCGAATGCATGTACTTGCATATTATCATTCATTTTGTATCTTGCACGATAACAACATATGATCTATATACCTCACTTAGTATTTTCATCTCTCAACCAATACCAGATTACCAATTTGGTTTATGAGGTTTGTTATCTACATATATAGGCACTTGCTTGGGGAAGACTTGGCTCAGTTAGGAACAAAGCAGCTGGATCAACTTGAACGTCAACTGGATGCATCTTTGAAGCAAATTAGGTCAATCAAGGTACCCAATTTCTTAAAGATTGTTCCTATTGATCAAACATTCTACAAATCCTCAATGCTTTTGCTAAAAATGGTCTAACACATGCTTGTTTGCAGACACAACATATGCTGGATCAACTCTCAGATCTTCAGCAAAAGGTTACATATTAATTTTATGTACTCTACAAATTGGTTAATTATCAATTGCTTGATTCACCTTGGCTAGTCAGTGTTACATGAAAATGTCCATTGTTAACCTACTTAAGCCATTTCCTTTTGATGTTCATACAGGAGAAAACACTAATTGAGCTCAATAACACTTTGAGGGGAAAGGTACAATTTCGTATTCTCACGCTCTTGTGAATTAATAATGTATTACCCGAGTCCCAAAAATATAGTTCACGTTAATTATTATACGAAACGTGAATTACATATTTTTGGGACAGGGAATATATATCAGAAGATTTTGAGACGTAACAAAATTGTGTGATATATACATATATGTGCCGGCAGTTAGAAGAGAGCACGGCAAGGCTTCATCAAGCATCGTGGAATTCAGAAGAGCATAATTTGCCTCACAGACCTCCTCAAGCTCATGGCACAATCAGGTCCCAAGGATATTTGGAGCCAACCCCAAACACCTTGTTCAGGTTTTGCTTCATATATATTAATTGCACATTTTCCATGGAATCTTTCTAGGCATTCTTGCATCATTGCAAACACACGTGTTGAGTAATGGCGAAGATGGCGATGAAATCATATAATGACTTTTTATAGTGATCATAGTGGCATTTACTCGTTTTATTACTATCATGTTTATGTTTGAATAACACATCGTTTTGTTTCTCTTTCTTAGCTTTCAATTTTATTTTATTTTTTTTTCCGGGCTTTTCACCTTATATATATATATATATATATATATATATATATTACTGTTAGCTTTTAGGTTTTCCAATCAATCTGGCTTCATTCTGTACATAATTTTTCCCATTACAGTTACAATCTGGCTGGAGGTGGTGCTGAGGCTGAGTCAACCCAGAATCCCAGTGGAATCCTACCAGGATGGATGCTTTGACTGTACGTGAACTCAAGTAAATTGCATCATGGAAAATGCAAAGGATTAAAACATATATATTCCCAATGCCTGGAGTCAAAAGTGCACCAGTAATTTTTTTTTTTTTTAAAAAAAAAACCCCCAGAGCATGGTCAATTATGATTAAGTGGAGTCCATAATATTATGAAAGTTTTACGTGTTTCAAGGAGTATATTGTGGTTGACCAACAGTCTCCTGAATTTGTCATTGCAATTTCATTAAGATTACGAAGTTATGTATAAAATGAAGATAGTAATCGAAGATAAATGAATTAACTATAGCTATACAGATGTAAACAATGATACTATCCAGAAATTCTCTCTTTTTCCTTTGTGGTTTAATCTTCTTCATACGAGCTTTTTATATCCATCCTTCACAAAGTTTGTGTACTTTAATTTTGGGGGGCGTTCTCTCTACTATTGTGATTAAGCCAAATATTTATTTGTATCCCATGTGATAGGGTAATTAATAATCTATTAGTATGTTTTATTGTACTATTTAATTGAACATAATAAAATATTTTTTCCCGAAGGAGAGAATAGTTAGGAGAATCGGTATGAACGAAGAAGAAAGCTCGGACTAGCTAGTACTATGAGTACTTACTAATTTAAATTGTTATACATCTCGTCAAAGAACTAGTTCCATAAAGTGCTGGGATCAAATTTCTTATTGTTACAATTTAGACGGTCGTTATTCGATCCACAATATTTTTTCCATTTAGAGAAATCCTTAGTATCGATAGAATTTTAGTTTTTTTTTTTCTATGTGTTTGTTTAGGTCATTAAAAGAAGCAATGTGTAATATCTTATAATGTAAATTAAGCTCTAACCTCGAATTAATCCACGATGTTGGATTAGATAAACGTTTTAGATCTTTTAGCGTCTACACTCTGTTCCTTTTTATAGTAATAAGGCATTTCATATCAACCCTCCAAATTAACTTAAACTATCCTCAACTACTGGAACTAGAAGGCAAAAGCTAGATAATTAAAAGTGATCAATATCGGATCAAATTCTAATAAGACCAAAAATATATTTGTCATGGGATCAAAGTCAATTTGATGGGATTCTATCAGTTTGCAGAGAATATAAAATTAGCATCCTGAAAGCCAAACTGGTCGGGCGACAGAGATTGATTATCATCAAACCATATTAAAAATGGAATACACGTACTTATGGTAGAGGGACGACCAGCCTTTTTACAGCATTCTCTGCTGTACTCGATTGGGTTTTTGTTGTCTTTCTTATCTAGTAAATTGTTCAAGGAGAAATTTGATTCAGACCCAAACCAAAGAGGAAACAAAGTACACTCGAGATTCTTTGCTTTTTTGAAAATTGAAATTGAAGATGGCAGGCAAAGCATGGAGCAGAAAGACCATCAATTGAAAGTCTACATACATATTATTTAGGTCATATATATTCAGACGTTTCTTTATATATTACGGGGTTGCATTCCTAATAATAAAGTCTTCGTATATACTCATTTTGTTCCGAAATTATTATCCATTCTGAAATTTTACTTTTAGTACAATTTAAAATAACAATGAAAATCTAAAATAGACAATAATTATGGGACGGAAGGGAGTACTATTTTTTTCTTAGAGTTTGTATACTCACTATTGCTTTTAAAAAAGATTCAGTAGGGTACTAGATTATGGAGGCAAGACATGAATCTTAATTAGTGCTCTCTAATATATGTTTACCATAAGATTAATATAGAGATAATCCGAATTTCAGATAGGAATGTAAAACGTAACTGGAATACAATTGCATGCTTATATGTATTTATCTTGATATTACTGCTATTTAGTTCAATCATTTGAATTTTTAATTTTAGTTCAATCTGTTGTAAATACGAAAATTCAAACTAAACAATAATATCTTGTACACAAAAGTTTATAAATTTTAAGCAGCTATCTAAAGATAAGTATTCAAAAGGATTTTCGTTCACCTCCAAATTCCAATATATTTCGAAAATTAGGTGAAAAGACGGACCGAGGATGATCAATGAATGCTTGCTGTTTTTAAAGTCGTCGACCCATGTATATAAATTCATCATCATTGTGGCGTAAGACGTAGCTTTGGGGTTGATGCGGCAGATTTGCAGGCCTACAATACACACTACTTACCCTTTTGGATTACATTAATTAGGAACATTATGTCATGATGTCTCTACGGATTTCGTTTTGAAGGATAACGTTCCTCCTCCCCCCCTCCCCTACTTTAATGAAAAATTTATGTCAAGAAATGAGACCCCTTCATTTAATTTTGCTTAATTCATTCACTCATTATTTCTTAAAAGCTTTCCGAATGGATGTTGTCTAAGAAAGAAATCAAGTACCTTTAAAACAACATCAAGCAAGATTCTACCTCCTCAATCAAAAGCTGAACTGAAAGAAGACAGGAAAGAACCATAAGAGGTCCAACGAGATATAGTGGAGATACCAAGAGATAAGGAGCCAAAAAAAAAAAAAAACCAACAAAACAAACGACAGGAACGATGATGGATGGATGTTATAAAGGAAACAGTGAAAACGTCAAATATGACAACGACCCACTCACCACTCTACGTACATCCAAGGATGCTCCAAAATTTTAACTGTGTATAATATATAGGGTTGCTAGCTAATTTAAATAAGTACGTATCTATTTTGCTTATAAATTAATATATCCGGAAATAAAAGAAGAAAAGTGCTCCTTCCGTCTTATAAAAGTAACTTATATCGTAAATTTTGAATTGTATTCAAAAAAAAAAAAAAAACTGGCTTTTCCTTTCAGTTTGTTTTCAGTTCTTATAAAATTTCTTCTGTTTGCCGGAAAAAGTAAAACTAAAAAAAATTTCCAAAACATAAATGAATATTTGAAACTAGAGAAGAATGATGAAAAGACTTTCTTCATTTGGTTCTGGCATGGCTATATGTTAGTACTAAAGCTGGAAATTCCAACTAATAGGAATTAATTTAATTTTATTCACTGTGACAAGGAGAAATTATAATTAATAATATAATAATTACAACAAAATGTTAAATACAGCAACACCAAATTCCGAAAAATAATTGCTGGGCCAAATTCAGAAAAGTCTAGTCATCACATGGGGCGCCGTCAACAGTGTTAATGTTTATGTTTGGGGGATTCTTTGGGAGTCCGTACATGTTCAAATTGTACGAAAATCTTTTTCTCCTTAAAAAACTGTGATGTAAGAAATACCCTTCGGACATTAAACGCCTGTACAGTGCTTCCAACCAATGGGGAGTCGACAACGCATTCTTAAAATACAACCTGGTATTTGGTTTTTTTGGGGGGACTCATCAAGAACCACAAAACCACTCCATTTTGCAGTGATGGGTGGTTTCACATCCTTACTTCCAAATATGTGTATGCTTTTTCAGACAGCATATTTTCCCTTCATGAATCCAGAATTTTCACCGTTTTGAAGCAACAAGAATGCTAGCCTTACCATATTCCCATTATTACTTCCACCCATACCGTATAAGCCATGTCCAATCCCATTTTCCATATTTTTCTATCTTTTGCTTTTCATTTTTTTCTTTTCTTTTTTTTTTTTTGGTTCACTTTGTTTCCCATTTTTCAATTTCAATAATGGCCTTTCCGAAGTTTTAAAAGCTACATAGATTACTATTTTTTTCCTTGATTCGTTGCGTTTTTTAAATTTTCTTTGCTCCTATTTAGGAAGTACTCCCTCCGTGCCCCTCCAAAAAAAAGTCCAAAGTGAATTTACAAATTTGTAGTAAAAACAATACAAAATTCAAAATTCAATGTGGAGTATTTTTTTGGGACAGAGGTAGTACAACATATCATGTACATTAATGTTTTGTACTTATAAGGATAAGATGATCAAATAGTACTAATAGGATTGAGGGTTTGAAAATCAACATGAAAAACAAAAATACAAAAAAAAAAAAAAGCAAAGAAAACATTTTTATCCATATACGTTATGATATACTTCCAAAAAAAAAAAAAAAAAGTTCCACTATGCCTAAATAAAAGTGCTGACGTGAAAATGTACTATAAGTTATTGATAATGGACCAACAACCTAGTAACTGGTAAAGGCGTCAAGTTTCCAATTCCTGCATACAACTCCTCCCAGTTACGAAATGCAACAATTGCTCATCGCTTGAAATGAAAAGAAGCTGTTATAACTTATAAATAAAACTTTTTATTGGGTTTTCCATTTAAGGAAATATTTATTAGATTATTAGGAATATCTTCATGGAGCAGAAGGAAGAAAGAAAAAGAACATGAGTTCGAGAGTCACACGAGATTAATTAGTAAGGAACGAAAATTAATCTCTTTTAAGAAACACACACAAAAAACAGAAGCGTCATTGAAGGGAATCATCATAATTATGCATTTAATTAGTATAAAATCAATGCCAAATTTTAATTGTTGAATTGATGATGATATTATGAACCAAACGAGCTAATGATCGACATGATTGTATAAAATCAGAAATGAGTAGAGAAGTAATATTGTATTCTTTCTGTTTTGAAATAATTTTCAAATTTAAACTTTCACTTTTAACATTATATTGAAAGTAACAAAGTCTAGTTCGGTATTTCAAGTTTAGTTTTATTAATACTGTAAAAGAAAATCATTAGACAGTGTCAATCATTTTGAGACAGAGAAAGTATATGAGTAGTGAAAGGTTTAGGTTCTCGATACGTAATACTTGATACGGTGTATTCCCTCTAATTCTTATTATAAGGCATTTTGACTTTTCGTAAGTTTTACTTAGTACGAATTTTTAAGTAATAAAAAAACCTTAAAAATATTTCATAACAATCAAAACAATGCAATGAATGTGAAAATATATTTTTAAAATTTTTTGATCAATAAAAAATGTGTATTAGATAAAATTTAGAACAAATCAAAATGAGTCAAGGACAGGAGGGAGTACTACTATTTAACAACATAGTTAGCTACTTATATTTAAGGTGGTGTCAAACATTTCTTAGATCTAAATTAAATTCACCACCTGGGTCCAGTTAATATGTTGGGGTGTTTAGTTGGAACTTGAGCAAAGTTAGCCTAAGGTAGCTAGCTGTAACTTGTAAGTTCACCTACACTTTTCAACGTTGTCAAAAATATCAAACTCAAAGTACTCTCTCTACTGCGTTTGTGTGTATCAAAACTCAGTTCAGTTTCTATCATACATTACACATCTAATCCATCTCAACCTCAAAAAAAAAAAAAAATCCACCACAAGTTAAAAAAAGGGGAAAAAAAAAGAAGAAAAAGAAAAAAGAAGCTTTCTTTAATTTTGTTTGGTCTATATTTATATGTTGTTTTAGAAAGGGTCTGGGAATAGTACATATGCCCAGGTGCAGATAAGAAATCAGGTTTGAGGGTTTTCCTCTTTTAGATCTTCCTTTTCTTTTTCTGGTGAACTAGATACTTTTGTGGGTTTGTTTTGATTCGGAGGAGAGGAGAAATTAAGATGGGGAGAGGGAAAGTACAGTTGAAAAGGATAGAGAACAAGATTAACAGGCAAGTCACATTCTCAAAGCGAAGGTGTGGATTGTTGAAGAAAGCCCATGAAATCTCTGTGCTTTGTGATGCTGAAGTTGCTCTTATTGTCTTCTCCCACAAAGGCAAGCTCTTTGAGTTTGCTTCTGACTCTAGGTATATATATATGCCTGCCTTTGTGTTATTATTATACACACAAAATCCATCCCAAAATCTTTCTTTGGAAGTAGGGTTTTTTTTTTTCATCATTTTCTTGTAATTTTTGAGCATTCTTTCTCTGGACTCTTTTTTTTTTCTCCCTCTTTCTCAACTCTTAAATTTGTTCAAATCTTCGTTTTGGTTCTTGATTTAGCCATGTTTCACTTGTAAGTTTTGGTGAAGTTCGCACACTGTGGTTCCAGTTACATAAAAGAAAAGAAATGGTGTTGTTCATACACTTTGAAAAAGTTTGGATCATTTTTTTTTTTTTTTTGGTTTTTAAATCTTTATAGGTGATCTAATGAATAAATCACACATTTGAGTTTCATATGTTGCTAATTTCTAGTCATTTTTTTAGACATCTAAGTTGAGATGGAGAGAAGAAAGCCTAAAAATGATCAGATCCATCATTTCAACAGTAATCTAGGAGCAAATTATCTTCGCTTTAAACGTTTTATCCAGATTTTGAACTTCCTAATTTAGATCCGGTAGCCTTCCTTTTTAAAAGAAAAAAAAAAATCATGTATACTCAACCATGCATATTTCCAGTATGAAAAACTTGAATTTAGTGTGTTTATGACACCTAGCAGTGGGTACAGAAATAAATTAGCATGATTTTCCGGTGTGTTCTTTTTTCAGAAAATACAGTTTCATACCACTCTTTTCGATGGCTTCATTCGGATATTAATTCTTAGTTTGTTTTAGTTGCAATTCGGCATGATGGGACATATAATCATTATTTAATTTGATCATCGATTTCAATTTAATCTTTCTGAAAGTTATCAACTTTTGTGCTTTATTTAGTTTTGATCTATGTATATTGCTCCTTTTAATGGACATTGCTCTTTGGTTCATAGTAACATCTTTATGGCTTTCTCAAACTTGTACTTTTTGTTTTGTTTGTTTTTTGGGAATACAATAATTATAATTCTCAATTCGACATGACAAGGAAAATATAAACACGAAAAAGGAATTTTGAAAGGCCATGGCATGAATCAAATAGCAAGGAATAATGAATGTCATGCATGTGTGGAATTAATTTTTAAGATCTTGCCTGTTTAAGTTGATTCCTTGTGCATCAATTAAACAAACAGGTTGCCCTGGAAGATGTTTCATTTGCAATTTTCTTTTTTAAATCACGATGCTAAGTTTAATTTAGTCTAATATTTTGAGTTTTTCCTCGGCTTTTGTGTTGTTTGTGCTTTGTTTTCTGTAATTGGAAAAGCATGGAGAGTATTCTGGAGCGGTACGAGAGATACTCATATGCAGAGAGAAGATTAATTGCTGGCAGTGCTGAAATTGATCATCAGGTAAGGTTATACGTTTTCTTTATCCGTCTTAAAATAATAGAATTATTATTTATAATACGCTCTTTACTTCACAACGAGTCTTACTTTAGAACTATAAATCATGTAAAGTTTGATTGTTTATAATGTAGGAAGATTGGCCCCTGGAATACTCCAAACTTAAAGCCAAGATTGAGCTGTTGCAAAGAAATCATAGGTAAGAACTTCAAACTTCAATTATCAATCCAAGTTACTATGACAACCATGATATATAGTCCCTTCCACGCACATCAAATTGCTAAAGTTGAATGTCTTAATCTTAACGGTAACTGAAGTTTGAGAACTGATTAATTTTTTATTTTTTAATTCCAAGTAATGAAAAATTGTTTTGTAGTACCAAGTTAAGGTTCCATCTGGGTTGGATTTATTCATGAATTGTGCATAGTCCTTAATTCCAATTAAGTTAATTTAGGTTTAGGAAAAACTTAAAAGCATTTTCCTCCATTTGTAAATTTGTTATTTGTTCTTGATGGTCACCTAATTACAGGCACTACATGGGTGAGGAACTTGACTCAATGAGCCTGAAAGAGCTCCAAAGCTTGGAGCAACAGCTTGACACCGCTCTGAAACACATCCGATCCCGCAAAGTAAGTATAAATTTACTCTAAGATTTTGTGTTGACCAATTTATGAATTATGATAAACATGATGATTTTTTTATTTTTTATTTTTTGAGACTGAAAGTAATACTAGTGAACTGAAATGGTTTAATTCCTAACTGAATATTGCTTACTTTGGTACAGAGCCAGCTCATGTATGAATCAATCTCCGAGCTCCAGAAGAAGGTCAGATTCATTACGAATTTTGCTACTTTATTTTAGTAACCAATTAATAGTGCTCGACGGAAAATGCAGAACAACTAGGGCAGAACATGACCCGTAGAGTAGTTTAATATTTATATATGTACATCTGATGATTAACGGCGTCTGGTTTCATTCTGATATTGGACTAATTTTAAATTGATTAGCTACAACTTCAATAATTGTGTTAATTTTTAATCAAAGACAGTAAGGATGATCCAAACTGTCAAAATTGGGTGTGCTATATATATATATATATATATATATATATATATATATATATGTAATTCGGCTGCAATCGATATACCTAATTTGCATAGAATGGAACGTTTTTTAAAACTTGATACCTTCTTACGTCAACTACAATTGTCTATTGTGTGTTATTTATCCACGAAACTACACAAATTAATTCATAGTAATAAAGTATATATCTGTTTGTTTTTTTTAAAAAAATAATTATACAGTAGGGTTTTTTTTTCATATGGAGTTAAGACTGTAATGATCTTTCATGACAGGAAAAAGCAATTCAAGAGCAAAACAACCAGCTATCAAAGAAGGTACGCATACATCCGGATTATATATCAGACATTAACAAAAGCCTACGTAAACCTTTTTCTTTGACTTCACTAATTAGTTTTGCTATTAGGGTTAGTTTTTAGTTGTCTTCTAATTATATGAAATATGAATAGTAATGAGAGTGATCTGCCAGATGACCTTCTCAAGCCACTAAAATGAACTAATAATTAAGTAAAGTGGGCATTTTTCTCCTTTAATCCCCGATGTTTTTGTGTGAATAGATTAAGGAGAAAGAGAAGATAATGTCGACCCAGCAGGCACAGTGGGAGCAGCAAAACAGTGTCCCGAATTCCACTTCTTTCCTCTACCAACAGCCACTTCCTCCTTGCATGAACCTCAGGTACTTCCATCCTACAAATGCCTTAACTTTTTTACTTACTTACTTCCATTCTCTGAATCTCTTTCATATGTTGTGAATTTTTACTACTATAACTAGTGTTACAATCTCTTAAAATTGCATAATTAGCATGAATTTAAACAAGAGAAAAGTGCTCCCTCCGTCCCATATTGTAGTACATGAAACACGACTTTTATTCTGAGATGATGAGAGTTCATATATTATTTGTGCTGATAAATAAAATTTTAAAAAAAAACGTGTTCAAATTGTATTAACATTTGGCACACTGGTGGTTGATGTGAAAAACATGCAGCGTTACGATTGAGGAACACCGTGCAGATGAAGAAGCGGCGATGAGGAGGAGAAATGAGCTTGACCTCACTTTAGACTCCCTCTTTCCTTGCCATCTTGGTTGCTTTGCTGCCTGATTCATGATGTCCCATGAAAGAAAATCCCAGAAAACCTATATGAAGTACTACTATAAATGATTTGCCACTACTACGTACGCGCCAAAAAGAAATCTATGCTTTAAGATTTCTCAATCATTTCCGCAAGTTTGCTAGCTAATATTTTGATTGTAATATATTCCCCTCTCTTTCTGTTTTATGTATGTATGAGTGTTGACGATCGATGAAGAATGATGACGATGAATTTGTGTCGTATACATTAAGGTTTAATGAATTTGTGTCGTATGCTTCATCTCATTGGTTTTGACTTTTGATTAGTTTAAAAAAAACTTGTTTGGAAGCAAGACGAAAATTAAGATCACAATACGTGGTCTACTTCACACACGTCAACTGCTCTGTATTTGGTTTTGCTTTTATATGTTTTGAGGAATATCAACTGTGTTAGGATTATTGTGGAGATCAATATAGTTGTTTTATATAATATGGTCGGAGAAAGAAAATGAAACGAAACAAAAAAAAAAAAAGTAAATATTGGTTGAGAGGAATGAAAATCGATTGATAGTAGTTTCTCAAAAGGGAGGGTTAAATTTTGGGAATAAACTGAATTTGAAAGAAAAATAATAGTTATCTTTTCTTAATTACCATCTGAAAATTATTTCCAATGTTACTAATATTTTTTTATTTTGGAAATGGTAATTTTTTTTATTTATTAATAATTGGTCTGTAGACTGATCTTTAGACTTTAGTGATCTTTGTGATCAGGGGTAAAACAATTGTAATGTATTTAAGGCAACACGTGGTAGCTCCACCTATCATATGGGGTGGCTTAACACTGTTCCATTTAAATTTTTTTTCAATAATTAAAACATTCATAGAACATAGAAGATCAGAATTTGAGTGTTTGCTTTCAAGATTCGCCAGTCCATCATAATATTATAAAATTTCAATTCAATAAAGCATAACTTTGTTTTTTAAACGGATGGATGACACTTTCTTCAAGCCTATTTTTGCAGACCCACTAGAAAATAAACAGTTACTCTTCTTTTATGCATCAAATTTGTTTTGATTTGATTTGATTTTTTATCTTGCAACAATTCCCTTGAGAATTTTGAGTAATGTTAGCTGAAATCAATCCTCATGACATAGCCCAAGGGGAAAAAAAAATGCCGCAGACAAGAGGCGGAAACTTCAGAAATCGGCAGAAAGTCCGAATCCAGATTTTACAACGTCGTTGGTGTACTTGAGGGGAAAAAAACTATGCTATGAAACGTAAATGGCTTATATTCGGGTAGAAGTTTTGTATAAATGTAGCGCTACGTAACTTCTTCTCTTCATATAAGAGGTGGAATAGAATAATGAAAAGGCTGCGTTGCTGAAGCAGAGGGAAGCATATTTGGATGCAAAACACACTGTTAACCGTAAAGAAACCAACCCCCCCATTTTGGAGGCCAATAAATTAGCACTAATTATGGACCAATCTGTACATATTATCAACTTCAAAAATCAGGTTGAGATCAAACTCAACATCGACTACGCACTCCGTCCCAATATAACAGTCTCCACTCTTATTTTGGGACGGAAGGAGTCTCGACACCCCCACCACCACAAAAAAAAAAAAAAAAGAAAAGAAGGAAACACAATCAATCTCCCAACATTTTAGTATTTTACTACTAAATCTTCTTTACCCTCGTCTCTGTCTTCAATCATGTACAAAAGCCGGCACCAAGCTCAGGATGACAAGATTTATTCATCAAATTCCATCAGCTGAACAAGGAAAGATAAAGAAGTCAGAAAAGGTTATCATTTGTTAGCAATCATTCAAAGAAACTGCAAAGACTAAACAAAAAGCCCTTCAAGAAGTAGTTCAATTTTCCTAATAATACGAAATGCCTATAAGGATGGTGCACCTATACTACCATTATTATCATCAATCAAAGGTTCATCCTAACTCCTAATACTGCAGAATGCAAATAAGTAAAGCTACACCGATCTCAAATGTTCAAGTAGTAACCAACTAGACTATAACACAAAAATCTCTGAACGCCGCTACCATCTTGTAGAAATCAGTGTGTGGTTTTTTCTAAGAGCAAATCCAGCTCTTGGTAAAATGGAGCCAAGCACTCAGAGACAAAACAGATGATAAAAGCTACACATGGTCAGACTCGGAAAACAAATCAAAACCAAAAGGCTTCTAATCCATTATTAGACAGTAGGAAAAGACTATCCTCCACATATGCAAAACAACATAGGTCAACATTCTAAAATCTGCGCGATAAAAGTGAATGGATGAACCAGAGAGGATCAGCAAAGAAACACCATGAATAAAGAGTAAAGAGTGCTCAAGTGGATCTCTACCAAATTCAAAACAAATCAAAACACACAAAGAATCTTACCTTTCCACAAACGGGACAGGTTTCACTTCTCTCCATCCACTCGTATATACAACTAAGGTGATAATGGTGCGAGCAATGAGTGACAATTTTCGGATTTTCTCCAGTATACTCTGCAAAAAGAAGCAAGCAGGTCAACCATCCATCTATGTAAAAAAAGGCTCAAAATTGAAAGCAGTTGAATCCCTATACTTATAAGCTAAAATTGAGAATTCTAACAGTGCGAAGAAAGAATACCTTCAAGACAAGTGGGGCAAACATCCTCATCTTCTGATGAAGGACTAAGATATTCCGCACCATATAGCTCCACTGAAGAGAAGACCTTCAAAGAGGAATCAGAGCACAATTCTTTATCTTTCCCTGGCTTAAAAGCATTAAATAGCGTAGTGTCTACTTTCAACAGGTTCGGTGGTTGTTGAACAGTTGCAGTAATTGGTACCGGCTCCTCGGCACGGGAATGACTTGAGCCTCTATCTTGCCCTCCAACTACATCATCCCCTGACATTTGTGAATTCTGATCCACTGACAAAGTAACATCAATCGGACTGGTTGCAGAAGAACCAATTTGTATTCCTTCAGATTCTAGAGGGATAGCTTCTTCATCAGATGCAGGGGCTGGACTTCCTCTTCCAAATAGAGCTCGACACTGCCAAAATACATTAATTTCAGTAATGCAAGAGCATGGTGAGGGACTTATATGTAACTAAGACAGATAACAAAGAAGCATACAGAAAAGAGACAGTATGCAGGACTAAAATTTAGAGCAAGAATCATTAAGGACAAGAAAAGTGAATAGCAAAACAAAAAGGACTATCTTATGGGAACCCCAGCTAAAAGCAACAAGTACAACTGAGTTTTAGAAACCATGAAAGTGCCTTTGGGGGGTGTGGACAGGAGAGTAACAAAATAACCCAGCCATTTAGAAGCATTTTTGCCGGTTTCTGGAACAAGAATGTATCTTATGTCTCTACTGCTATCCTCATTCCATGAAGAAAATGAAGTAATAAGGCCTCTTTCTCCATGATGAACCCTGTTCCCCATTGCTGTCTTATGATCAACATACCTCCTTCCCCTTAATCTCCTATCACTAAAGCTATCGCTGCCTGAAACGCATATCCAGCCAGTTTCAGGACGAATAGCATAAGTTTCAAATTCTAATTAGATAAGATTTGTGATACTCTATACTAATCCCTATTCATTGCCGATGGTCACTGATCAAGTGGCAGTCTTCTAAATGTTAAAGGAATTAGTAGCAGATACTGAAAGAAAACTACTTCAGCCACAAAACAAAGAATCATACAAGAGGTTCAGCAAAAAACACGAAATACAGGTGAAGAATTGCAGTCCAATTACAATCAATGGGATATCAGGCCATTCAAACAATATCAACATTCCAACAAGGAAGTAATAAAAAACATAAAATTCTTGTTGAATTCTAATAAAAGAGGGGATTTTTATGGCACCTTGCTAACAAGACCGTGAAAACAGCCGGAGCTTCCCTGATGATCAGAACCAATTTCTTCATAACCGAAGCAACAACAAGCGTTACCCATCATTCAGCTCCAATCACATAACCAAACCTGCACACATGATCAAAGAGAGATTCAATTTCATTACAAGCGGCAAAAAGTAAAAAACTTTAACAACAGTAAAAACTAAAATAGAACCAAACCAAGCAAAAAAGGGCAGGGAGAAACAAATTGCAGGAAATCCCAAAATCAAATTCACTTACCGAGAAGGAAAACCCACAAGAACAGAACTTGTAAAACGGGTTGCAGAGAAGAGAATTGAAGGAAATAGTATGAGAAACTTTATGTGGACAAGGATTGAAAGTGATCAATCAATCAAACAGGGGATGTTGAAGAAAATTAAAAATATACAGTAAGGGAAGACGACTTGGGAATATTGTTTGGTCTTATATACTATACGTATATACTGTTGTTGTTTATCTTTTAGTCATGGGTTTAGGATTTTCTGAAGGTTTAAGGTTTTGATCGGTTTCCCCCAAAACACTTTCCAAGTACTTGTAGTTGTGGGTTTTCTTCGTACGTTTTTCCTTTTTCTACCTCGTTTTTGGTTTTGTTGTTATTTATCGTCAACTAAATTGAGTTAATGAATTTGATCGTATAATTATGAAAAATATTTCTCATTCCTTCCCGAAAATTAGTGCCACTATGAATTCTGAAAATTAAAATCCTAAAAATAAACTTAAAAAGATTTATATACTCAAATTTTCAAATTAATTTCAACTTGAGAGAGTAAATCACTCAACCTAATTTTTATCTTCATTTTCAAATTGGACTAAATATTATTCTCTCAGAAAAATAGTCTATACTATAAATTGTGAATTACTTTTATGAGACGGAAGGATATTTTTTATTTTTTGTATCCAAGTCTTGAGCAATGAAATAGTAAGTCAACTTTAAATATAAGAGAAAATAGTGTTTAGGACCGACCATGTCAACTCTATCATAATTTGGGGGCATAAATGCGATATTGCAATAGCTTGTAATTTCTTCATTTTTAAATACGTTATTTTTAGATGATTAGCAGCAAGTATTTGGGGAACGTTTTTTTTTCCCCCGTAAGGGTTGTATGCAACCATGCATAAAAAAGAAAATGACTATGTTCTTTCGGACTTTGGTTAATAGCAAAACTTAATCAAGCGAGCCATTTTTTAATGACAAGGTTAATTATTGAAATTCATTACAAAGCCTCACTCCCAACCTGATTTGCATGACTAAAAAATTATTGAAATTCATTACAATGCCTGACTCCCAATCTGATTTGCATAACTAAAAAACGTCTCGTCTTTTACAGGAAGGGTCCATCAAAAAAAAAAAAAAAATAGAAATATTGTTTATTGAGAAAAAAATTTATCGATATGTATTTCTTTTTCAATTCTCTTCTTAATAAGTAATGTAACGGAACACATAGATTACCTAAATCAAATTAGATATTTCTAAATAAGTGTGACACTATGACTTGTGATCCAGTTATTTAAGTGATGATCTCTTATAGTAAACTGTTTGTGGAAAATAAAAGGCAAGAATCCTCCTTTCCTCAAAGCTTCTATGGCTATTCTACATTTGGTGCAAACCAAAGAAGTGGCCTAATTCATCAAGCCCATCAATTGATAAGTTTAATTAGAATGATCCAGACTCTTACATTTTCATCCGAATGTTTTCTATTTGATGCCTTTACCATTGTCTGTGTGATTTTCTTTTTTTCAAACACATCATCAAATTGCATCAAAGATGAATAATCCATATTCCACATGAGTTGCTTCAATTGCTTGCGTAGTGCAAACATAAGCCCAAGAAAAATCAAATTAATTACTTCAAAAAAAAAGAGAGAGAGAGAAAAAAAACACTAAACATACCTGTTTTTGTGCTTATCAATGATCTCTTTTGTGCTAAAGAAATGGATAATTTTATAAATGAAAAGCCGGGGGAAAAAAACGATACAAGAAAGAGAAAAAGAAGGGCAACTTATATTGAGTCTAAATGAAGGAATAAGGTCCTACATCTTCATTTCAGCCACGTTCATGCATAGCCCACACAAACGGAAGAAGAAAAAAAAATGGAAGAAGAAATAATTAGAGAAATAAGTAAAGTTAATGCCATGATGACACGGCTAATAAAGAAGCAAAAAAAAAAAAAAGAATAATCAAAAGAAAGTTTTGAATATGGACCCAGATCAATTATGAAAGAAGAAGTTATTTTTATCAATCAAAGTGCCTGAGAAATGGCCTAGCGAACTACTACTTTCATCAATGTACATGATTCTTCTTGTCCATAAACTCCTATAAAAGCTAAGCAGTTCTGATCAAATTTTTTGGCTAAGGAAAAGCAAGTAATGGGGAGAATTGGGGCTACAATTCCTGGTTTTTGCTTAAACAGGATTAGGCCTCTAGTTCGAATCCGGTCCCCGATTGTACATTTCAAGAACCATTTTGATGATGATGATCATCATCAGAAGGAACATGAGAAGGCATCCATTAAGGTTAATGTTAATGTTGATGTGAAGGAGGCTTCAGTGAGTAATGTGGTTGGAAGGAAAATCATGGTAGTGATTGATTCAAGTGCTGAAGCTAAGAATGCTTTACATTGGGCTTTAACTCATACTGTCCAGAGTCATGATGCTTTGATTCTTCTCTATGTTACTAAGGTTTCTTCTAATCCAGGTTTGTTGTACCATGATGTCTTAATATACTTTTTGAGTTTAATTTTTCTCCACTTCACGTTTTAGTAGTTGAATAAGTAATTAATTCGGTTATATGATTTCAGGTAATGAATGTAACAAAGACATAAATCCACGAGTTTCTCAATTTCTCTCTTGCATGAAGATATTGTGCCAACAGAAAAGACCTGAGGTTTGTAGATTCTACAGCTTTTTTACTTTTGTGCCTTGTCCTCCTTCTTTTCCCCCAAAAGAAGTTGATGGAGAGACATGAGTTTGATTGGAAAGTCCTGCACGAATTTTCCTATTTATGTAAGAAATGTGTACCTAATGAAAATATTAGCTATACATATAATCGATGTCTCATATTCAAGTATCAAAACAGTTACACGTACAAAAAAAAAAGGAAGCGTTTATTTATTCACCACAAAAGAGGCTAACTAAGATCATCATTGGATGCATGGTATATAGGTAAAAGTAGAGGTGAGCGTAGCACAAGGAAAAGAGAAAGGTGCAGCAATTGTGGAAGAGGCCAAAAGGCAAGGGATTTCACTACTTGTGTTGGGTCAGAAAAAAGGTTTCAATACAACATGGAGACTAGTAATGATGTGGGCAACTGGGAATAATAAGATCACTTCCGGTGGTGGAATGGTGGAGTACTGCATCCAAAATGCTACTTGCATGGCCATTGCTGTGAGGAGAAAAAGCAAGAAACTTGGTGGTTATTTGATCACCACCAAACGACAGAAAGATTTCTGGCTTCTGGCTTGATGTAGTGTATCATCAATATATGACGATGTCAGTTTCCATCATAATTTATTTCTTCTTGATCAACTCAACTTAATAAATTTATATAATTGGACTATATATTACTATTTCTATCTTAAAATAATAACATACATATTTGATTTTCAAATTTATACTTGTTGTCTAACACGCAGTTCATATGAATCCGAACCTTTGACACTACACGATTAATACTTTAGGCCAGTGATCGGAACACCGAAATTACTCGATCCACTGTCCAATTGTCCTACTTTTACAAACGAAGATGTGCTGTTGGCCCGAACTATTCATAATAGTTCACTCTTTCAATCCCGTTCAGTCTTCTTTTTTGTCTAAAAAAAAAAAAATATATCATATGAGGGATTCATAAAGGGGACAAAAGTTGTTTACCTAATTAGAGACAACCCACATTATCTCAGGGTAGTAATGATTTAAAGTTGGTCAATTACCAATTAATTAGACAGTTTGAAGTATTTACTGCTAACACATTCTAGACTCTAGAGTGGAATGATTGAAAGAACTGATAGAGTTCGCTCATACAGCTTCATTTGTGACATATAGCTAACAATACTGCAAATAATGTTTTAACTATCAGAGCAAATTACTTATGTTTTTCCCAAATTGCTCTCTTTGAATCAAAATCCTATCTTTCTCCCTTTGCTCTAGCTCGCTCCTTCCTATCTCTTAAGTAATTACAGGTGATAGATATCTCATTATTGTTTATTAAGTTGTTACATTATTCCTTGGGAGTTCAAGATATGCTTTTCTGCAGTATCTGAGAGGATATTTTTTTTAAAAAAGGTTAATACTATGTTTATTAAGTGGAAAACAGCCCACACGTCTCATTTGTAGTGTACCTGATAAGTTATTAGAGCATTCACGAAAATTTATACTATTAAAGATTTAATGCAATTATTATATCATTATTTTACATTGTCATGCTTTATTTTATTCTTTTTATACATTGGTTTATGGCTTTATGCTATGAAAGTGTGATAAAATGAAATAGGTCAACTTCTATTAATTACATTGAAACTCACAAATCAAATATTAAGGGTAAAGAATATAACTAGTTAGTAATTAGTTAGTAAAGAGTGTGATTATATATCTATAGATTCATTCAACCAAGTCATTAACCCTTCAAAAACATGTCATAGAGGTTTGATATTCACGCGGCTCAACTATTGCTCGTTTAAGACTAGACGACCTTTTCTTTTCATATTTATAATAATTACTAATTGACATCCTACTTTGTCAAATATGAACAATCATTAATCATCCGGAATTGGCCTTTTTACATTTCAATTAGTAGTTTAATTGGCTATGCGTTTGGTAGTTTACGATGATTATATTCTTCCCATCTTTCTAACCTAAAAGGTAATTTAGTGAATGCCACCTAACAAATTTCCTAGTTGGACTTTGTGTTCGATTATTCTATGTTGTTTGAGATGTGACCACTAGTTAATCCTTTCTAAATCGAAACTCTAGAATGTAAGCCAACCCCAATTTTGTCACTGTCCTTTATCATTGTTCATTTTATTAATTAATTATTATTATTATTATATTCAATAATAGTACGACATCTTTCTACTTTGTCAATACCATTTCTTTCATTTTCATTTTTTGAAATATAAAGTTAAATCAGAACAAAACAACAGTGCCCTTGAGGGATAAAATAATGCAGTTGAAGTTCAGAAGGGATGTAATATTGTAATGGTATGGGATTTTGAGGTCAATTTCAGATTAAAAATAAAAAAAAAAAATCAGAGGGTAAAGAAGAAGAGGGGGACAGGATTTGGATAAATTAAATTAAGATAGAAAGATGAATTAAGAGGGAAAAAAAAGGGAGGGGAGGATTTGGGGAGAGAATAAGATTTTAGATTAATTAATTTATTCATTAGCTATCTACTGTACAAATGATAATTCAAACTTTCAGTTTTATCTAATTCTGGTTGAACCCTAAGAGCTGACAAATCTGTCTAGTTAAAGTAAGTCTTAACGAAGTCAAAATCTGTGCGGTACTTATAACGGTCTAAAACTTGCAAGACAGACTCTCAAGAATCTTTCGAGAATAGGCTTTCCGATACTCAAATCAATAACAGAATAAGAGAATAAAATCGAGAATGAGAGGGAAATGTCTATCGTGTGTTTATTGTGTAGAATAAGGGAGAGACACCACCTCTTTATATAGAGGTAGTGTTACATATTTTCATAAATTCGAGTAGGAATAAGTTTAGACAGTGGTCTAACATCCAAATAACCAACCCTAAACCCGATATGTCTAGGGTTTAATTCGGACTATTTAAGTGTTCCTAATAAGCCATATTTCTGAAACTTGATAAGAGAATATAGACTGGATTGTTGATGACTCTTCGAATTTGTCATATTGCCCCAGTTCTCGAATATCATGTTCTTGTAAATAAAGGAAAATGGTCGATAAATAGCGGAAATAGAATGAAATAGAAAAATATAAAATAAAATTAAAGAGACTATTTTATTATTTGAGTGAACCACATAACAGGTCCTAGAACTATTAAGTAAATTCATCACATATTATCAATTAAATTTATTGATAAAACAGGACTCTTTACTGAGCCAGAAATTCATCCGAGGTCATTCTGTTACCTTTGGCCATTAAATCAAAGCTATTTTTCACATCCAAAAATTGTAAGTTGGGTTTAGAGGTAATTTCGTCATTTTCTATTTTTAAAAAATATTTTTTATTTTTTATTTTTTTAATTTTTTACAATTCTTCTTATACTTTCTAGCTTGTATATGTTAATACTAATAAAATTACTAAATTTCAAGAATTAATTTACCTTTCCCATTTTAACTTCTAAGTTATAAAAAATATATATAAAAAAATTACACTGTTAAAGAGTGTAAGCATTTATCTTTGCTATGAAATTCAATAATTGATTATATTTTTTAGCAACTGAAAAACTAAAAGTAATTATTACAGGAAAAAAAATCATTTTAAGATAAAATGAGTAAAATCTGCATTTCATAATTAATCTATGTATTACAAAGGAGTCAAGGAGAATCGGCTTATCGTAACTGATTCTTCACAATTTGTTTTTCTTTTTTTTTCCTAAAAAATGGTAAATTATTAATTTTTCATGTTTACTTCAATTTAAATTTTTCTTCTTCATTTGATTTATTTTTCTAACAATTTATGTACCAAGTACCAACCTCTTTCAATATTGCGAAAAACAAGTACTTAGGAGGTGTATCATTGTCATCCTTCACACAAAAGAATGAAAATTAAATTGAAAAACAAAAGAAGAAAAACGAAAAAGCACCACAAATTAAGAAGCAGCTAGTAGGAATTAAAAGTTATATTCCATCCGTCTCATAATTATTATCCAGTTTGAGTTTTCATTTCTAGTTCAAATTGTACTAGAAGTGAAATCTCAAACTGGACAATAATTTAGGACTGAAGGAGTATTTACATCGTCAACATCATCAGGCTGTGTCACAACATCATCCCAAAATTAGTTACCAAATTGTAAAGGAATGGAAAAAAAAAACAAAAAAATAAAAATCAACACATAAAGCAAAGCAACTAGAGCAAACCTGGCATTATCCTTCTTCTGTTGGGATCAAACTTCAAGCAAGACCCAGATCTTTCCACCAATTCTTATAGCACGCAACAAAGAACACAAGAATAAAATTTCAAACTAGTAAAGGAACTTGGTTTCAAAACAGAGTGCCGCCATATGCAGGGCAAGCACCAACAACTTCTCCCGAAATCTTCCATTATCAACTTGAAATACAATTCTGATGCCGTCAGTCATCACCATCAGAGCAATGAGTACAAAAGCCAACTTGAGATTTACCATCGTCAAATTCGAAGGCTCTTCAAAGTACCAATCAGTCTCCATGAAAGAGTTAGGCCCAAGGTGGAAAAATAGCACATGAGGGTGTTGGTTTTATTGAATATTATAAAATCATTGTTGCATCTAAATTTTCATTATAGTGTCACACACAGTTTTATAGTGTCAAACTATTTACACTTAACCAATTCCTCATGAATATAAGGAACTCAACTTTAGCACATGTGGACTACTTTTGTCAAGTTTAACGTTTTCATTAGGTGGACTATTTGTTGCAACTCGTCTTTAATTTGTTGCTCCGAGCTAAGAACGAAAGACAACCCAAGTCTGCACTTAATTTGGACTGGGCCTAACAGAAGAAAATTAAGGTCTTGTTTGTTCACCACTCATTTTGCATTTTTGTCTCATTTAACCTCTTAAAATACCTCTCAAACACAAATTCCAATATTATCCAAACAACTTTTTAAATTACCTTTTACTAAAAATTATTTTTGCACAATTTTCATCCACCACCACCGAACCACCTCCACCACCACCCGCTGCCACCGGACCACCGTCGGTCGACGACCGACCGGCCTGATTCTGCCCAAATTTCGGCCAACTCGCCGAAATTTGGCCGAAATCTGGCCGGCCGATCGCCGGGCGGCGGCGGCGGTGGTGGAGGTGGTTCGGTGGTGGTCTAAAAATATTATTATTTTATTTAAAATATCACCCAAACAAGTTTTTAAATTTTATCTCAAATCACATTTTAAATCACATCTCAAACCCAAATCAAAAACCAAAACAAAAACTAAAACAAAATATTGGCCAAACAAGCCCTAAAAATTTGAAGAAAATAAATAAAAGAGTGAAACGGAAATGGGATAATCTCTAGAGACTACATTGTTCACTCAACAGAGTAATTTAGTTTAGTCCTACCCCTTTTTATCCAATTAGACAACATATCATTTTTCATACCAAGAGATCCGCTTTAAGGTCTATATTTTGGTCTTGTTGGTGAAATTTGGCATTTTGAGGATAAGGTTCAGTTTGAGACATTTGATGAGAATTATATTTGTTCAGTTAGCCCTACAGCTGTAAGACTGGATTTTACCTGGTTAGGGGCTGAGTTGGGTTCACTCAAGTAACTCCCAGCTTGTTTCCAAGTAGCTATAGTTATGAGTTGATGATAAGCAAGCTTGGTAATGATACTAAATTAAAACTCACAAGTCATGGTCAGAAGTAGCAACTAGATTTCAAGGAGGTGCTGCTAGTGGTACTTCTTTCAGAATTGTTATGATGGAAGACTTATATGAGTCAAAATGATCTGGTATGTGTTGGTTTGGTTAAGCTTGCTTCTTTTATTATAAATGAGATCCATTTGGGAACGATTGCTACCATACTGACTGGAATCTCTTTCAGAGATCTTTTCCAAGTAGATAGAGATTTTACATTACCTTGGAGCTATAGTGAGCATAGGTCACTCTGGACAGCACTTATGAGTTGTTATAACTTATAAGTTGATAGATCTTCGACGTCCATTTTACAGCCTTAGTGACAAGGTGTTTTTGGGGACAAATGGTTTATCAAACTACAAATGTGGGAATTAATTGACGAGGATTTCATGGATATTTATCTCCGGGATATGGGTTCAACTTAACAATACATTATTGAGGATGATTCTTATGCTCAAGTGAAAGGAGAAAGTATCACAACCTGATTTTTATATGGCCAAAAAAGGGTAAAACAGAGCACTTGGAATCAGAGTCTTTCAGCTACAAGGTCTTTTGGAGGAGGAGTACGCAAGTTAGTGAGAGTTTTCATCCTAAACACGTGGTAATGTTAGAAAATTGCAGCAATTCGCAGCTGTAAGACTCGTGTGTATTGAATACTGAAAAAGGCTTATAATGAAGTATGCCAAAAAGCTCCATGTGATAATATTTCTCAATTTGAAATTGCTACATCCCTTCAACTGTTGAAAGAGTTACTTTTCAGAATATTTTCAACATCTGGAGCTCAACTAATCAAACTAGATACCAAGGAGTCCAAAAGAGCACTTAAAGCTAAGTTTGTGATTTTTTTGTGAACACAAATTCAAATTGGAGAAAGACAAAAGGTTAACCATGGTGGAAGCTGGACAGAAGCAGCTCAAACCATCCATTTTAAGGCTGAAACAGTAGGATTAAGTTCAGATGAAGCTTGGAACAATGCAGACCTGCCTCTTAGCTGGATTAAAAGAGTGACAACTTTTAGAGGAGATACAAGTTTTTTCAAGAATGAAAAAGTTCCTCATTCCGGTTATCATTGGAGCCATGTTGTCAACCTTGGCAAAGGGGAAGTTCAAAGCTCAATCTTTACTGATCCTTGTCATTAGAAATGCTGGAAAATGAAGGCTTCTCTAATGATCAGAGATGTGGTGGGTTTGATTCCTAAAGTGAGCAAATATACCACCAACTTTATCCATTTTGATTATACTTCGGTAGAAGAAAATTTTCGGATTTCAAATCTTGAGGACAAGGTTTGTTTTATGGAGAAGGAATTATCATGAACTGGGATTAATTTTGATATTCTAGAAAATTCAGGACCAGATTGCTAGGTGATGCTATAGTTTTAGAATTACTAATTGCTTATTTACTTTTCGTATTGTGGGGAAATTGGCTATGAAAAGCCTTGTAACCATTTCTGGCAAACTATAGATTGAATTGAAAGTTTTTTCTTGATCCTAATTCGACTAATAATCTTTCTTGTCCTCTATTGCCCTTTTTTCTTTCTCCTCCCTACATCCTTGCCCCTTCTGAACTCCGAACTCTGGTCACCGTTGCTTCACATTCCGGCAATCCTCTCTCCTTCAAATAATTCAATTCTTAGTCCTACATCCTTGCCCCTTCTGAACTCCGAACTCCGGTCACTGTTGCTTCACATTCCGGCAACTCTCTCTCCTTCAAATAATTCAATTCTTGGTGCATATCCAACACCATATGTGACTCCGTCAAAAAATAATTATCCACTTCAGTTTTTTATTTTTTAGGTTTAATATAAAAAACACCCCTAAATTTTATTTAATTTTTAATATACCCTAATTATTTAAAGGAATGTCAAAAACATCCCTCAACTAGTAAGTAAATCATCAAAAGGGCCCCTCAGCTGGTGACAGAAAGTTGATGTATACATATGAATTCAGTTAAAAAAAAAGTATCAAACAGATATTTGTACTACAGAAAATCTTTCGCAAATTTTTTTTTTCAAAGTCTAATTAAATCTGTTTTAGAAATAAGGTAATTTTGGCCTTCTGAGTCTTTAGTGATTTGTGGGGAGGAGTGGTTGGTTCCGGGACATGTGAAAAGCGAATTTTAGATTTAGATAATGATATTTGATTTTCTTAGAGACTAAAAAAATTAACTTAAAATGAGTTTATTATGACCTTATGAGACTTTAGTGTACACGAATTGACAATGTTTGACCAGCAATAGTCAAGCTGTCAAAATACAGAAAAGACGTTAACTTAAAGAATGCTAACCTGAGATGATAAGCTGAAACGCAGGGATCGCCAGTCATAATAAAGTTCAAACATAACCAAAAGGTGGGGAACATGCTTGGAGAACTTATAGAGAACTCGAAATAACATAAACCTAGCATGCAGGTCCAAAATTTAATTAGCTTCGAGAGTCTACTGCTAACAGAGTCTACAGGCCAACTTCTTCTTCTTCTTCTTCTTTTTTTCTTCTAAACTAATATAGGCCAATCATTCCCGCATAATATAGGCTTTGGAGGGATGAGCAGAAAAGCTGACTTGCCCTTGGGAATAGAAGGAGCATCACCATTGTTGCCAAGTTCTGCGACAAGATCCTCAGCAATGCTATCAAGTCCATGGGCATGCAGCAAAGCAGGCCAAGGGCAAATGACCCACACTCTTTAAAATTTGTACACGTTCTCGAACATCACCTAGGAGAAGGGCATAACGGAACTGAACCATAACATCATCCTCATCCTCTCCGGCATGTTTCAGCATTATGGATATCGTGTCTAACTTCCCAGTTATCAAATAAATGAAGGACAATTTCTCAATGTTATTGGTTAACTGAAATGCATATTCAGCCGTACTAATACATCCTGTTTGGAGCTTCTCTTCCCCAACCTTATACAATAACATGTCCACATTAGTATTCCATACCTTTTGGGTAGGACCAACAATTGACCGCTTATGAATCATTTGTTCTAACATAGATTTCGAACAAGATGCTAAAAAATCTTTATCATGCTGCAAATGTCTCATCATGGACACTGGACAGAATCTTGCCTTCATGATAATGTCAATCGCCTTGTCGTACCTCTTCTGTAACGGCGGCAGCTTTAAATTACATTCAGTTGAATCGAATGTAATCAAACAAATGTTTGCTTTGCGATTCAACCCAAAAACTGTGTTTCCAAATACCCTAGTTATATACAAAGGAGCAACATCTAGGCTCTTGATGATTCCAATTTCCCCATTTGGAAGCCAGTATTTAAGGTGGAGCATAGTTGTGTAAATGAAAATGCCATCCTCATTCCAAGCTCCACCTTTTATGGCAACTGACTCTTTAACAAAGTAACGCTTCACAAGCCTCTTGTCAGCCATAACCATGGAATATTTTTGGAGCAAGGCAACATATTCAAGGTCGTGTGACCACGCAATACGCCGCGGCTTGCAATTTCCAAGTTCACCAACAACAACAGACTTTTCGTAATGGGACATAAAAACTCCATCTTCTGATCTGCACAACAGTGTTTGTGTTCCCTTGCCTGCTGCTGTGGCGCAAGGATAAATGGCCTTGGCTTGGATTGGAGGAGCACATTTTTTGACAACCTCATCTTCTAAATTCCTGAACACAACTTGGTTGCTTCTTTTTTTCTCAAGTACAGCAAACATGTTTGGAGCCACGAAAACTCTTGATCCTGCGCCTTTTATTACCTCCCCAAAAACACGATCGGCACAATGCTAGTAGTTATCGCATACAATGTTATAATAAAGTTGATAAGAGTCTTCGGTTTGATCGTTGTCGACCTCCAAATTGATCAAAATGGCACATCCATTTTGGTCAGCACAACAAGGACTATAGCATGGAATGGCGACTAAGTCTAATTTCATGCTTGAAGGAATTAGGCATACAAACAGGTATCATCACCTTAACATCATCCCGAGTGGAATAACAAAAAATATGAAGAAAACAGTATTTGACATAAAAAAGTAAATCACCATGATTAACAAAAGCAGGACGTTCATTCCTCAATTTGCGCATCATCAAACCAGTGTTGCTACCAGCTGCGAAATAGTTCCCCTCCCGGTGGGATGCAAGAATCCATAACTTTTCGCCATTCGGGGAACGAATCCAATTGAGTTTAGTCTTCTTCTCGGCATCCCATACCCGTAGTCCTATCTTCTGAGCTGGAGAGGATGAATTTGTTGGAATGGAAGACCACACATGATACATTGTCTCCGTGGGAGCTCCAGTACTAATCGAGCGCATCAGGAGTGAAGAAATTGGTGGCCCGGAGTGCCGCCTGAAAGTTTGCACCTTTCAATCTCCAGCCAGAAATCCGGTGATCGTTCCCGCCGGAGACAATGATAGGGCTGTTGGGGTGGAAACAAGCCCATCTCACTCCTTCTTTGTGGCCTAACAATTTTATGGTGGTTTCTCCATTGTCGAAATAGATAGCTCTAGGATTACTCATTGCCAAAGTCACCTTGGGCTCCCATCTCAAAACCAATTCGCAATGAGTGGGGTGGCCTATGGCACTTATAAACAGGTGACAGATCCTTCACGACACTGATGTGGAATTCTTTTTATCCCAACACCCTCCCTCAAGCCCAATGGGGTATTTGGCCCATTAGGATTGCACAACACAACATAATCCGTACAGATCCTTCACGACACCGATGTGGGATTCTTTTTGTCCCAACACCCTCCCTCAAGCCCAATGGGGTATTTGGCCCATTGGGGTTGCACAACACAACATAAGGGTTGCACAACACAACATAATTCACCAGATATACTGCTGGGTTAGTCAACAAGCCCGTACACACGGGTACATATTCCGAATATACTGTCGGATCAGTAACAAGCCCACCCATGTGCACGGAAGCGATTGACGCAAGTTCAAGGCACACGGATCCAAGCCCGCACACACGGGTCCATAGTTATCACAGGTCCACAGATCGTGCGCTCTGATACCATGTCAAAGTCACCTTGAGCTCCCATCTCAAAACTAATTGGCAATGAGTGGGGTGGCCTTTAGCACTTATAAACAGGTGACAGATCCTTCACGACACCGATGTAGGATTCTTTTTGTCCCAACACTCATCCCTTCCAATCTCAAGAGAGAAAAATCCCAAATCAAATCAACACAGTTCGATTCAAGGAGGCAGAAACAATAATGTCCTCTTTGGGATGAAACATGGCAGACATAACAGGGGCGCCGGCAGAGGAATTCAGAACTGACACACAGTACTTAAACCTCCAATTCCAGATCTTTATTGTACCATCATCACCGACGCTGACGAGGCAGGGTAGATGGTGGTGAAACTGGACTGTGCGGACGCCGTTGTTGTGGCCGCCAAGGGCAAACAAACACCGGTGGCATTCGTAATTCCATACCCTTACTGTCGGCTCCTCCAGAGGTGAACAAAGGTTCGGAATTGTGGAAGTGAACAGACCGGATGAAGGAGGAGCCATGGTGCTCGTCTTCTTTATCGTCGTCGTTGTCGTAGTAGCGATGGATAACCCGATCCAGTTGGTAGTTCCACATTTCAATCACACCATTGTGTAGAAACACCAATATCCATGGCCTCTTTGAGTGAAACTTAACCCTTCAACCTGACTCTCTGTATTCAGCCATTTCACACCCAAAGGAGAATAAGAAGAAGAAGAATTGGGCGGCATTTATATCTCTCCAGGAACCCAATTTCCAAGCTTTCTTCTGTTTGCCGGTGGTGAATTTGTACTTTGTAATTCGTACAAGTAGTAGACTCATGGAGGGTTGCGACTCCTTTAATCATTTTGTATTGGTTTTGTTTTTCTGGTTTGAATTTTACAACATGTTGAGATATTTCGGGATTTATTTGTATTTTTTGTTCTTTCTTATCACCAAACAACCGTTTATTATCTCTCTCATATGATGGGTTGGTTATTCAGTGTTTATCATTTGTTAAATGGACTGATAAAAAATTATAGTGTAATAATCATTTTGTTCGCTAAGTTTGTGGGAAAACCCCATACGTATAATTAGCCCCAATCCTCAATCTATCATCCACAAATGATGTTCCGGTATAATGCTGCCAAAGGTACTCCCTTCATTCCAAAACAAGTGTCATTTTAGCAAAATGGAGAAATTCCAAAATAAGTGTCGTTCTCACATTTCAATGCACTTTTTATCAAAAATTTTCAAAATTATCCTCAAAAGAGTTGATGCTATTGGTGGACAATTTTATAATGGGGTTGGTTGAGGATATTCAAGTAATTTTATTACCCTATTTAAGAGTTTCTTAAATTATGTGCAAAATGTAGGACGCCACTTATTTTAGAATAGAGGGAGTACAAAAAGTAAATAAATAACTCCACGAATTTGCTTCGTTTCGTGAGCATGTGACATTCAATTAATGAATTAATGTTTATTAAATTTGAATGTGTAGTTGTTACTGTTGGGTCACGGTATCTATGTTTTGTTTGCTGATTGGAAATATTTGGAATTTGGAGGTTTAAATGTGCTTTGAGAATTTTATTTGGTTATCTTTCTTTCTCAGTCTTTGATAATTAATTAGTAAGTAACTATGTATCGTTCACATTTTACTTCACACAATTCATCAAGCCCCAACTTATAATCACATCAACACCTTTGAATTTGTTTTAAAATTTTAAAACTTCCTTGCTCAATTGGATTTTTTTTTTTTAAAAAAAAAATCAACTGAATCTAGCTTCCACCTCCCCCAATATGAAAGATGAAATCACCTTAATATTACCGCAAGAACGGAAAAAGTTGCTACACATGGTGAATAGAGTTTACTCTCAATGTTTACGTTTCAACCGTCATGAAATCATGAATACCCTAAACCCTAAACCCTATATATATATATATATATATATATATTATATGTTCATAACAATAATGACTTCGAAAAGAGTGATGATATTGCCAACGCAATATAAATAGCTACTAGAGCCATTTTTAATTAATTTGACAAAGATACCCTTATACAATCAAAGGGAAATTGTTCATCGCCTCCGCCTTACTGTTAAATTGATCTAATTTGTTGCCCACAGCCATCATCACCATCTTCATTCATCAATTACCTTCTCCTTCAAAATAAAATTTTAAAAAAAAAAAACTAAAATTACGTGTTTGCATTTTTCAACAACAGTTTTAATTATTAAAGACTAAACTCAAGAAACTTTTTCTCTCCCCATCCCTCAGCAAGCAAAATCCAAGAACAAACTGATTCCAATATTTAACCCCTATTCATATATATCTTCAAATAAAAATCAAGTTGAATTCATAAAGAAGTGCTTAGTACAAAATGGAAGAAGGTAAAATATTTGTAAATTAACCTAGATTATCATACTTTAATATATTCCCATCTTGTTGGAGGTTTTTGGACGGGAGGAACACTGATGATGTGTTTAGAATTCTTTTTTATGCCTGAAACTTCATAAAAGGTCATAAATTTAGGTTAATGGAGTTAGCCGTGATGGGGGAAAAACCGCTGGTTGTTACATTTGGATTTGATCATGGCAAGAGAAGTAGAACAGGAGTAAACTTACACTTTGTTTACATGGTATTTCTATTTTCGCCAAATAAGTTTAAATTTACTCTGGCAGCTATTTATTGCACTTGCAATATCATTTGCTATTGAAAAATAACAACAAGAGCAATAATAATAAAAATTGTCCTGAAACACTAAATTCGAGTATTAAGATTTGTATTAAATTGAGTTTTGAGAATTGAGATAGAGGGATAGAATAAAATTTCAAAGCGTAAGCAAGAAGGCAATCAATAACTATGAAATGGAATGAATTGAACAAAAAGTTCAAGACAGTGCAAGCAATAAATAAGCTAGCTACCTCTTATATCATATATCATTTTCTCATGTTACCAATACCAATGAAATGATATAAGAATCTCGTTCTCATTTCCATTTTCCAGAGCTATGCCCATAAAACCACCATAACGTGATAAAAATTATACCCCTCTCTCTTATAAAAATAATTTTTAATATAATTTGTAAATTATAGTAAAATGCAATACAATTCGTAACTTGCAACGTGAAATATTTTTGTTAAGACGTACCTAATACTATTATTTAGAAAACACGGAATGAGTATAGTCGCAGTCGTTTCAAATGGAAATCTACTTTTACGCCGAACAAGTTATCTTAATTCTTTAATCCCTAAATTCACTCAAGTATAATAATATATATGGAAGCAAATCTATATCAGGTCAACACAAAAATGTACTTATGCAGCGGTTGTAACTAAGGACGTACATTTCGTTCGATTATTGCTTATAGGTTTTTCATTTTTTTTAGAACATGCCAGATATTAACAAAATTACACTTTGGGCCCTTTTTTTCCTTAATTCTATTCTGAACACTATTGTGTATTCTATGACATAATAACCCTGTAATGCCCTTAAAATATTTGACCAATTTGATTATAGGAAATTCAGAAAAAAGAGATTTGAAGGGGGGAGAATTAGGAAATAGGGGAGACAGATTTCAGTTTTCCATAAATTTTAGATTAGAGTCGTAAGTGGGGATTAGGGTGAATGCGGTAGAAGAAGAAGATTAGGCCCAGCCCAAAAAGGCTGACAGTCTATGGCTTAGGTCCAGCTCAATGACCTCAGTCCAAAGCAGCTCGACGGGTCCATCCCCTGATCAGTCTATGCTCTTCTTCTCCTACCTGTCTTTAAACCCTAAACCCCCAATTTCTTTCCCACTTGATAGAGCTATGAAATAAACCTGCAAAAACCTATTTGTTTTGTAAGGAAGGAAAAAGAAATCGGAGAACAGCCATGGCTAAGAAAACGAGCTCAGACAGCGGAAAGCCAAAGAAAAATAAAAAGAAAACCAGTAAAAAATCTGGTCCAAATGCTGTAGCAACGAAGCATAAAGTCCCAGCGGCAAACCCGTTTGAGACAATCTGGTCCCGGCAAAAATTCAATATTCTTGGTAAAAAGCGCAAGGGTGAACAGCGACGTATTGGGCTCTCTCGCTCCCTCGCTATTGAAAAGGTGAATTAAAAGGAATTTAGGAATTAATTAAGTATTCTTGTCATCATCTGGTTTCTTCTGTTTTGCACCAGTTAAATGGTGGCAAAAAAGGGATTCTGATTTTGAACTTCAATTTTTTTTTTCTGGGTTAATTTGGATTGCAGAGGAAGAAAACATTGCTGAAGGAATATGAACAGAGTGGAAAGTCATCCGTTTTTGTGGATAATCGAATTGGAGAGCATAACGAGGATCTTGGGGAGTTTGATAAAGGGATTATGAGGTCTCAACTTGAAAGAAAGGTTAGTATCAGTATTTGTCTTGTCAACATTTTTAAGCCTCTGGAGGTCTCTGAAGTTAGGTGACTAAATTCTGATATACATGAACATCATAGAGCTGGTCAGTGTAAGCTTAATGTTAGAAGTATTCTCAGCTCAACTGCTCCTTTTTTATTTTGACTCTCACTTCCAACCACCTTGCTTCGAGGTACTGGAGGATAGGGTGCACGAGCTTAAAGTTAAAGATTTTGCAAATTTTTAGTGTTTCTTTTGCATTCTCCCCATAATCATGGATGGCTTTAAATCATCGCAGGATTCTATCCCTCAATGGCTTAGTTGGAAAGAAACAATAATAAACAGAAATGGTTGAGTTTTTTGTGGTATTTGACAAAGTCTTATCCTTATTCCTTGGAGTTTCACTAAACCTTTACGTTTTTTCGTCATTTTAGAGCAAAAAAAGCAAGTATAATTTATCTGATGTTGAAGAAGAGGAACTGGAGATCCAACATGGTCTTTTCCCCGAAAATGACGATTTTGAAGATGAATTGCCATTTGATGAGGATGAGGATGATAGTATACCTGAGAATGGAGGTAAGTGCATGCTCCTACAAGATAACACTTCTATGTATGCTATATAAACTGTATCTTATGTTTTGGCACTTGTATTGATTTATTTCATTTTTAAGATTGTTTAAAACTTAAGACAACTTGTTGAGAATTGCCACTTGAAACTATGTGGCTGCACTCTTTCTGAATTTTCAAAGTAATAAAGTTTTGGTAAAGTTCCAGTTGTTTGTATTTCTACACTCTCCGGTGAATCTATTGTGGTGATTGCTTCAATGCTTATTACTTCTGCTTATGGAAATATTCTAGTCAAGAGATTGCTTATAGATTTTACTTCTGATGCAATGTTGTCTATCCATACTTTGTAACTATTTATCTTTATACTCGAATATGTGGAATTTGATAGATTTAGTAATGTCGCACTCCTTACTTTTATGTTCTTTCTCAAAGATGTCAATAAGACTATAAGTTGGATGAAAATTTCTTTGTCTGCCAGAGAAATCAGCTATCCTTGGACGGCTTAAGAGTTCTGCAGGGGATACTTCTCAGCAAGCAGATTTAAATGGAAATGAGAATGTGAGAATCGTAATCCATTTCCTAGATGTGATTCTTTCTGTTCAATTCATTATTGCTATGAAGGAGATTCTTATTCCATTTCGTAGATGTTAATTGCTTCTTGGTTACATTGGCTTGAGATTTTTGTTCAATTCATTGATGCTATCTGGCAAAGGTGTCCAGCAATTTGATTCCCTTTGTGCCTTTTCTCCATGGGGAGTAAAGATCTTCTGATTTCATTCACTCCAGTACTGGTAGGGTACAAAATGAGTCATTTTGACGATCCTTACCAAATACATAAACATGTACCAGTCTCCTTAGACATGATCTGGCCTCTTGTCCTTTAGAAATTATCTCTCCCCCCTTGTGTTTGCAAGGGGACTAAGTTTCTTTTTTTCTTCTGTTAAAAAAGGTTTTTTTTTTTTTTTCCTTACCCGGCTGTTGAGAAATGTGCTTTTCTTTTGCTATTGCAGAGGCAGAGAACGAAGAAAGAGGTGATGGAGGAGATCATTTTCAAAAGCAAATTCTTCAAGGTTGGTGTAGGATAGTGCTGATTGTTTTGCCTTGATCATCAGACATTATCTTAATGGGTGATTATGTTTTAATGACCATGTTTTCTTTGCTCCAGGCAGAGAAGGCAAAGGAGAAGGAGGAAAATGAGCAGTTAGTTGAGCAACTGGACCATGATTTTACTTCCTTGGTGCAGTCGGAATCATTAATAGCATTGACCCAACCAAGCAAAATTCATGCTTTGCGAGCATTGATTAACAATCCTACTTCAAATGCTGAAGCCAAAAAGGAGATATCAGTGCAGAATAAAGCTGCCACTCAACATGTACGTAGTCTACTCATATTTTCTTTTGGTTTCTCTTATGGTTTCTGTCTCTGATCTTTTCAGGTTTTGTTATGTTTTTCTCCAATGAAGTTTAAAGCTTTATATTTTTTCCTGTTGCTCGTTATGTTGGTCCATTTGAATCGATTGATCTGAGTTTTCATGTACACAAGTTGTAAAGGTAGTTTTGGTCTTGTGTAGAGTGATATTCTAAATCATTCTTGTCCAAATTCTTCACCAAATAATTCTTCCTATAAAATGATTTGCAGGAAAAACCCGATTTTTATGACAAACTTGTGAGCGAGATGGCTCTGGACATGCGTGCACGCCCATCAGACCGGACAAAGACGCCTGAAGAGATTGCTCAAGAAGAGAAAGAGCGCTTGGAGCAACTGGAGGTATATGCTGGTTGCTGTCAGAGATTCCATTTGTTTCTTTTTTAAATCATAGCCGGTTGCCGACGATTCTTTGTGTTGATTTCAATTGATATGAGATTTTAAGCTTAGTATTTTGTCGATTTGTAACACTCTAAATTCAGTTGCTCCTGATTTCAGGAAGAGCGTCAAAAGAGGATGGTTGCTGCTGATGGATCAAGTGATGATGACGATGATGGGCCTGATGATGATAATAATCAGCTAGAGTCTTCCAATGTTGAAGAGATACAAACTAAAGTGGGATGGATTGGAAATGTCTTGAGGGATGATGCTGACGATGACAGACAGGATGCTGCGTTCACAGAGGAATCTGAGGATGAGGAGGATAGTGAAGAGGAAGAAACTGATGAGGATGATGAAAGTGATAAAGCTCATTCTCTGAAAGACTGGGAGCAGAGTGATGATGATGAACTTGGCACTGATGTGGAGGATGACGAGGAAGATATGGAAAGTGAAGAGAAGAAACAAGGAAACCAGGGGAGTCAGATGAGAACTGGAAATGTAGAGAGCGTAAAAGAAAGTTCCAAATTGCATACACTTCAGATCGGAGAACTTCCGTACACAATTGAGGCTCCTAAAAGCCTGGAAGAATTCACTTCATTGCTTGAGAATCGACCAGATGATCAGATTGTGGAAGCAATCAGGAGAATCCGTGCATTTAATGCTATTAATCTTGCGGCAGAAAATAAAAGAAAAATGCAGGTATGGAGTGTCAATCCTTCATTTGTATCAACACATTTTTATTGTAAGTTTTTTTTTCATTAATGCACTCTGGAGATTAAGATGCTGTAATTTATGTTACATGACTACAGTTTGTTGATTAACTGATTGGTGAACTATTGTGTGGAGAAAGCAGCCATCTTCTTTATTTTTCTGTTTACATAACTTTGCATGTAAATGATTGGTGATTGGTGTTTGTGTCATGTAAATGATCTTTCCTTTTCTTTGTTTATTTGAAGGTCTTCTATGGTGTTCTATTGCAATATTTTGCCATTTTGGCAAATAAGAAGCTGCTAAACTTCAAGCTGCTGAATTTACTTGTGAAACCATTGATGGAAATGAGTGCAGAGATCCCATACTTTGCTGCCATATGTGCTCGTGAAAGATTACTGAGGATTCGCACACAATTTGTCGAGGATGTGAAAAGCATAGGTTTCGTTGTTGTTCCAGTATTTTCTGACATAAAGTTGATTAGACATTTTTTTTGTTCTAGTTATAAAGCTATCATTGGCTATTCCTCTGTAACCCACAAGCTTTTCTTTTGTGTTTACAGGGAAAAGTTCTTGGCCTTCCAGGAAAACAATCTTTCTTCTGCGGCTGTGGTCCATGATCTTTCCATGCTCTGATTTTCGTCATCCAGTCATGACTCCTGCAACACTGTTGATTTGTGAATATTTGACGCGCTGTCAAATCACATCTGGTCGGGACATTCTCATTGGCTCCTTCTTATGTTCTTTGATGCTCTCTGTAAGTTCTCGTAGAATGTCTGTTTCCACCTTTCCGCTTGTTAATACTTTGTAATGCCCATAGATGTAGTATGGAAGTAATTCTAGGTACTACCAGTTATCCTCTTTTGTTAATTCATCTTTCATTTTCTTCTCAAATCGCAATGGACCCATGGATTTTGTTACTGCAAGTATCTTGTATACATGTTTCAGCATGATCTGTGTGCACTTCTGCATCCAGTTAAACTGTCATTTCTTCTTCTGTATGTGGTTTGCTCCTTTGAAAAGCCTTATGTTCATCTCTATCATAGTTTAGATGCCGATGCACTTTCCTCGCTCAAACTCATCAGCTCCCAATGGTTTGACCTTTTGAATTTTTTATGCAGATAGTCAAGCAGTCTCGTAAGTTCTGTCCCGAGGTTTTAACCTTTATCCGAACTGTGCTTGCCTCAGCTTCTGACAAGACTGACGGAACTCCTGCAGATCATCAGGTTTAGTTCCCTTCGAATCCTGTGTATTTCCTTTAGCGGCTCTTCGTTGTTATGTTACTCTTCTATCTGCTATCTCTCTCGCTATCATGTAATTCTTTTATCTATAGAAGGAAAATTAATTTTTGAAACTTTTTTTTTTTTTTTTACCTTATTTCCATGACGAGTTACATTCTCTTAGATTACCCTTTTAAATGGCAAAATATGGCTGATTTACATATTCAATGTGCATGCAGTTGAACCATCTTATGGAAATTAAGGTCCTGGAACCTTTACTATGTATCAAGAGTCCTGTGAAGGAGATCAACAGCCTGAACTTTCTTATGCTGATGGAGTTGCCAGACAATTCCCGGCAGTTCAGCTCTGATGATTTCAGGTTCGCATTCTTTTTCACAGTTTTTCATTTTGGCGATAGCCAATGTTAATTATAGATTAGAGCATCTGAACCACTAAAAGCAGATGTTTTGTTAGTAATCTCTCTTTGAGGTTGTTTTGAACTGATTAAAAAAGCAATGATGTTTGTGAACAGAGCTGGTGTTCTTGCAGCAATCACTGAAGCTCTGAAAGGATTTGTCAACATTTATGAGGGTTATAACTCTTTTCCAGAAATATTTTTGCCAATTTCGAAGCTGTTGAGCAAATTGGCAGACCAAGATCACATGCCAGAAACATTACAAATCAGTCTCAGGGATGTTCTCCAACTCATTGAAAAGAAAACTGAAGAGCATCATACTTTCCGGAAACCACTCCAAATGCGGAAGAAAAAACCTGTACCTGTGAAGATGCTTGCTCCAAAATTTGAGGAGAAGTAAATACCTTTCTGTCTTCTATCTGATTTGACTTTATAGCATGCACATAGAGGAAGACTAAACGATATTCCCTTACTTATTTTCGCTTGATGAATGTCATTCTGCAGCTTTGTCAAGGGAAGAGATTACGATCCAGATCGTGAGCGAGCTGAGAGGAAAAAACTGAAAAAACAGGTGAACCGGGAACGTAAATCGGCTGCTCGGGAGCTTCGTAAAGATAATCACTTCTTGTTTGGGGTTAAGGACAAGGAGAAGAGGCTACTGGAGGAAGAAAGAGCAGAGAAGTATGGGAAAGCAAGGGCATTCCTTCAAGAGCAAGAGCATCAATTTAAATCTGGTCAACTTGGTAAAGGCAATAAAAGAAGAAGGAAGTGAAATTCCTTAAGCAGCCAGACAATGAAACCTGGTTAGCTGTTATACCACCTTGATGCCACATTGTCTGTTGACACAACCTAATCTGTCCATAAAAGTAGGATTACAGATGTTGTATTAATTTTGTAGCAGTATTCTTGATTTCATTCTTGTGGGTTTCTCTTGAACGACAGAAAGTGAAGGGCAACCATATAATATCCATTTTGTTTGCGTCCTGTTAGTTTTCTGTTACTTCTGATTCCTTGGTTTCCTTCAGTTGCATGATCTTTACCTCTTTCAAATGGGATATTATCTGCAAAACAACGGAACCAGTCGTAGGGATTATGTTTCATCTCTTCTTCAGATAAAGAATTTCTTTAATACTATTGGTAACGAGTAATAATATTCTGAATGGAAGTTTCCGAAGAAAGCTTGCAAAGGCCCTTAAAACCGTACTACGTAAGCTTTATTACACAATGCTGATTCGTGATTGCCACTCAGGTCACATTGATGCAACTAATTGCAACAATCTGACCCACCAAAATTGATGATTTAAGGTCTACTTTTGCAAAAGAAAAAGAAAACCCTCTGTTATATGATTGGTCCTCTCTGCTTTCTAATACTGTAGCTCTCTTTTTTTTTCGTACTACCTTATATGCTGCTGTCTGTCACATTGTGGAAAAACTGCACACACACAGTCACACACTGACACTCTCAAGAGTCAAGACTGAAGACTGAAGGGAGAGAATATTGAGAGAGATGGGAACAGAGGAGTTTGTGAAGATGGTGTTGGAGAAGTTGAAGGAAGCGTGGGTGGCCATGGAGAATCTCTGGGGCCAGTTGTTGGGATGGATGGACAAGGTGTTCCCACCGGAAACCAGGTCGGAGAAGATCCGGCACTGGGTTCATCTTGGTGTTCCCATCCTGATGGGCTTGGTTCTGGTCTACTTGTTCTATCGTTGCTGCAAATGCTGCTGCGGTTCCCGGCCCAGAAGAGGAGGTGGTTACAATAAGATGATGAAAGCTCCGGGCAGAAACTGCAGGATGCCTAGAAATGTGTTCGAGTCAAATCCCAAAGCTTATTTCCGAAACCTCCGAGCTTATCCCGGTGATGAACTCTGCTAATTAATCAGTACTCGGAATATTGTTAATCTGTGTGTTTATTAGTATTATGTAAATTGTGCTCTATGGATCCATCTATGCGCTTTGGTTTCAGCTTGCGATCTATACATGTTTTGTGATCTATAAATTGTGAGCTATAGATCTATGCGCAATGGATCTAGATGTGAGGTTGGAATGCTTTTGTGAAATGATGATGATGTTTTGTTTTTTTGGATCAAATTTCTTTGAGTTTTGCTATCCATTATTGCAATGGATGGTTCAAAGCTGCAAGGTCGCGAATGAGCAAATTGTCAATTACTCCCTCGTCCTATAATTATTATCCAATTTGAATTTTCATTTCTACTTAAATTGTACTAAAAGTGAAATATCAAACTGGACAATAATTTTGGGACAGAGGAGTATCAAACTAATGAAACATTAATCTTTTTCTTTTTTTCTTTTTTTTTTTAATAAAAAAACAGTGCCATTGATTATACCACAAAAAGAACACCGATAAGTTAGCAGAAAGTGGCTTTTGTCACTAGGAAATTGTTAGCTCTTTTTTTTTTTTTTTTTTTTGACTAAAATCATTTCCAATACTGAAATAGAATCACACAACAACAATTTCTGACTGAAGACATGCTCTAACTAACCTATGCACACCTTCTACGATATGTACGTGATTCCCTTGGAAAATAAGATTAGAGATAAAATAGAGAAGCACTATGACTAGCTTAATGCGGACATGATCTTGCCCAGTGACGAATTTAAGGGGGGTCAGGGTGGTCGATCGGCCCCCGGCTGGCTGGATTTGGCCAAATTTTTTCTTAGTAGGGTGTTCATTATTTGAAATTTTTTCAGTTCGACCCTCTGGTGACTGTTGAATAATCTTATTTTCGACCCCGCGATTTGAAAATTCTCGTTCCCTCACTGATCTTGCCACTACCAAATGCTGTAGTAATTACCTATGGTAGATATGCTTTACACTCGCAAAGCAGATTAAACTACAATTAAGCAACACTATAAAAAAAAAAAAGAAAGAAAAAGAATAGTGGGGAGGACTGATGTATGCTCAATTGTGTTATACTGTAATTAGTGATTTAACCTTAATAATTTTAAAAAAGCCACTAAATTCTTGCCTGTAAGTAATTATTAGAACAGTACTAGGGGGAACAAAAAAGAAAAGAAAAGCAAAGGAGCTAGCTACACAAACATCTTCTGCTAATTGTTTGGTATATTTTGCCTGTGTGTGTTTCCAGTTACAGCAGCAATATTTGGCAACCCTAAAATCTCTATCATGGATTGCGGATATCCTGGTACTAACCCTCTTGCTACCTTTAGTAAAATGTATCAGTTGATCCCAGGGTCACAGACTCGGCTTAACGACTTTCAATTGATATTTCCCTATTTTGTAAGCTTGTGATTTTGTTTTGTTTTGGTCCTAAAATGTCACAAAACCACACATCCAAAGTGAGTTTCCCTCTCTGCACATTAGTAGTACAAATACCGGAACCATCTCAACACAAAACAGACCATATCACAAAGGAAGAAAGAAAGAAACACATCCAGAGAGCTAGCTCTGAAGCCAAACAAAACAAAGAATAGAAATCCATGGAGAATAATGGGATGCTGAAGTTGATTATGGAGAATTTCTCAGGGAGATATCCAGATTGGAGCAACAACACCAAAATGTTTCCATTTCCATTTCCACCAGCAGAAGCAGCAGCAGCTGAAACAGGGGATTTCAGCAAGCTTCTTTACTACTGGCTTCAAGTTGCAGCTCCATTTCCCACCGTTGCACTTGCTCTGCTTTTGCTCCTTTGCTGGGGAGGAAGATGGCTTTCCAAGAAATCAAGAGGGAAAGCTATAGCCAAGCTGATGAAAGCTCCTCTTGCTGATTATGATTATGATCATCACCACCATCATCATGATTCCCTCTGCTAACCAATGCACGTTTCCATGTTGTTCTGTTCTTTCACCCCTGCTTGCCTAGCTTCCGGTTTATCCCGTGTCATTTTCGATTTTTCTAGATCTTGTTTGTGTCCAATTTAGTTAAGTCTAGGCTAGTGAGGTGTTTCAAATAATCAATCGGTTGAATGTTAGTTCTGTTTGTGTGGATCCTCATGTCAAGGGCTTTTTTTCAATGTTAACTTGTTTGAGTTGTTTCTTTTGTGTAACTTGTGTTTGGCGACGTTGTTTCAACAAAATTTTGTTTATTGTTAGTGTTTTCCAATCTAATCAAGCCAAAGCTTGTGATCAACCAGAAAAATTATATCCAAGCGATCCTACGAATTATCATTGTATTTCTTCCGTTTCAGAAAAATAGTTCACATTGTATTTTGTAATTTGTTATTATTTTTAGTACAAATTACGAAACAGAAGGTGAAACATTTTTTTTGGCACAGGGAAGTAATATATGTTATATCATTCGGTATCACATTTCATTTTCAAAGTTTTTACAAAATCTATCATTTTTTTTTTTGTTATTTAAAGACCTACTACATATCATCATGTAAAACGGAAAGTAAACCAATGAAAAAGGTTGGAGAAGGTAAAGGTGCGAGGAAGTTTCATTAGCAGCACAGATTTCCAGTAATCAATATGTATGTTGTACCATATGAAGGAAGGCGCACCTCTGTAATAGTAGACTTAAAAGGAGCTTTTCCTTCTCCAAATTGATTCACGGGTCTAATTACAGGAAAATTCAAAGAAAATCGCGAAATAGTGGGAAAAATCCATATCTGGATTGTCCACATAATGTGATTGGAATAAGGGTAGAGGAAAAAACACAAAGTATATACATCATGACGAAAGAGTTTTTGTTCATTGTCGATATTATGAGTTTCTTTATCCCCATTATAAAGAAAGGAGCAAAACCTGAGATATCAAAGGAGTATCTAAAAAATAAAAATAAAAAAATTTCTTTTTGTAAAAGCAGATATGATAAGTGGCTAGTCTTTTGATACCGATTGCAAACTGCTAACAAAATCATTCTATACACTCGATTCGCCTCTAAATAAAAATAATATTATTTCCGTCCCAAAATTAAAGTTCTGTTTAATTATATTTTTAGTTTTAGTACAAGGAGGATTATTGATGAGAAATGCGTCATTGTGCTTACATCACCAAACACTATAAAATTTGGGAGCGAAAATGACTTGCTACCGAGGAAACAATAACGCTACTTCCACTTGAATGTTGACTATGAAAAGTGTTAAAAGTAACATCATGAGTCATGACAGCTTAATCTACAGCAAAGTTGATTCCAATTACTTTCACTTTTTGAAGACAAATTACAAGTCTTTACTCTTAGAGCTGGAAGCCCGAATCGGAGAAAAAAAAAAATCGAAGGTATTCGAGATGGGATCGGAAGCAGAGAGCCTGATTAGCAATCTGATGGTGAAGATCAAGGAAATGGTGGGAGATTTTGGAACCTGTGAGAATATCATTCAGGGTGTGAAACAGAGTTTGATGTCGTTCTTCCTAATGATACAGAATCTGGGTTTGTTTATCATGGTCTGGTTGGATAATGTATTCCCACCGGAAACAAGAACAGTGGAGAGAATGGCGGGACGGTTGGTGATGATTGTGGAAATCATCCGGGCCAAGTTTAAGGAGATGGGTGCAGATGAAATGGTTCAATTTCTGCTGGAGAAATCCAAGGTGCTGTTTCTGATAGTGGAAAACTCTGTTTCTTTTTCGGTATCCTGGTTGGGAGAAGTATTCCCACCAGAAACAAGGAATTTGAAGGGAGTTTGGGTAGTGGTGATGAAGACGACGGAAATCACCCGGATCAAATTGAAAGAAATCGGAGCAGATGAGATGATTTACAATCTGGGTCAGAAATTGAATAAGGTTCTATTCTGGATGATGGAAAAATTGGGTTCCATTCTGATGGCCTTGTTGGGCAGGATTTTTCCACCGGAGACTAGAAAAGAGCGGATCCGGTACTGGATTCTTGTGGGTGGACCTTATGCCGCCGTCGCAGTACTACTAATCATGGTGCTCATTGTGTTTGGGAATTGCAGCAGCAAGAAGGGAGAGAAGATGATGAAAGCTCCTGGAAGGGAGTTTAGGATGCCAAGAAGAGATTTTGAAGCCAACCCGAAAGGGTATTTTCATGGAATCCGTGGTAACAAACACAAGAAATGCTGATTATGGTTAGTTTTTTTTTTTTATACTATCATGACTAGATTTATAGGTTCCTCCTCAGCATTTCTGTTGATATTTTGCTCTGCTCATTAGAGTTTCAGTTTTTGCTCCTTTCTTCAGTTGCATACAAAAGTATCTCTAATTTTGTGATATCAACAGTTCAACCATATTGCTTCACATGATTGCAGAAAGTTTTGAAATTCACTTATACTACTGCTATTAATTAATCAACGTAATTCAAACAACCATCCGTTCAACTACTACTATTAATTATGGCAGAGGCGATCCACTATCTCAGCCTCCATTGTCATTGGCCTGGGGAAGTGTGAAAAGCAGCATCATTAAGGATTTTTACACGGTATTCTACCAGCTACACTGGTCTATTTATTTCATTTTTCAAAGAGGAGTATATTTTAGTCACGGAGAGGAAAGAAACCTAAGGGCGTGAGAGATGGGATTCAAAACAGAGAACGTGGTTATGAATCTGCTACAAAAGATCAAGGCAATGGTAGGAGAGTTGAAAGAAGGGAGAGGGGTTGACATGATTCACTGGGTGCAAGAGAAAGTGAAGGAGCTCTTCCCAATAGTGGAAAACTATGTTTCGTTTTCCATGTCCTGTTTGGGAAAGGTATTTCCACCAGAAACAACAAGTTTGAAGGCAACTCTGGGAGAGGTGATGAACATAATGCAAACAAGCAAAGTGCAGATCCAACGCTGGATCCATTTCGGTGCATCTAACGCGGTTCTGGCATTCGCCTTACTCCTTCTGTTCTATTGTTGCAGCGGATGCTTGATCTTTTGCTTCGTCACTGCAGTTAACATCCTGATGGTTCCTTTAACTTTGCTGTGGCAAATCATAAGTTTCTGCATCTAGGTCATTGTTTACATCCTGAAGCCTCCTTTTTCGCTTTGGTTGTCTGTATCCTGAAGCCTCCTTTTGCTTTGGTTTGGAAGATCATAACTGCCTGCATCCGTTGCATTATCTACATCCTGAGGGCGCCTTTTGTTTTGGTTTGGAAAATCATAACTTGCAACGGGAAACTTGGTAAGATGATGAAAGCGCCTGGAAGGGACTATATGATGCCAAGGAGAACCTTTGAGGCTAACCCAAAAGCGTATTTTCGTGATCTTCGAACTGGCAGATAAACTGAATTGTGTTCTCCCTTTTGTTTATCCTTAAATCGATTTGACGTTTCATGCTTACAATGTTGTTTATTATGATCTGGCTAGCTACCTTGTTTAATGACTGACAACATTACAACCTGCTAATCTTGTTCAAATTTACACGACCATAAAAACCTTGGGACAACATCAACAATGTTGTTATCTAGGCCTAATGCCTCTTTCGGTCGAACATTGGTGCAAAGATTGTTTTCCCTGAAAGTAAGCATGAACATATTGGTAACCTAGTCCTGCTAACAGAAATCATGATGATTGTTCCCGGCGAACAACTTAGTCTAAAACGTTTGCCTTATTTATAGTAACTTTACTTAATCGATTGGTAGCCTAGTAATGTTATACTATTCATCTTCAGATAATCAGATTGATGAATCGTTAGAGTCAATATTCATTCGTTTCAGCTTATCATGGTATTGCAGAAGCTTCAGAATACATTAATAAGAATTAATAGGTATTTGATCATGATTTTCATCGGGTCATTCGTAAAAAAAATAACAATCCACCTTGTTGGAATTATACCATTCAACTCTCTGAAAACTGACTCTAACTTTAGTTGGTGGTAAGGCTCTTAGTAATATCAAAATGATCTTAATTACTGTATTTGACCATGATCACAGAGTAAGTATCGAAAGAGTAAATTGCGTAAAAACAGAGATGATTAAAGCAAATTCCACTGAGGTCTTTCAAAGGTGTGTAAAGCAACATCATTAAAAGCTGGTGCAGGGTGTCCCCCACTACGAGAGAAAAATTCACTGATATTGCAAGGACCAAAGACTCTTTGGAAATTGGCGAATAGAAAAGGTTGGATTTTTAATGTATCAGAAAACTAAAAAAATCGCTATCATTTAGGCATCATCCATCCCTACTTTAAATTAAAGGTTTACATCGAGTTGAGTTTTATAAGGGTAAGGCCACAAGAACACTCAACTAACACAGAGAGAAAACAGAAACAGTGAAAAATGAGATTGATAGGAGAGAACATGATCATGAATCTGCAGGAGAAAGTGAAGGGAATGGCCGAGGGAATTGATGTTAATAGCCTGATCTTGATGGAAAGCACCAGTAAGGACAATCTGAACCAGATGGTGTCAGAGGATGATCTGATTCACGACCTGATCAACAAAATCAAACACTTCCTGCTGATGCTGGAAAACTTGGGCTCATTTCCAATAGCCTGGTTCGACAAGGTTTTCCCTCCGGAAACCAGAAACGAGCAGATCCAACACTGGATCCATGTCGGTGAGCCTTTCGCGGTTCTCGCATTCTGCTTACTCCTCCTGTTTTGCTGTTGCAACGGATGCTTGAGCTTTTGCTTCATCACTGCTTTTAACATCCTCAAGTTTCCTTTTGTTTTGCTGTGGAAAATACTAACTTGCTGCATTCATTGCATTGTCTGCATCCTGAAGGCTCCTTTTATTATGATGTGGAAAATCTTAACTGTTTGCTTTGATTGCATCCGTAAGGGATTTTCACTGGTTATGGCTCCTTTTAAGCATTGTATTGGGTTCACAAGGCACGGCAATGGCTTCGTTAAGATGATGAAAGCGCCTGGAAGGGGATATATGATGCCAAGGAGCAGGTATGAAGCTAACCCAAGAGGGTATTTTCGCGGTCTGCGAGCTGGGAAACGCTGATTGATGTCAGTTGATGCGATCTGATCATCCTCTCATCTGTTCTTTGCTGAAACAGGACAGAATTATCATGTTTAATTAGGATGCATTTGTGGCTTAAATTAAGATTGCTATCAAGTTACTGGCTTATTGCTTATGGTGTGTACTTTGTATCAACTTTTGGTCACTTGTGGCTTCGAAGTGGCTTTGTTTCTTTTTTTTAATGGTTTTTTCATAATAATAATATAATAATAACTATACCCTCCCAAGTCCCAACATATAAGTTTTTATAACCCTTAAGCTGTTGTAGTAAGTATTTTTTTGTTAAGATCGTTTTTATCTTTTACATGGTAACATATAGATAATTGTGGCAATGGAAATATTAAACATTGGTATTATTTGAATCATTTCTCTTGTGTAAATGGCGATTTAGAAAGAAAAACAAAGAAGTTAAATACATAAATTAAGGATTACATTTTAATATTTAACAATTCAACTCCCTTACACGATCACGCTTTACCCAATCACAGTCGGCCTAAAGAAGAAACAAGTGACCTCATTTTTATTTTTTTTTTCCAACAAAATTGATCATTCTCTTTTCAATGTTTTTGTATTTAGTGAAGTCTTATACTACTTCATAGGTGGGCAAGGATTACACTGTTTAGTTACTGGAAGTGGGTGGTCAATCTGTAGTGAAGATGGTTTTGTTGTTTTGGGGATGAACGGTGGTCAAGTTGGGGCCATCAAGGAGTTAATGAACGACCTTGGAAGGTGCTAAACTTTGAGAAGCAACTTTGTGGCAGATTGTTTGATAGCTTTAATAGTATCATATCCTGAGACTATCAATTTTTAGAGGCTGCAAGGAGTATAATAAAATCATGGTTAAATTATGACATTGTTGGAGTATTATATCTATAGAATGTTGTAATTCAAAGATCTTAAAAATCTTTAGATTTCGGCATTTTTCATTGTACCAAAATAAATATATAAATAAATTCTTTTTTGGATTTGTGGGAACTAGTTTTTGTATTCAAGACCACTTTTTCTATGTAAAGTTTACTTAACCCATTGGGTTTGCCGTAAATTATCCAATCTTTGTCCGTTTATGTAAAGTGTAACCATGAATTCAAACACTAGCTAGGTAACTAAAAAGAACTTGTTCAAAATGCAATTTCTACCGATTATTTTCCGGAAACCATTATATCCAATTACTAGAAGCATCTCCGTAGCATAGAAGCTTGCGAAGGGAAAAGAAAACATCAAACCGTAGTTTCCATGCGGAACGTTGACAATACACCGACTTTGGAAAATGAGTACTAATTAAGAAGCTAGCTAGCTAAGAACAAATTATGGAAGCCCAGCAATATCTCGTAAAAGGAAGGGTAAAACTCCCGGTGGAAACTTATACAACTTCACCACCCTTCCTTGTTGGTAGTCCGTTGCTAGCGACGCCAAATAATCCGCTGCGGAATTAGCCTTCCTAGAAATTGGCAGTAACTCCAATTTCCAGGGTCTCTTACTCAACTCTCGAATAGCCTCTATCATTTCCTCAAGTGCTCCTCCTCCAGGTTTCCTTTGATGATTATTCGTTACCAAATTTATGACGCTTTCGAGATCCACTTCAGCAATCACGTTTCGAAACCCCAAGTTCCACGTCATGTTTAATCCTTCAAACAAACCCCGCAACTCGGCCTCGGTGGAGCTGACGGCACACGCGCCGATATTCATAACAAAACCACCTAGCCAAAGCCCGCGCTCGTCACGAACGAGACCTCCCGCGGTACCTCCTCGGCCGGGGACAAAAGATCCGTCGGAATTGAGCTTCACCCATCCCGTCCGCGGCGAAACCCATCTGACGGGGCGAATCTCTTTTAATATCACTGCTCGGTCAGCCCGGCCTGATTCTAAACTGAAAGACTCTGCATTCTTCTCACTACTAGTATTGTTGAAGTTGAGATCGGCCCGGTTCATGATTACGCCGGGCCTTTCAGGTGCCGTCAAATCACTAACATCATCGGAGGTGGACGTGGCGCCGGCAGATCCAAAACACTTTGAAGCTGCCCAAGCTGAGACAATTATTCCGGCGGCCAGGATTGAAAGCTCCGGCACCCAGGAAGCGATAACTATGGCAGCAGTTGCCAGGGCTGCTAACTTCAGGAGCCGACTTGATGAACTGGCCTTATCTTCCTCCTGAGCTCCTACCCATTCTTTCTCTAACATCTCGATCTCTCTCGGTTTTAGATTTATTTTTCTGTTTTCTTGTTTTTTTTAAAGAAAGAAAAAATACAAAGCTTCTGACTCTGTTTCCTTAAAAATTAATCATTCACATATGAGGAAAAGCTAGAGCAATTAGGATGAACAAGTTCTGGTCCTGTCCAAAGATCCTAAAAAATAAGTCTTGGTCTTCGTCGTCTTAGTGGAGCATCTTTTCCAAGTGGATTTAAGACACTTTGTCAAGGAGTTCGACTGATAATTAAATCACTTTTTTTTTTCCCTTTTACTTCTGTTTGAAGTTTTTGTTGTTAGCTTAGGATTATATCCTATCACATTTTGAAGACAAGTATCATAAAATGCGAATTCCTCCCTCCACTCAACTAATACGAAAAGGGGGTTGAGCAGCATCAGTAAAAAGCATAACCTAGTACAGAGTTTAGCTTTGTACTATATAAAACTTTTTCACTTTTTTGCCGACAGATAGTAATTCCCCTCTGTCGTATTATTATTGGATAGGTGATCCTTTTAATCTAGTAGTACTATGTTAATCTGATTTGTGAATGTTATTATTCTTATTACATACTCTTTCCGGTCCTTTCTATAAATATAAATCGTTTTGATTTCTCCAAAAGAGGGAGTGTGTCATTATAATCCAATGAGATACATGGTACAAAATGAAAATATCTGATACTACTATATATCTATAGTACTTACTTATAGCAGCAAACACTAAGAACACGTGTCAGTACTACAATGAAAATTTTCCCTCTAAAATTTCTCAGTACTTCTCAGTACAAATCCGAATGAAGCAGAATGCGATACGTGGCTTCATATATTTGCAGGAAATTTTAGTACTGAGTCCAGTTACAACACAGCAAATTAAACTGAAAGTTTTTAAATTGAAAATCTCCTCAGGGCAGTAATTTATCTTAAAAGTTCAAAATTTTCATTTTAATTTCACGATCAAATCTCTAAAATCAATCTGTTCTCTCACCGCATAATTCTCAAAATTTAAAGATTTTGATCAAATTCCTAAAATCACTCAGTTCTCTTCTCATCGTTCTAAAAAATATTCCTTTTCTAGTCTATTCAACTACATAAACCCACCTCACCAACGATGATGAAGGTTCTAATGAAGTGTAGCACCACAAAACACCAGAAAAGACCTTCATTGTTCCTCGGGAATTGTGGATTCATCGGGTTTGCGTTCAGATCTATAGTTGCATACCCAAACTCCGGTTTGGAGTAGATTCGACCTTTTTTCCAGAATTTTTTCATGTCAAATAAGAAGTTTTCGACAGAAACAACAGACGACAACGGCAACAAGAAAGTGTTTTTTTTTTTGCTACAAAATGTTAGCCACCACCTAAACTTCTTTTTTTTCCCCTCAGTCGCTTTTTTCTTTGAAACATAGTTTCTTTTTCAATCATAGGATTATAAGCGTAAAGTTGATGTTTGCTCGGTTTTTTGTTTTTGCGAATCAGCCTTTCGAGAAAAAAATTGAGTAATTTAATGAGGGAGATGAAGGTATTGAAGTTGATTTTGAACATCGCCGTCGTATGGAATGGAGATCGGCTCATCAGATCTGTTTATAATTCAATAATTTGTTTTTTTCTTTTGGAGCATTTTGGTCTACCTTCGTTTATTCAATGAAATCTTGAGAAAAATTTAACCTTTTCCTTTTTTTTTTATTTGTTATTATTTATTGTATTTCTTCTAAATTGTTATAAGGATGTTGCGGTAATGGAATTGAAATGGTTGCAAATGGCGAGAGCTTGGGGATATGTGGGATGGAGGGGAGAGGATAAAGCTAGGAAATATTGCTGTCCACGACGATGAAGGTTGGGATCCTCCTGTCATTTACATGCTTGGCAGTCATGATATATTCAGGTAGCTGCTGTTAGCCTTTTCATTTGATCTCTCCATATACAGTATGTAATATCTGAATTAACTATTTGCTCATTTGTTGTGTTAAAATGCCGAGTATAATGTTTTTGAGGTTCATTTGTACATTCACTGTGGTGGATAAGAAGATGGAGAAGTCAGATATGATATTAGAAATGCCACTAAAAACTAAAAAATACAGCTGCATCGATATTCAGATAGGGCATTTACATCATATGTTACTCTTTATAGTGCCTCCGTTGATTGAGATGATTCTGCCAGAAATGTTCAATTTGACTGTCAACATGATAGAGGTGATTCTGTTGATTTTTCAATTAGGAGATTTTGCAAAAAGTTTTCGTTTTAAGATAGTTCTGATATGGTGATTCTCTCTCTGAGACATTTCTTTTTGTGAAAAGGGCATCTTAGCTTATCTTTACATTATGCCGAGTAGGAAGAAAAGTTGACAATCCTTCATTGTTTTCTCTGCAAATATAGGCTACAAAATGAAAACACATAAGGTTCCTTTTCCGTCTTCTTGCTTGCAGTTTTTCTGTTGTATTAATTTGCCTGGGTTTTTTGAACTGGCTACTCGCAACTAAGTAAGTTTATTTTCTTTCAATTGGGTTTTAGGTTTCTGCAACAACTATTTAGGGGATCTGGAAGTGGGAAGATTATGAGGAGGTCTGGGAAACAACATTTGTCTAGAAAGAAGAATGTTAAGAGAAGATTGAGGTTGTCCAAAATGGTTCGTTTTCTTTTCTTTCTTCCGAATTTGCTATGTGCAAATGTTGAATTATTTTATCCCGGTTAAGGTTGTTCACCCTCATTTTATTAAAAGCTTGGTTTTTAATACTTCAAAGATACATGTGGGTTGCGAACGTCGACATTACATATCAGTAAAGACATGGCACGGGTAAATTCTGAAGTTTGTACTACTACTTCTTTGCTGAATTTTTATTGTTTTCTATTCATATTTGGTCCCTTAAATCTCTATTCGTAGTCCTGATTAAATTGCTTATATAGCTCCCAGTATTTTGTTACGGATTTAGTTTCAAAGTTATTTATGCTTTGACAGGTTTTAGTTTTGACTTTAGTTTTTAATCAAGTGATACTTCAATGTGTTTAGATATTTGTCTCGAATTTAGTTTATAGATTATCAACTTGGTAGATACAAAGTTAGATAGTGTTGTATGCTTTTTCCTTCATTCCTTAATGTTTCTCCATTGACTAAGGAATCGTTAACAAAGTTTTTTTTTTTCAAATCTTTGCTTTGATCTTTATCTGTTGAAACCTTTATTTTGGGGGTAGGAAACTTTTATAAAGGTAAAAAGAAAATTTTTGCAGGAAAGATATTCAATTTTAAAATAAGTTTGTGAATACATTTGCTCTGTTCTACATCAGTCTATATTAATCCTCATGTATAAAATAAGTTCGTGAATGCATTTGCTCTGTTCTACATCATTATATGTTAATCCTCATGTAGTTGTTGAAGTATTTACAACATCATACTTCGCAATCTGACAAAGTTCAAGTGTTTTGACAATTATATGGTGGTTTTCTGATATTGATGATAGTTTCAAAGTTTAAGTGTTTTCTTGCCATTATTTACGTTATTAAAATCGTATGAAAATTTGGATCTTGTTGCAGAGCATATGATCATGTTGCTATCAGGTTTAGTAAACTTGAGACAGATATTATTTTGATGTCAGTGATTATGAAGAAGATCTGAAACAGGTTGTCAGTGTTTTCCAGCTAATATTTTTACCTCAGTTAGACACATTAATTCTAGAGATACAGTGTTAACTTGCTGTTGATGTAATTTACCTTTCTTGATGACAAACTTGACCAAGGAAGAGTCTGTTCAAAGTACCGGGGGAGGGGGGGAGAGGTCACAATGCACAAATGCAAAAGCTCCTATTAAGCTTCATGATTTTGTTACGAGGGTGAGACAATCTACAGTATGTACTTACATGCCAGCATTGGTCCAGGTTGGGTATTAACTAATCATTACATAAAAGAGTGTTTCATGTTGGAAACGAATTTGGGTTGGGTATTAAAGGATCATTGTATTTGTCTTATTATAGTGGTATACAGTCTAGAGAGCGTTGGGTTATATAACATCGTACTAAGTAGGAACCGTAACATATAAACAACTTCAATTCAAGGTTGTTAGTGTTGAAAAATGTTAGTTTGCAAATGTTTTCTTTGAATGCATTTAAAGAGACGGTGTTCCTTTTCAAAAAAAAAAAAAAAAGAGACGGTGTTTGTGCCTCCGACGAGTAATGTTGCACCGCTTGGGGGTAGTACTACATGATGTTTCTGATTAATGATGGAATACCTTCCACTGGTTACTGGTTGAGAACCAAATGATTTGTCCAGTTAATTATGTTTAGTAATGTTACAATCATATATGTATGATTGAGAACCAAATTCCATCCTATTCTTTCTCAGTACCTACACATTATTACCAATTTAATATAATATTATTCTTTTAAAATTAGAATAACTGTAATATTAAAGGCGTCCGGACATCCGCCCGGACCAAACATCTAGTTATATTCTTAAAGCTGATGTTCCACACCCATCGACGTCACAAAGATAAAAAGAATCCGAGGACTAAACACTTTTCGTATTAGGGAATAATGACTTAATTAGGGGATAATGACATATTATATCCTTATACTTTTCGTATAAGGAAGGACTATGCATAGTCACTTTATTAATATAATATCATAAATAAAAATGAAGATTACAAGGTTATATTAGAATGACTATAATAAAACAATTAAAATCAAAATAGATGTGGTATTTGTTTTTTTGAACGAAAATCTGATAAAAAAAAAAATTTGTAAAGAATTAAGTCACATGGAAAAGGTGTGTAAGAACAAAACACAAGCTCATGTGAATCAAGAAGAAGCGGAAGATATTTTTGAAGAATTATGTGTTAAAATAGAAGTGAAGATGGAGTTTGCGGCAAAAAAGCATGGAGGAGTTTGTTAGTAATTATTGTTTTTTACTGCAAACTAGTTAATTATGATTAAAAAAATCAGTTTTACTTGGTGAATTAGTCTTAAGTTGTTGTAGTGTTTGTTTGACATATTTTAGGGGAGTCTTTTCACATTCCTTTTGCATATTTGTAGAAGATAAGTTCAGTTAATTATGTAGTGGTAAAAGTAGTGGAGTACTATATTTATTTCGATGATAATAATTATATATTGAACAAATGCTTATATGTGATTGAATATTAACTTTTAAATATTGCACGTATATTTCACATCTCTTACATATGCATTTATTCTTTCTTTATATAATTACAAAATACACAAGCATTGCGTCTTTTAGGATAGTATTAAAGAAAAATATATTGCGCTTTCACTTGTAAGCTAAGGAGGTATAGTTACCATACCATCAATTCAACTTACCAAAAATTTTGAAAATTAAACAATTTAGAAAAACTTTAATATTTGAAGTAATAAATATTGCACGTGATCGAACTTTAACTTACTTGAATCACATGTACATTGCACCATATTTTACATATTTGTTTTTTTATTTACATAATAATATATATATAAGCATTACATTTTTAGGATAGTATTACACGTTCAAGAAAAACACGTTGCACAATATAATTTATTTGGATTCTCCCTTTCACAGTGTTTATTATTTTCGGAAGGTGACGTGAACCCATGGATAAGATGAGCCACCTATCTTTCTCCAATGATGTATGGACAGAACGCCATGGTCGACAATGAGTTTCTTGATGACCGAAAGAGTGCAGTAAGTCTATTATCAAGACCCTATTCGACGTTTTGACATTTTTTTTTTGTGTGCTCATGTCACTCTCCATTTCCCACATATTGCATCCTAATTTGGATCCACGACTTGATGCTCCTACAATTGGAAAAGCCCTCCTCAAATCAAAGGGGATTCTATACTAAATATTAAGATATTCCTTTCATTATGAAATAAGTGTTGTTCTACCAATGTGAATAAATTCTAAGAATAAATGTCGGTTTTATATTCTAATGCAATGTTTGTTCCAAAAGAAAAGAAGAAAAGAAATAATATTAGTGGCTCTATTAGCTTTAGAGGAATAGTTTGAGGATAATCTAATAATTTATTAACTATATTTAAATATTTCTTAAATTGTTTGAAAATTATCTAATAATACTTATTTTAGAATAGATGAAGTATTGAATAATGAATATACCGTAATGCATTGGAGCACTAGCGGGGGTCATCCTTTCTCTTTAATGCTCTATTTATTGTAGTGCTCATATTTAAACTAGAAGTGACTGTTGGTGATTGAAATTATCATCATACACAAAGAAAATCAAACAAGCTCAGAACACACTATGTAACATGGTTTGACCCTTAACACATTTACGTCCATAGAAAAACACGTTATCATTATTAGATTTGAAATATTGAAGAATTTATATTATGTATCTCTCGACTTACACACAACATATTCCTAACGGCTATATTGTGTTCACTATTGGTTTTAGTATACTAAAACCTTACTCACTAATTGCACTAATATAAACTCAAACATATTGGGGTTGTGGACTTTCAAGAATTAAACCCAAATAGTGCATATATTCCTTTCATTTCAAAATGTTAGTCATTTTAGATTTGAGAAAATTTTTCAAAATATAAATCGTTTTAGTGTTTAAAGGTAAATTAATGATTTCTTTTCCAACCTTACCCTCAATAAATGATGACTACCCATTTTTATTTAATTAGTCTTGTTGATAGTTCTAATGTAATTAATGAGAGCTAAAATAGATATTAAACAAAAATAATTAATTGTTAAATGATTGTCCATGTAGTTTACATACAAAGTTTAAAATGACTTACATTTTGAAATGGATGGAATAATACATTTTAAGATGTCTATAGCATCATTTTAATTAAAGAAAATTATAACAAAGGCCTCATCAGGATGTTTAATGATATCATATCACGTAGTTAATTTTCACATAAACGGATTTACTTATTTCCTTCTTTGGGTTTAGTATTGATGAAGAATATAAACAATTTAAGGAAGAAAGATTTGACTTTCATAAGACAAGGTTTAGATAAATAAGGAATGAAAATTTAAAACGTCCTATGTAGAATGATATTATTGAGCGTCGTGAAAAGGCCTTTTGTCGAGGACGGTTCTTAAAAGAAAAAGTAGATATTGTATTAGGCTTTATGCCTCTCTCTGTAACCAAAAAAAAAAGAGAGTAGATATTCTATTACTAATTAGGCAACAAAAAAATAATTCTTCATTGTTAATCTATACAAATACATAAGTAAATATGTTTTAGTGAGTTTAGAATCTCAAATGTGATTAGTCAAGATTTAAATTAAGTAATCTGATTGGCCTATTAGTACACATGATATCGTTAATTTTAAATCGAGCCTTTTAATTGGTTAATATGTTAATCCGGCGTCCAAAACCACGTCGTTTTGTGACGCAGTACAAAGGGATTTTACAATCTGACAAACTCTCAGTCATTCTTCCCTCTCATTTAAACCCTATTTATTAGAATTCTAATCACACCTATAATCTTTGTGGTGCTGATTCTAAAGATGTGCGGTGGCGAGTGTTCAACTGAAGATGATGACGATAGCCTCCCCATCACGGTATGTGTCGTTTCTTTAGGATATGTTTGATGCTTCTTTTGTTAATCAAATGTGGTGTTCCTTTTGGTTCTTTTTAGTGACAGAATATCATAAACCACTGAGAGCAGCGCAATTGAAGGTGGACTCTTATTGGCCGCCTGGAACTCCCTCCTCAATATTGGTAATCTCGTTGGTGCAAATCCGGTTGATTCAAACGCTTCTGTTGAAGCCAAAGACGCGACCTAAAAGGTTTGTGCTCATGCAAATTTCTTTTAATATTTTTGTACACTCTATTTGCTTTAGTTTTAACACATACAATACTTTTAAGGTTAAAGCGGTAAATAGAGAACTTAAATTGGAGTGTGGAGAGTGGAAAGAGACTAATGAAAATTCAGTAACAACAACCAGCAGGAATGCTTATGTATCATTTTGAAGTTCATTAATAAAGTACTCCTTTTCTGCTCTGGCAAGGATCAATACATGGTTTGCTTTTATTTGCAGGCTGAGGTGTTCTTGGCTATTACTGTGCCCATTCAATTCAAGGATGTTGGTTTAAGAAGAATGGTTAACTTGATGATGAAGGAGTTGTCCCCCTCTGCTGATGAGGTTTGCTACACTTTAAATTATGGTTGTCTTTTCCCCATTTTTTGCCGCTGGAAGATTGGAACTTGACTATATACTCCTTTGCAAATGGTTATCATTTGTCACCAGCTTTCCAATGAAGGACATGATAGAAGCATTGATGGGCCACTACACACAAATTAAGGGATACTTAAAAAGGGCTATTGTTGATAAAAATATGGTTGTTGCTACCGCTGCCCTTAGTGCTATCCATTTGCTGCTGGTATGTGAAACTGTTTTGGAATAGGCCTATTGTATTATCTTTGCAAAAGTACTACTACTTACCAACTAATAATTTCGCGACAGACAAATCCCGAGATTGTAGAGTACTAAGGTTCAAGAAGCTGTGCAATCTAGGATTGTTTACTTTGTTCCATAAAGATGTAATGTGCCCCAATTAATTGATTTTGTCCTCCTGGCTTAATGATCGCAATGGTGTGCAAAATAACTTTTGTTTTTGTTGTAACAGTCGTTTAGTTACTACTATTGACTACTGTTACTACTATATAATAACTTCTCAAGTATCCTTCAAACACAAAAAAATTCGGTATTACAATACTTACCAATTTCTTAATCTACCAATCACAGTAATTAAGATTGAATTGTGATCTCAATAGTAATTTACTTTCAATTTTATAAAATTAATCAACGTATAAAAAAAAACTAAATTTAGCATTATTATATATATCTTATAATTAGGAACGAAGGTAATATATGATCTACATAAACCGTGCAGCTTGGTACGGATCAAATTGATGAACACAAAGTGCATGAAACAAGTACGTTCATTTAGAACCCAAAAGATCCAACCATTAAACCATATATAGCGGAAAACACAACAAGGGGAGAATCAGCCAATACATTAGATTAATGATTCAAAGCTAGAGGAGCTTCAGAAATCTAAGTTAAAACAGAGTAAAACTCCTAGATGATAGAATACCACACAAATTTATTCATTCAAAAGGGATCTATCTCCCTTTATTTTCTCTCCCCCCCCCCCCCAAACATAAATATCACTTGCGACGATGATCACGGAACCAGGAAGCAGGGTCTTTCTCAAAGTCGTCCCTGAAAATGGAGTATTCCTGTCCTGGTGCTTTCATGGTTTTCCTCCGGCTGTTTCCTGATTCCGAACCTCCGAGAAGCCAACCCAGAAGAGCAATACTAGCAATTGCCGCAACAGCAAACCCTGCTCCTATTCCCTCTTCCTTCTCCTTCAGCTCTGTTTTCGAAGAATCACTCTTCTTTCTCTCCCGGGAACCCATTCTTTGTTTTTTTTTTTCTTGTTTTTTTGACACAAAACTCTGATGATAAAAGGGTTTCTGTCAGACTTACTGAAGATTGATTTGCTTATATAGGAAAAATTCAATAGGGGGCGTTTGGTTGGAAAAACAGGGGTATACTCAAAAATTCAAACGGTGTGTTTGTTGTTTTTCCTTTTTCGAGATGGCTTCAATGATTTACGAGACGATGGTCTACCTTCCCCTGATGCTTTGAAACTTTAAATTGCTTTGAATGATAGTACTGGAAAACGGTTGAGAGAGTTCGATTAGTCATAAAATCAAGTTACTAGGAATGAATGAAAATTTATGATCCCTTTTCCTCGAGGTTTCGAATTCCAATCTAAGTAGAAATTCCCAAAAGTTTTCCATTCGCATATGACTTTCCCACCCACAATTTATACATTTACTATTACACTTGTTCCCAAATTATTAAGGAGAAGAAACCAATTGGTGTTCCTAAAACATGTCCGTAAATTATTAACATAAAAAATTCATCTCAAAGTTTCTTGAGCATGATTTTAACACCCTGTTGTGGACGAACCATGAAAATCTGTACCGGAGAGTGGACATAATTCGGCGACATTGTAAACCTGTAGCGCTGCAGAATCATGGACAGAGCAATCTTCGATTCCACTACAGCGAAATTCAGTCCTACACAAGTTCTCGGGCCCAAACCAAATGGTAGAAATGCAACTGGATTGTTGTCGGTAGCCTTATTCACTCCTCCGGTAAATCTTTCCGGCTTGAAAACATGAACATCTTCACCCCATATCTTAGGATCATGATGAAGCGCTAATGATGAAATCATTAACTGTGTATTCGCCGGCAATGTTACCCTCCCGAGCTTGACTTTCTTGTCCACTTTTCTCAAGATAAAAGGCACTGGAGGATATAGTCTCAAGGCCTCTTCAATGATCATGTTTACCTAAATGAAAACCAGAACATCATTATTATGTTTTCATGCAAATCAGGAAGTAAAACAGAATTATTTTGCTTTTTTTTTTTTTTATACAGTTTTTAGTCTTGGGATGGCATCTGCTTCAGGACTGTTTTGGCCAAACAATTCAATAACTTCATCCCTTGCTTTCTGCTGCCACTCCTTGTGTATAGCTAGAAGAAGAATGCTCCAAGAAAGCAACGACGTCGTGGTTTCGTGGCCGGCGAAATAGAACGTCTTGCATTCATCTACAATGTCCTCTACAGTTATCCAATTCTTGCTGGTTCCACCATGATTAGTCTCTAGGAGTTTTGCTAGAAAGTTACCATTTGAGGTTTCTTCTTTCTCCTGTTCTTTCTTCTGGATGATGTTCCTTATGCTATTCTTTATTCCTCGCTCAAGTTTCTCGGCTTCAACATCATCAGAGCTTTTCAGTAACCAGCTGCAAGAAAGCCAGAAACAATTTTTTATAACTTGTTCAAGTGATCAAATCTTCTGAAATTTCCAGATTCATTAATCAGGCTTGCTCAGCTCAACATTTGGGTTACCTGATTCCAGGATACTTAATTTTGTGTGCATTTCTGGAGACAATTAAAGTCAATTTCATCAGCATGTCAAATATGTTCTTGCCTTCCATGTAACTGCTCCCAAAGGCAGTCCTGGAAATCACTTCTGAAGTTAGCATCCTGAACTCATTAAACACCTCAAGCTCTTGCCCCTCATTGTCCTTCCATCTTGACAACATAATTTCTGTACTCGCAATCATTGCCGGCACCATACTCTGCATTTAACAGCAACCATTTTCTAATTATTAGTATGAGATTCATCGCCATAATCGCGTATTAGTAACGAAACAATGATGAGTGTTTATCTTACTTTAAGGCTTTCAGCATGGAAAACTTGGTTGGCTAGCTTCCTCATCCTTGCCCACTTTTCACCTTTTGACGACGAAAGCCCATCTCCTAGAAGCAGTTTAGCATATCCTTCAAGGTCGATTTTCGGGTATTCACCATTCTTATTGTTTAGTATCTCTTTAACAAGATCAGGTTCTGTTACAACCAGCTGAGCCTGAGTTCCATGCCAATTTAAGTAAGTTGGCCCTGATAGAAGAAATGAAAGAAAAGATGATCAAATAAGGAGAAAGATTAAGACTTGATGTATCAAATAAACTAACCCAAACTGGGAAGAATACAGAAAAAGCTTTTGTACCATAGAGGTTTTTCCATTGATAAACATCTGGAAGAATTCTGGGAAATATGTCATGTGAAAAAGCCTCCATGGCTTTGTTGGAAGAAGTTCTTCTCATCATTGAAATGTCTTTGGTGTTCCCATGGAGGAATTGGTATGAAGGACCTTTGATTCCTTGGGATCTCATACAGTATTGAACATAAATTGGTCTTAACCATACTTTGTTAAGGATCCTGAAAACCAAACATGATAGAAGAAAGCTTGCAAAGAGGAAACTTACTTCCCAAACTAAAACCATATTTTCTCCAAACCGACTTAACAAATTAACGAGATTTGGGCAATTTCTTCTCAATTGTATAAAATGCTTTTGATTGATCTCTGGAATCTTTAGGTGGTAGAAACTGACAAACATGTTAACCCTCATCCAATAATGTTTGATTTTTCTACAATTATTTCTTAAATATTGAAACTTAAAATCAATGGCATGATGTTATACAAATAGTTCTTCCATAGACAAACATAATTGTAGAGAAGTTCTGTGTGTGATGTTACAAAAAACTTAATATTGCTTTTTTTTTTTTTGTGTGTGTGTGTGTGTGAGAAGTTCTGAAAGCAATATTCCTGGACCAGATGACATAAAAGATTGTGTTTGATAGGGGAAAAGATTGAATGTGAATTTTGTTTTTCTCTTCGTTTGGTGCAATAATGATGCATTAATTTAATATTGAATCAAAATCAACAAATACTCACAAAATGGTCTGGACCTTGAAGAACTGATAATTAAATCAATTTTTAAAATATCAAATGGGTATTATTGTACGCCCCTTAAACAATTTGATTTGGACAAGTCCAGTCAATTGATAGAAAAAATAAATAAATAATTGATCTTTCAGGACTATTCTCATACCCCCCTGCTATACATCAGCCATGTACCCAACAATTGGTCCTCCAATTTGGAAGATCTTCTTCTTTTTTTCTTTTTTTTTTGTTGGTGGGGGCAAAATGATGTTTCTATTCGAGAATGATAAGTTTCATGGATCATTGGAGATCGTCATTTGCATTTGAGTTTCTGCAAATTGATATTTTTGATTGTGTACGTTGTGCATTACACAGTTTACAGATTTGATTTAGGCATTAGAAATTCCCATTTACATTTTAGATTATACTTTATTGAAACATGAAACAGATTTACAATGACAATAATCCATAACTAGCAAACCTTCAAGTACTATTACTTGACTAGTTGTCCCTGAAACAACCCATTCATTCTTCAATCAAATTGCTTGGAGGATGATCTGAACTCCATATTTAGGGGTAAGAATAAAGATATCAGCAGGGAAATGGACATAATTTGGTGACAAGGTGAACTTGTATTGTTGCAGAATCATAGAAAGTGCAATTTTAGCTTCATTTGTGGTGAAGTTCAGTCCCACACAAGTTCGAGGTCCCATGCCGAATGGAAAGAATGCAGCAGCATTGTTGTTTGTTGCTTTAGCCACCCCTTCTGCAAATCTCTCTGGCTTGAAGAGATGAACATCTTTGCCCCAGATTTCGGGGTCATGATGAAGTGCTAGAACCGGAAGATATAGGTTTATGTTTGCCGGAAGGCTAAGTTTCCCTAGTTTAACTTCCCTTTCCACTTTTCTTGTCATCATAAGTACCGGAGGGTACAGCCTGAGGCATTCGTTGATGATCATGTTCATCTGGAGAGCAAGAAATGAAATAAATCGGTATCGCGAACAATAAAACACACTATTTGTATAGAGTGATGATAAAGACAGTGATTAAGTTAACAGTGACTTTGTATAGTGACTGATGTGTCATTCACTATCCTTACAGAAAGTTGTGAGTTTATGATTGGTTCATTACTAATATGTAACTTATATAGAATTTCAAAGATGATTTTCTTACTGTTTTTAGCCTAGCAATGCCATCAGAAGTTGGTTTTTTGTGTCCCAATAACTCAAAGATTTCCACTCTTGCTTTTTCTTGCCATTGAGGATTGATGGCCAGAAGAAAAACACACCAGGCAAGCATGTTTTTCGTGGTCAGATGTCCTGCGCCATACAACGCTTTGATCTCGTCAATCATTTGATCCATTGTGATAGTCTTGTTTACATCTGATCCACGAGTGATATTCATCAGTTGCCCCAGATAATCTGACCCAAAATTCTCAGTTTCCCCTTGTTTTTCCTTTTCCCTTTTCCTCACAAGCTCCATAATCGAGCTTTTGATCCTCTGCACCAGCTTCTCTGCTTCAATCTCATCACTAGATTTCATAAGTGTACTGCAAAGCAGATAAATGGGATGAATACAAATAAGCTGAATAAACACAACTGAAAAATGTGTACAAATCAAAGTCACTTTTATTTTTACCTGATTCCTGGAATTCTAACAGTGTAGACATTCCTCACAGTTATGGCAGTCAGCTTTGCCACCATCTCAAATGTGCTCTTTCCTTCTTCATAACTGCTACCAAAAGCTGTCCTGGAAATCACTTCTGTAGTTAATAACCCGAATTCTTTGAACACATCAATCTCTTTCCCTTCACAGTGTTTCCATTTCTCCAGCATTGCCTCAACACTTGCACACATCGCCGGAACCATGGCCTTGATAGAAGTAGATCAACATCATATAAACAATAATTTATGCTTAAATCCTCCAATAAAATTGCTGAAAAACTTACAAACTTACTTTCAAGCTCTCAGCATGAAATGTATGATTAGCCAATTTCCTTACTTTAGCCCATTTTTCGCCCTCATTTGTGATAAGTGCTTCACCAAGAAGTTTCTTAGCAGAGCCCTCCACTTCCATTTTTGGATATGCACCTTCCTTGTTGGTAAGCACTTCTTTTATCAGCTCTGCATCTGTTAAAAACAATTGGGCTTGTGAACCATGCCAATTTATATAGTTCTTCCCTGCAACCATGAACAAAAAAATGTGGAAAACACGAAAAGTAAATACTTGCATAAACAATCATATCACAATAGATAGTGATTGAGATTTGAATGTACTACCATAGATTTTGGAGTAAGATTGAACATGAGGTTGAATCCTTGGGAAAATGTCATGAGAAAGATCCATGGGTTTGGCCATGGTTTGGCTTCTCATCTCAGTAATTTCTGTAGTATTTCCGTAGGGGAACTTGTAAGAAGGGCCATTGATCCCCTGAGAATTCAACATCTTCCTGATTCTATAAGGTTTCCACCATACCTTGTTTAAGAACTCCATAAAAGCCCATAATAAGAAGAGCAAAAGAGTGATACTGAAACAGGAAATCATAATCATAATCAGATTAGTGGCCATGGTTAATTATGTCATGAACAAGGTATGGTGTGATTGAGGTATTCTTATGCTAGAGTTGCCAAATTATTGGTATAATCCAGACATATAGTCTTTGTATTAAACAAAAGAATAACAATAAATGTGGTCCAAAATTATTGGTTTACTACGTAATGTGATACCATCACGATGAATAAACCCCAGGTTTCACATTCAAACAAAAAACCAACCAGATTGCGGTCCTAATGATAATAACTGAAGTATATTGTATTTTTAGATGAAATAGAAATTTTATCCCACGTCATTAAAGATTATTAGTCACCTTAGCCCAGCTCTCCCACCCATCGAAGTGCCTACCATAAGCGATCATTAAAAATTATTAGTCAATGTTATCGATGTAGACACCTTGCAATAGGAAAGAAAAAGAAAAAGAAGAAAAGATTATGAGTACGGTCCTTTGTGAGACAAAGGCCTTTGCTTTTAGTACACAACAAATACTGAGATCATCCTGAATTTTCTTATCTAATTGATTTTTCCCAATATTATCACCATTTCCATTTGTAAAATGTTTTGATTAAGAACCAACAATGCTTCTCATTAAGATTTTGCTCCCTCCGTTACATTCCAACATTTACTTGGTTTTAATATTTTAGTTGAACAAAGTGAATTATTTTATCGAATTATATGGCATGCCAGCATTACCCTACCACCAAATGATTGTACCAAAAAAAAAAAAAACTTGTACAAATGAGAGACTGACTCAGTGGTTGACTTCAAATTTGATTAGCCCCTTATTTAATGCCACGAGTTGTTAATGCCCAAAACAAGTTTGAAGTCAACAGCAGTTGGCTATGAACATAATTTTTATATGCTTCACCAATAGGAACAGGAATGCCATTATCTTTTTTTTGTAAACTTTACTGGATTTCACTAGAAGAAACAATTCAGCTATGGAGCATAATCTTACACTTTATGGGTTGAGCATTCTGTTGATCTCCTTCATAGTAGCTTATTATCTGATCAAGTTTCTTCAAGAAGTATGGTGGAAGCCAATGGAAATTCAACACCAATTGCAATCACAAGGCATCAAGGGCCCTCCTTACATGTTTATGGACGGAAATGCAACAGAAATCTTGGAAAGGAGGCGAAATTCCCTGAGCAGAAAGATTCAATTATTCGACGACATGTTCCCTACTCTGCAGCCACATATACACTTGTGGACCAAAATCTATGGTAATCAATCAATCTAATAACCATAGTTGAAATTTTCAGTTTGAAAAATTATGCTGGAAAAATGGTTACCTTGTTGACTGTTTGATTAGGGAAGAATTTTCTGCACTGGCCTGATGCAAGAAGAGCTGAACTGGTTGTAACAGAGCTGGAGTTGGTACAAGAATTGCTGGATGACAAAGAACAGTCTTTTTCAAGACCAGGAGTTGATACACATTTGCAGAAGATGATTATTGGAGATGGAGATTTTACTTCTCCAGGTGAAAAAGGTGCAAAATTTAGGAAGCTGGCTGATCAAGCCTTCCATGATACAAGCTTGAATGTAAGATCAAGTCTGAAGAGATGTTTTTTTTTTTTTTCCCTGCGGCTTCTTAGTTTAATTGTAATATGGTTTTTTTTGTTGTTGTTTGTTCCTAATTCATAGAACATGATCCCATCAATTGTTCAATGTGTTGATGGGATGCTGGGAAAATGGAAGCAATACGAGGGAAAGGAAATTGATATCTTTGAAGAGCTCTGGTTGTTGAGTGCTGAAGTTATCTCAAAAACTGCATTTGGAGTTAGTTCTGTGAAGGGTCAACTCATTTTCGACATTTTTAGGAAGTTGATGAGTTTAGACACAGAGAATTCTCAAAAAGTTAGGTTTTTTCCGGTTATCAGGTATACAAAATGCTCTGGTGTTGGCATCATTGACTTGATATCCAGTGGCCCTTCTCATGGAGCATCAACTCTTTTTTTTTTTTGCAGCATGATATTCAAAGATGATGAAATGGATAAGGAAGCAGAAAAGCTTGGGAAACAGATTCGAATCTGTTGTTTGGAGATGGTGGAAAAGTGGCATTTCAAGTTAGCATTTGAGGAAAAACACTGCAATGGAGATGATTTCCTAGGGTTACTCATGAAAGATGACATTGATTCGGAAGCGACTAATAAGATTCCAACTGAAGAAACAATCAGTCACTTCAAGGTTATTTACAGTGCAGGACAGGCAAAAACATCAGTTTTGCTCTCATGGACAATGCTTCTGCTAGCCAGTCACGCAGATTGGCAAGAAAAAGCCCGGGAGGAGGTCATCAGGTTGTTTGGTCAGGAAACTCCAAACTCAGAAGGGATCTCAAGATTAAAAACGGTAATGCTCAGCAATAAGCAGAATCTTTCAGCATTTTTGGCCTTCACTGTTTGGCTAGACCTCTATTTAGGACACTTGTATATTGGAAGTTTGAAATTCTCCAAAAAACCAGCTAAAGTTTCTTTGTTCAACTTGATGCAGATGAGCATGATCATAAATGAATCTTTAAGACTATATCCACCCATTGTTAATGCAGGAAGAAAGGCGAAGAAAGGGACAACATTGGGGAAGCTCATTCTTCCTGCAAACATTGATGTCCATGTTCCCATATTAGCAATTCACCATGATCCCAAACTATGGGGAAAAGATGCACACGTTTTCAATCCAGAAAGATTCTCAAATGGGGTTTCTGCTGCAACTAAGGATGATCCAGCAGCATTTTTGCCATTTGGTCTAGGCCGTCAAACTTGTGTTGGAGCAGATGTTGCATCTATTGAAGCCAAGATCACACTCTCAATGATATTGCAACGCTATTCTTTTACACTTTCTCCAAATTATGTACACTCCCCGATCGACAGTCTGCTCCTCTGGCCTCAGCATGGAATTCAAGTTATTTTCCAGGCGCTCTAATGTTACTGGTTATAAACACTTGCATATTGTACGAAGATAGTAAAATTTTATGGATCTTATACGCAATTTGTGACCCTGAAATAAGCATCTGAGCTTCACAAAATTTAGTTTCCAGAAGCAGCAAAAAATTAAGAATATGCTGTCAACTTGGACAAAGTCGCTCAAACAGACAAATTTCCTCCATAAAACATGTCAGAACCAAGACCAACAGTTGATCAGAAACCTAGGTTTTGGGACAGGACGGCCTTTCCTAGGATCCAATTCGTCTTATCTAATCCCGTCAAATATTGTGATAAATTAGGCAGAGTACCATAGTTTCTTCTCTGAGTTAATCTCTGAGAGTACAGAAGGCAGTGGTTTTTGTTGGAAACCATGGCATTTTTATCCTCCATTTTTCTCTGCTTCTTCATACTTGTTCTTGTAAGAATCATATACAAGTGTTTATGGGCTCCAATCCGCCTGCAATACCTGATGAGTTCCCAAGGAATCAAAGGGCCTCCTTACAAGTTCATATACGGAAACACGAAGGAAATCTTCAACATGAAAACGAAATCTATGAGTAGCCCCATGGACCTTTCACATGACTTATTACCAAGAATTCAGCCTCACATTCATACATGGAGGAAATTATATGGTATCAATGTTTTGTTCCTGTTCTTGTAGACACTATTAATTTGATTTCTGATGTCATCATCACTTACTACTTACTTTTTCTATGAAATCTGGAAACTTTCCTGATAAAATGGCATTAGCCATTGAAATGAATACACTGCTTACTTGTTTTACATCCTATGCTAAATGAAGGTAAGAACTTCCTAATCTGGGGTGGTATTGATCCTCAACTGGTTATCACTGAACCTGAGCTGATCAGAGAAATCTTTAGCAACAAAGTTGGCGCCTACAGAAAACCTAAATTTGACAACTTTGTGAAGAAACTCTTAGGTGATGGGCTCGTTGCAACAGAAGATCTCGATAAATGGTTGAAGCTCAGAAAGCTGGCAAACCATGCTTTCCATGCGGAGAGCTTAAAAGTGAGCATAAAGATGGAATTTAGCAGACAGATGTCTGATTATCTTAGTTTCAATGCATCGCTAACATACCCTTTATCCAGGAAATGATTCCAGCAATGATCGAAAGCATGGAACCTGTGCTTGAAAAATGGAGGACACTCAAAGGGAAGGAAATAGATGTATATGAAGAATTCAGGCACTTGACATCAGAGATTATATCCAGGACAGCTTTCGGAAGCAGTTACTTAGAAGGGAAGAACATATTTGACATGATGACGCAGCTCGGCTTCTACATTTTCAAAAATGATGGTAAAGTTAGATTCTTTAAGGACAGGTATGCTTTGCTCTTGCTCAGATTTTAACATAACAGTAACACATCCAAATTTCACAACACTCATCAATCATCAGCTATGTTTCATAATGCAGAAAATATTTTCAAACAGCTGATGAGATTGAGTCGGATAAAATCGAACAGTCACTACGAGAAACCATCATGTCAATTGTAAAGAAAAGAGAAGATGGAGTTAAGATGGCCAAGACAGATGATTTTGGGAGGGATTTTCTTGGATCCCTGCTGAAAGTTCACCATGCAGCAGAAATAAAAAGCAGGATTTCGGTAGATAACATTGTTGATGAATGCAAGACATTCTACCTTGCGGGCCATGAAACAATCAGTTCTGCCCTCACTTGGACCGTTCTACTATTGGCAATTCACACAGATTGGCAAGAGAAGGCAAGAAAAGAAGTGTTTGAAGTTTACGGCCAAGAAAATCCAAAAGCAGAATGCATTCCTAAACTGAAAAACGTAAGTTACATAACCAAAAATAAGACCGAACTTGTTATATGCTGCTGTATATATATGATACTAACTTTACCATGCTTCTTACCAGTTAACGATGATCATCAATGAAACTCTGCGGCTATATTCCCCGGTACACTTGTTCATTAGAAAGGTCGCAAAAGAAGTGAAACTTGGAGAGCTTAAACTTCCTGCTGGTATTGATGTGCACATTCCAACATATGCGCTGCATTGCAATCCAGAAATATGGGGAACAGATTCACTTCTTTTCAAGCCGGAGAGATTTGAAGAAGGGGTGGCTAAAGCAACAAATTATAACACAACAGCTTTTCTTCCCTTTGGCTATGGTCCCAGGACCTGTGTGGGACTGAATTTCGCCACCAATGAAGTCAAGATAGCACTTTCAATGATCTTGCAACGTTACACGTTCAAACTTTCTTCCAGCTACATCCATTCCCCTATACCAGTTCTCACTGTTCGCCCTCAACAAGGACTTCCAATTGTGTTCCATCCACTCTAATACACATGAGCGTCTAACAACTTAATTCCCTGGAACAAAGCGCAAACATCTTAAAACAGAAGTAGGAATGCGGTTTCTTGCACAAGGGATTCCAAGGTTAAATCGAGATTAACTCGTCGAGTCTGGACATGAGGACTATTCCAGAATTTCTTTTCAGAAAACATTCTGGAAAAAAGTAGCATCCTTTGTTTCTTTACTTATATTTGATAGATACCTCCTCCATGTATTAATTACAAGAAATAAATTGATCGAAATAACACCCGTGAATAATGTAAGCCAATGCCTAAACAAAACTAAGTTACAGATTGCATATGGTGCTTCAGAAAATTAATCTGCTCTACGCTGTACGATCCAGAGGCTGGATCAGTCCAAAGCTCCCGGCTTCTCTCCTAAGAAGCCTGAAAAGCATGGATCTAATCTATACCATTCCTAAATATCAAGCAAAAACCTCAATAACTGTGCATCAGAGAATACACAAACTAAATGTTCACACTGGCAGCAAAAATTTCTCCTTCATACGTGCTATAAGCTTAAATTTCTCCTCAGCCTCGACCTGTTGTCGAATATCAGACCTTGAAGCTCGATCCGGATGAAAAGTCAGTAAAGCTTTTTTGTAGGCCAAGCGGACCTGAAATATTTTCTCTCTTTCAGCAACAAAATTTAAACTAAAACAAATTGTGAGTCACAAAAAAGAATTACATAATCACATTATGGATATCCTGAATGTGAAAAAAAAAAAAGAAAAAGAAAAAGAAAGAATCTGATAAGATGTCTCATTAAGTAATAATTTCAGTTTTGGTGGTCAACTCTCATGATAGTGTTATCATTACTTAACCCTACTACTCTTATATAAACCAACGATAGCTAAATGCAAATTCCAGTAAAGGAATTACATTTTATAACCTAGCCTGTGCAACAACTAGTATGCACAAAGATGCCTGGTCTGATACTGAAAACTCCTTTGAAATATTCACCTCAATCACAAAATCACAAGAATAATATTAACCGAACAAGAAATCATTCAAACACTCAAATCCCCCCCTAGACACCCTCCCCCCAACCCCGGCACCAAAATCACAAAACTACAATAAGTGAACAATTTCAATACAGTAAGAAAAGATTCATGCATAGATGAAACCAACATATAAATCAGACATCATGGTTTCAGCAGATCAGGTGATCCCTAGCATAAGCAGAGAAACAAGTAAAACAAAACTCACTTGACTCGCGGGTGGAATTGGCCCAGCATCAAGAACTCCCAGGCCTTGCAACAGTGATGCCATACTGTAACATGATTTTTCTAGTTGATTAAGCTCTTTTCTGACAGAAACACGTATAACCTCCTTCAAATTCATATCCTCCACATCCTAAAAAGGTAGGAAAACATGATTCCTCAAGAAGCTAAGTGATTGATCGTTCACAGATGAAAAATTAACTAATTTGTGGAAGCGTCGTCAAAGAAAACGATAGAAATGAAAATGACTACTTCATGCGGTGGTAATGGTCCTTTGTGAATCAGACACAAGATTTACCGTGATTTACCGTACCTTCTTTTGAGTTTCTCTTATTTCTTCTATTCGCTGTTTCTGCCTTCTCTCCATGTCTAGCAAGCGCATAGTTTCTGCTTTCTCTCTCTTCAGCAACCGCCGCATGTTTTGTGCTTCTTCAGCCTGCAAAAGAGAAGAGGATGGTAATGAGATATTTTGTGCATAAAAAAGGCAACAAATAATAAGAATAGTAAAAGGAGAAACAGGGCTATCATTTCAGCCAAACTCAGAACTTCTGAACGAAAAAATTAAAATAAAAGGCAATTTGACAAAGAATAACTTATGGCACACCTGAGCCCGCAAAGCTTGTTGCCTAGAAGCCAATTCTTCCTCTAGTGCTTTCTTGTATTCATCGGTTTCTTTTAACTTTTCCCTTTCACCCATGATGGATCCCTCAGAGTCATCTTCATCGTCCAATTGATCGCCTAAACTCATTCTGCTGTTTGAATCCGATTCTGGAGGACCTTCATTTGCATACTGAGGGTCACCTTTTCTCTCATCCGCGGTGTTGTAGCTTGCACCATACTTCTCTTTTCGAATTGGATGAGCTGTGGCAGGTTCCGTTTCATTATCATTCCGCTTCATAAAAATATATTCTTCATGTTGATCATGTGGAGTGTCACCTTTTCTGTCATCCACATACTTCTCTTTTCGAGTTGGATGAGCTGTGGCAGGTTCCGCTTCATTATCATTCCGCTTCATAAAAATATATTCTTCATGTTGATAATGTGGAGGGTCACCTTTTCTGTCATCCACGGTGTTGTAGCTTGCACAATACTTCTCTTTTCGAATTGGATGAGCTGTGGCAGGTTCTGATTCATTATCATTCCCCATAAAAATATATTCTTCATGTTGATCATGTGGAGTGTAACCTTTTCTGTCATCCACGGTGTTGTAGCTTGCACCATACTTCTCTTTTCGAATTGGATGAGCTGTGGCAGGTTCCGTTTCATTATCATTCCCCATAAAAATATATTCTTCATGCTGATCATGTACACTAGCATTAACATTTTCATGACCTTTGCTTTCAGGGTGTCCAGTACCAGACTGACCATTGCGAGTATCATTTTTTCTTCTCCAAAAAGCTTTCTCCCACTGCTCGCGAACACTCAAGGAATCTACCACCAAGTCACAATCAATATAATCTCTGTCGGATGTGCCTTTTCCAGAATAAGTTCGTTTCCCTTTAGCCAATTTTACGGGAGAGACGTAAATAAATTCATAATCATCGGCAACAGCATGTGAGGACCTTCCGACTTGGCCAGATGCATGCCGAGAGTTCTTACTAGTAGAGGCACCATTATTCAGATTCCCATCAACTTGCATACCAGTTTGAGCATTATTACTATCAAAATTTTCATCATCATCCAGACAGATAACAGTTGCCAGAGAACCGTTTTTGTTTTTAATTGACAATCTTGAACTACGATGCTTTTTTGGCAGCGATTCCGGAACATCAATAATTACCACACCGTCAAAACCCTCGTTGTCAACATCATCAATGAAAACAATGTCATCATCTCCGCCATTTCTACCCATTCTATTCCTGCTCCTTCTCAGTGTCTTTGCCCCAGTACGAGGCCTGGGTTGAGAGGATTCTACTGATCCCCTGCTCATCTTCCCCTACATGCACCAAACCAAAGCAAACAATCCAATCAGAGACAGTAACAAACCACCTCTTTTCTACCAATTGATACAAAAATCGCGGACGAAAGGGAGTCGCTTCAAGTGAATTTCAATAACACCTAAATATCCACATTCAATTTCTAAGCAGTTCAGTATAAAACTCAGGGTATCCTCTTAAGAATGATTCAAACAAATTTACAGCCACATAACGAAACAAAGGCAAGTACACATGAAATCATACAGTCGGCACAAAGCTAACGAACAATTAAGGATTTAGAATTACCCAGCTAAATAGATATGCTCCACAACTATACACAGATAAACAAAGACGTCAGCCCATCAATGGAGTAGAAATGAGAGAACCCAAATCAGAATTAACAAACGACACATAAAGGGGGAAAAACCCTAAATTAAAACCCAACTCAATATAGAAGGGAAACAGAAAAAGAAAAAGATCAGTTCTTTGAGCAAAAAAAATCACCTGCAACGCAAAATTGGGGAAACCCTCGTCACGGCAGAATCAATTGATCCCAAAGAGTGCGAAATCACGGCATTCACACCAAAACTAAATTAAATTAAAACTGGAGGATGGAGCAAGTCGGGGATGGCACGACGGGGTTAGGGATTTACGAAATTTTTGAAAAAGCTCCCAGAAGTGGTTCCGTTGAAAATTAAAAGGGAAAACAGTGACGGAATTTGCAATTTCGCAGAATATTTTGCCAGCGGGATGACGAGGGGTAGAATGGTCTGAAGAATCAACCTGACGTACTAATTTGGTAAGTTTTGTTTCATCCAGAGTTGTTCGTGATTGGAATATTCTAGACCTTCTGTCTGAACATATTCACGACTTCAATGAGTTTTACAGTTTTTAACCCGACTTGGAATTGCTTTAAAAAAAAAAAACAATAAAATAAAATTCAATCAATCTGCAGTTTGCGAACCTCATCAATGTTGTGATACATCTTATAAAAACGAACTATAATAACTCACAGCGCTATTACTAATGACAAAAATTGTAATAGGTTAGTAGAAGAAATATGTAAATTGCCTAATAATAATTTTTATAATTATTATCGACAAGATTTAAACCTCTTTCCCAAATGTCTAATAACTCTGTTTGGAAGATTTTCTTGATGGTTTTTTCAAAATAATTAAATAATAACTGTCTCATCTCAGCATAATTTTTTACATTTTCAATACACTTTTTTATATTCCCAATACAAAAAGTACCTAAAAACACACACTGAAAAAACGATCCAAACATAGCTATTCATTCTATTCATTGGTCTTTTGCAGGAAACAAATCTTATTGATTTATTCGATTTGATAATTCCTATCTACTCAAAATTTTGGTTTGGATTCAACTATAAGATACATTTATTTATTAAAAAAAATTAAAAAAAAAAAAAGAAGAAGATACAAAATGCATTTCCAAAGACCAATAAGATACAAAAGGGTTTGGGTTTCTTAAATTTGGCGGCCCCAAAAGTCCAAAACCATTGGCTAAGTGCTAACTATTATATTATTTTTCTTCTTCTTCTTTTTTAACTAGTTATCATATTATTTTCATCTAATATAAGAATTTTGTTTTGTCATATTATTTCAGACTTTCAGTTCAAGAAATAAAAATATTCTTGGGGTTTAACCATTTGAGACAGAAGAAATAATAATTACTAAAAATAGTCTGAAGTGTTCCGTTGGTCCAACTGTAGTAAGGTTCCTAATAATTAATCATATTATCAATAATATAAGAAAGAAAAGCATTCTCTCCATTTTGTCTATACCTTTTTTTTTTATTATAAACATTTTATCAATACTCCACTTTTGGTTTTATAGAATTACTTTCGTTCCTCGGTAGCTCTAGTAAATTTCCTTTAATTGGGCTACAGGAGAAAGAAATTATGGGTTGATTCTTTAAAACATTTTTTTTTGGGCCAAACCCAGTTGGGTCTTCCTATAAATGGACAGTTGGGCCAACATTATTCTTGTTGGTACCATATCGAACTTCGATGTTTACTTTTTTTTTTTTTTTTTTGTGAAAAGTCAATTTAGTTACTCCATGGAATTGATATTAGTTAAAATGGAACCCAGATACGCTCCGGTGAAGAACTTGTCACTCTTGGTAACGGTAAACATTTTGCAGAGAAAACATGTACTTTCTCTGCCTTAAAATGATTCAGTTTGGATTTCTATCTTTAATACAATTTGAATCAAAAATAGAAATCTAAACTGGATAATAATTTTGGAACGGAAATGAATATTTTTTTTAACGGATAGCTCAAGTGAGAATCGAACTCTCGACCTCCTGATAAAACCATCCTCGTCCTAATTCCCTAATCATCTCACGCAACCCTCCAAAAAGCAGAATTCTTGCAATGATGAACTTTATACAAGTTCCTATCTTTGATAACAATGACAACAACGATGACTAACAGCATCAAACATTTTTTGACAAATTCGAATAACACACCCTTTGCTCAATGTACAGAGTACTGGTTTGAATTACCACAACTTGCATTAACACACAAAACCAAAAAAACTTTCAATCCATCCCTCCTGGTTGGAGCAAGGAAGGCAACACTAATGGAGACAGAAGAGGGATAGGATCTTTACTATACTGATGATAACCATAAGTACTATTACTACCAAATGTACTATTGCTACCATTAGAAGGTGTTGCTGATACAGAGTACTCTGTTGTGGATGAATTTGCTGATGCAGCCGCCTTCTTTCGCTCCGTCGAGCAAATGCTAGCACCCGGAGGCGGTTTAACTTGAAGAGGCCGCGGCGCGCGCCTTTGTAGCCGACTCAGCCTTCGTATCTTCATGAATTCATCTCTTTCATCAGGAACCATGATTTGGAATCCTGGAAACTGATCATCATTCATCATCCCTTCACATCCCTCCATTTCTTTCTTCTTCTTCTTTTTTTTTCCCTATCTGTTTCTTTGCTGTTTTCAGCTACCTACAGTGCTCAAGTAGTAGTAGAATACTTATATATGCCATAGGACTATTGACTGAAGAAGAAGCTAATTAGGCAAATGATCTTTGATAACACACTTTTAGCTAACTTGGGAAATAGAACCCTCTATAGATTTGTTTTTGTTTTCTTGATTTGGATTTTTGAGAGTTGTCTCGGTCTTCCTCAATTGTCTCCCCCATGCAACCATGATCAGTATCCAATGATGCTACAAAGTTTAATCAGATTTGGAACGTGGTTTTCCAGCCTGTTTGGCCCACTCCCTGAGGGGTTTTTTTTCTTTTTTTGAATTTTTTTTTAATAATACATCATTGGAAATCAATATTGTAATCTGTGGTACATAAACCACGAATCTAGCTATGTTTTTTTCTCTTTGCAAAATAATCTAATCTCAAAGTGAAACTAATTAAACCCTTTAACCTGCAGCCATATGCACGTGGCCTGTGGGTGTATTATGCTCTATAATTTTTTTAAATTTTTTATTTTTTTTGGTATCAAAAGATCGAATGTCATGTGAAACAAAGGGAATCTGGTCATGCCATCAAATAAATGTTTTCGACGGTTCTATAATCTTCCAATTAAATTAAATGGACTGAAGATCAGAACCTTGCACATGACAAATAGTCTCACTCATTTAATCTCTGCCAATCTTTTGCCGTTGTTGGCTACTTGGCTCCATGTAGATTCTTTTCCACTTATGGTCAACAAAGGACGAATAATCATGGGCTACAAACGTCTCAAAACAAAATTACTTTTTCTCCACCTAAAAATGATTATCGTGTTTATTATGCAATTTTAGTATACCTATTGCATAAAAAGTACAAGCAAAATTAGGTCATGTATATAAGGTTTTTGAGCTTGTTTGGGGGAACTGTTGGAAGGAAATTAGTTGTGTGTCTAAGTGTCAACAATGGAGCAATAATTTCACATATATAAAAGTCATAGAATATCTTTTCCATACAATTACAAACACCTAATCTATTACATGTGGGTGAGTTCTATGGAGGAGGTGATAATATTATTAAAGAAAGACTCCACACGACGGATGCCTCAACATTAAAAATGTTGTTAGTGGGGTTTGAACCCAGGTCTCTCAGGTGTGATGCCAAAGCCCCAACCAATTGGGCTACCCCTGTGTTAGCAAGTGATAGAATATCGACTTCAATAGGTCGGAATGTTGACTCTATATATATTTGACTAGTCCAAGAAAATAATTGCGGTTTTGTGATGTCGTTTTGCGGCTGGTCGGCAATCGGTTTCTTTCAAGTACAACGGGAACTAGTTTAGACAAATTTCAAACACTTAAAACTTGTAGTTTCCTTCAATCTTGTAAGGATCCTTGATAAAGCTTTTAAGTGACATTCAAGTATTATTATGAGAAGAATTCTGTTACAATTTGTGTAGGATTTTATAATTGATCACAAAAGATTGAGTCAGTCGGATATTTAAATTGACAATTGTTATCATAACATTTAAACTTAAAATTAAAATCTCGTCAGGCGATCCCTAAGCATTTGAAAGGAGAAACATATCAAAGTTTTTAGACATTATTGCATAGTTTAAGTTAGATACACATATCCATTTTTTTTTTTTTCTCAAGATCATTTGATTTAGCTAAGCCCCCTCAAAAGTGCAAAAGAAGTAATACTGTTGATGATGATTTCAAGATGAACCACTTTATCCATCTCTATAGTCTATTCCACTAGTGCCACCTCTGTCTGATGTGGCACCACATGTATGAACAAGCCAAGTGGCAGCGCCCCAGATCATCATCCATCTTTGAACATCAGCCAAAAATATTGTTTTAAAAATATTGAAAAGGATGCAAAGATTTAGCCAAATCCATAAAAGAAAGAAACATGTAATTGAACTTGGAAAAAAAGAAAATAGACAATTGATGGTGAGTGAAGGGCCCTTTTATGATTAGCGGAGGACCCTTATATTCGAAGGAACAAACTAGCTAGTAGCAATTTTGTATACATTTTTATTTTTTTTTTTTGGATTGGATTAGAGGAAATTGTAGTAAGCACATTATGATTCATTCTTTTTTCATTTATATTTATTTATTTTTGCAATTTTCCCATCATTTTCCTGTTCTTGTTCTTTTTTAACGAAGCTCCGCATCACTTTATTACTATTGGTCCAATAAGATGGATTTAGATTTGCTTTTTTTTTTTGATTTCTTGTCCTTTTGTATTTGCGACCCCATTTCCTCGCCAAAAGGCCACAAAGAAGGTTGGGAGACTACCTCATTATTACTTTTAATAAAGAGAATCAACTTCACCAATTGGAATTGCTCACCAATTAGTATTCCCTTCGTCCCATAGTTATTGTCCAGTTTGAGTTTTCATTTTTTGTTCAAATTATATTAAAAATGAAATCTCAAACTGAACCATAATTTTAGGACAGGGGGAGTATCTCCTTTTCATCGAATAAGTTCTTTGAAGTTTTAGACTTTACCTTCTTTCATTATACCCAACGGAAGAGAAGATGAGCAAAAAATAATATGGTTATATGAACATTTTTGAAGTGGTAACTATCTTGTAAATGGTAAAGTTTCTCTTCAAGGACTAGTAGATTTGAAGAATACAACTAAAGAAGAAGAGTTGATCAAACTAACAAACTAAACCTTATTCAATGTCTCAAACTCAATCAATGCGTTTCTAATGTGAAAGTCAGCTCAATCTCAAACATTTCTAAATCAGTTGTATCTGATCTCCCGGGAAAGGTCTCATTCCAAGTCAATGCTAAGCTCTCAAACAGTGGAAAACTGCCGAATTATTTTATGGTTAACCTTAGCAGTTTTCATCCAAATCAAACCCAATCATGTCCGAAGTTTCCTTAGTTGCAGACGAGGTTTTGTTTGACCCTTTCCAATGGTTTATCATCTCAACTTCAACATCATGCAGAAGCGTTGAAGAATCGGGTCAAACATATGGTTTAGTCTTGCGTTGTTGTTCTGGGTCTGACCTAGAACATAGGAAGGCAATTTCATGCAAGTTGACTAATTATGCCATCAAGTTGTGCCATAGAAGCAGATACTTTGAACTCTGTACATTAGGATTCACTTCTGAGACTGAGTTCTTGCGTCAAAATCACAAGATCAGTTCCATCTCAGCTGTCATCAATCCAACTTCACATTGGATGCATGAAATCCAAGAACAGGACTAAAAGGAACTAACTGGGAATATTTACAAATGGTAGGCTAATCCGAATTAATCTTAAACACCCTTTTCCAATCTCTAGACAAAGCTATATAGGGCACTACTGCCTTACCTATGGAGATCAATGAACCCAAAAGATGGGTTGTAGACTAAGGAATATACATCAGCAGCGCGTGCAGTTTGTCTCTACTCAAGAGTATGATCTAACCAAACCGAAATTGACAAAGGATCTGGACTTAAAGAGACCGCCAAAGAGGAATCTTGTCGGAGATTCTTGTTGTGACTGATTCGATTCTTCAGGCGAACCCTTAACGCTTAGTATAGTTTGTCCGATTGTTTGCCGGATGGAGTCGATAATCTTAGCATCCACAGGATATCCTGAAGAGTCACGGACATAAAATGTATTGAAAGCTTTCCCTTCTTTGGTTGCGACTTCTGCTCTCGTGACAGTGAGGCTATTCTCCCGAAAAATCCGAGTAACATCAGATAGAAGTCCAACTCGGTCAGTAGTACACAATTCGAGTTTCAACCCCTGAACAAAGAACCAAGAAAGCAGCTGTCACAACTCAAGATCATATAAATACCATTCCCAAAAAGCAGAGGTAAAATAAAGCAGAACAAAGAATGCAGCATTGTTCTTTTCTGATTGGAGGCAACTTATTTATGCACAGGTATGCCCAAATTCTTACATGACATGCACAAAAGATAATCGTCCTCTTAATAAAGAAGACATGAAAAGTAGTAACACGAATACAAGGAGTAAATGAGGAGCATCTCAATAAAAGAAATACATAAGAACACACACACACACCCCAAAGTTCATTGAGCGAGTCAGAACCTGATTTAAGATATAGTCTTACGAAATTCATAATCATAAACAGAACCCCTAAACCTAATGAACCATCTTACAAGTAGGCATAACACTCAAACTAATGGTCTTAAGGAGTTACCTCAGATACTCGTCTCACAATCGCTGCTTCAAGACAATGGATGACTCTCTCCCTCTCTGCATCCGATTTCACTGGTGATCCGTCTACATGTCTTATGCAGTATTCCTTCAAAAGAAAAAGAAAATCGTGGATGAACCAAAAAAGATTAGAACTCTGAAGCAGACAAATAAATAAATTTTGAATTCTCCAAAAGTATATGGTTTACAAACATAACTAACAAAAGGTTCATCTACCTGATAAGCTTGTGGCCCCTCAGCATCAACATTTCCATGAAAAACAACGTACTGCATGTCCGTCAATGTACAAATGATATCAAACAAGAGTTTTGGCCTGTCCTTGCAGCGAATGGTAACTACAGAATAGTCTTTATCTTGCCAATTAACCACATTGACATTAGGCCTCTCTTTCTCATCTAGAGAATCATCAACAGAGCGTTCATAGTCGCGGTCAGCAAACATCATCTGGTGAAGCCTTCTGTCAGTGTGTGTGAGTCCATGTGAAACAACAGTCTTAGGCTCCCTGTATTTGTTGCTGCCCTTAAGCACATTACACAATAGCCGGTTAATCAAAGCCAGCCTCTGAGGGTCAGTAATGGCAGCCCTAGTTTCTTCATCAGTTACTCGCATTACAGCTGCAGCTCGGGTGTTGTGGGTCCAAACTTCAGCATTCACCACATTGCATTTTAGGTTGGTGAGGACAGCACTCACTTCAGAGAGTAGACCCGGTCTGTCACTTCCAATTAACTCAATTGAGGTGTGGTCCATTGCAGGTACAACCCCAACAGATCTTCTCATAGAGGAGGCAAAACAAGAATCTGGACCAAGTGACTGAAAAGAACACACGGAAATGAGTTGGATTTGCCTTTGACAATAAATGCAAAAGAAGAAGTTTCTGATTGCAAGTCACATTGGTTTACAACTCACCTTCTGAATGTAGTCTAGTACCCCTTCATCAGTTATCTTGTTCCCATGTTGATCAGTAACATTGAAGACTGCAAAAAAAGTGCCCGACATTTCAACTTTTACTCCGACAAGTAACAGTGAAAAATAAGCAAGCAATAATGAAAAAGGAAATTATTTTACCATCCATAAACCATCCTCCATCTGAGCAGATATAAGCCTTCGTAATCATAAGGTTGAGGTCAGTTAGGACTTGTACAACCTCAAGAAGTATACCATGTTTGTTTGCACTGTCCACCTGCATCAAATGACAGAAAAATTTAGATTAATAAAACAAACTCAAAACAACCAAATTACACAGAATACAAGCCAAAGGGACTGAAGCAAAAGATTTACCTGTATAACTGTAGCATTCTTGCAAGATTCATTATCAACAACAACTCTGGGTGGATTCATTCTTTTGATAAATTTTTCATACTCATCATCCATGGTACTGGAATAGCTCACTGAGGCTTCTGCAGAGAAAAAAAAAACACAAAAAAAAAGCTTTTAGTCAAGGCCAAAAATGCGAAACATCATAAAAGATACGCAAAATCACTATTACCCAATCACAAAGAAGAGACCAGAAACCATGAGTGTGAAACAAGTAATCCAGATTATGTTTTTAAAATTGGATTGGGAAACAAAGAATTAAGAATATTAAAAAAGCGACCCATTATTAAGAAGAAGAAGACTTGAATGTGGGACTATAGAATAACTAAAAATATCAAGGAGGCCAATTAAAGAAGCATTCCTCATTAGCCGCCCTCAGAAAGGTTCTCATGCCCCTTGTCTGTGTGGGGTGAGAATGGTGGGACACTCTGTTTCTCTCTCAGAAAAAACCTATTACCCCATCAAAAGCCATTAAAACACAACCCTTGAGGATTTGTCAGCATATACAACTGTCACACATTAACATAACAAAAAAAAAAACAGCATAACTGTGTGAAAAGGAGAAAGAACCAACCACTGTAATTCAGGAACTGGACAGACCAGACATATGTAACAAAGAATCAAAAATCACAATTTTGTGTGTGCACCTACAAAACAACTAACAACCCCCTCCCCACACAAATCCCACAATCAAAAAGCAAACAGACTTAGCAAACTACAGGGAATTCCAGAAATTGAAGAAGTAGAAGAATAGCATCACTTTTGAGAATCAAAAAGAAAAACCAAGATGGAGTAACAAAGAAAATAACTCCAAACCACATGAAATTATTGGTGAAAAACTCGGAAATGTGACACATACCCATTACAATTCTCAAGGAGTTATGATCTTCTACCAACTGTTATCTCAATTTCTCACAACTGGGCACCCCCAAAAAGAAGAAGTGTAAAGTTTGGGAAACAGAACTCCAGAGTTTCGGTAGAGTAAGAAAATCTTCACCACCCAAGACCACCTTCTTATACACAGAATCACCAGAATATTATACTATAAATTATGGTAATGATTCTATCACCTAAAATAACCCACAGGGGGGAAAAAGGACTAGCCCGGATAAAAACAACCCCTTTGGACACGAAACTCTATCAACCCTCTGGAACTCTCTAAAATTTATACCAAAAACTCACACACACACACACACACACTCATCTTCTGAATTTAAAACAGAAAAAAGAATCCCTTTCTTCCAATTTGGTGGAGATTCTTATACTATATATATCTATATATGGAGAATTGTATTCGTGGATTGGTGAGTGTGAAAATGGAAGTCTTTCAGGAAACTTTTGGTTGGGTTTCTTATTTCTAATTTTCAGTTGCTCTTCTTCGGAAAAATTCGGGGTGCTGTACTTATAAAAGAGAAGAAAAAAAATAAAAGGTCTCCCAAAATTATGAAAATCAATTTGGGTGAGAGCGCATTTTAGCAACGTCCTTGGCGGTTAAGATGTTTCTAGCGCGTGGGTCTACACTAACGTGCGCTAATTGGAATTTTTTTATATTTTTAAAAAGTTTTTTTTTTTTTTGGTAGGAATAAATAAATTACGGAACACGTGCCGCAACGGGGAAGAGTTAAATCTCCAGCGTTCGCGGAAGGGTCATATAGAGTCATAACAACCAAAAATAAATAAATCAATGAAATAATTTCTAAATTAGGATGTTATTAGGAGGATTAAATAAAATATAAAGCCTAGCTAGTATTTAAAAAAATTTATTTAGGAAACATATACACATGAAAACAGGAAGGAAAAAGATGTGTGTGTCTTTGCTACAAAATTCAGTCATAGTTTTAGGAATGGTGATGCGTTATTTAAGAAATTGTGTATAAAAATTGTCCCTTCACCGATTATGTTAACTTTTTTGTGTATTAATCGTGTCGTATAGTTAATTTCTAATGCATAACATGTGACCCATAAAATTTTGTGTCACAGTTATTACCCAATAAAAATTTAAAAAAAAAATCATTAATTGTTGAAGACCAATATCAAACTCTCAAGAAATTATTTTTTAATTGTTGTCAACTGGATTATGGCAGAATAATTGAGTTAATAATTAGGTTTTATTGACCGTTCTATATGATTTGATATGCCCTGTTCTTGTGTGAATATTTTAACCAATAATAGAGCTAATAAAGATTTGTGTTCTAGAAATCAATAAAAATGACCTCATGCAATACGATGGATGTATGACGAAAAAGTTGATTTGATAATTTGAGCTAGTGGCCTTTAATTAACTATTCCACAGTTGAAGAAATAGGAGTAGATTATATAGGGTTTTTTTTTCTTATGTGTTAACAATTTGGTCAATTATACAAAATGGTCAAGTTGGTGAATAGAAACCCTAAAACGTACTATATATATAAAAAAACCTATGGAGGTCATTTCACGGAATGATAATAAAGCTAAACAAATGGTGGTTAGTTAAAAACAAAAAAAACAAAAAAAAAAAAAACTAAAATAATTATCATGTTTGTTAAGCTGTACTTCTAATTTAGACAAATTTATTCAGTAATAGAATGAAAAAGGAAACGCTATTCATACCAATATAATCAGCTACAAAATTAAGGAGAAAAAAAAAAGAGTAGATATTCCATATTCTCAATCTCTGGACTAGTGTGAATACAACATTTTTATGTTTTTTTTTAATACAATTTCGATCGAAAATCTCATGATTGATCAAATCCAGTCTCACAAACGGTTGAGACGAGGTAAATTACTCTCGACAAAACTGAAATGACGGGTTCATGAACTAATTAAGGTGGAAAATAACAACTACCTAATTGATCTAATATATTTGGATTGTAGCTTATATCTTTATTATCTGTGTGCTACAACTTGAAAGGGAAAGAGAAACAGCTGATCACAGGGGAAGAAGAGAAAGAATGAATCTTCCTCTTTGTAGAAAGTTTAGTGCACGTCCTTCTCCCTCCGTCCCATAATTATTATCTAGTTTAAGTTTTTATTTCTAATTCAAATTGTACTAAAAGTAAAATTTTAAATTAGACATTAATTTTGAGACAGAAGGAATACTAAATAATCTAAGCTTAAAATTACGAGCACTTTGTGAGTTTGATGACATTATGGTACAAATCTAATTAGGTCATGATTTTATTTGTGGATTTATGTACCGAAGAAAACTGTTGCTATTACTGTAATTGGATCCGAAGAAATTCAAGTTGGATTCTCACCATGTCTCTCGTTCGCTTGTTACTTGAAAGTAATTTAGAATGAAACCAATTGTTCAGTTAGTTTAAGTACAGAGTGTCACATTGAGGTAGGTATAGATATCTCGTCATTTTTTTTTAAAAAAAAAGTAAATAATAACTTAAAAACAAAAGTCCAATCCAACATAATAAGGTCAAAAGAAATTTCTTGAAATTCATTGAACAAATTGGATACATCATCAGCTATTTTAATCCAACTTTTTTAAATAACTTCTATATTTAATGAGTTCTGTGCAACAGCTAGCTAGCATAATATGCGTCTAGCCTTTTTGTGTTGGTTGAATTAACAAAAATCGCAGCCATGGTGATGTTAGTTAAAGAGTAGTAGAATATATATACATGGTTCCAAAATTCACCAAAAAAAAAAAAAAAATCCAGAATGCTGGCTGCTTTGCCTTTTTCATTTCCCTCCAAACTTCCAATATTTGTCAACTAATAAATGTCCGGCCGCCACAAAAAACCGTACCCTAACAACAAATACAAATTTTCTAATTCATTATCAACGTCATTTATGATAGTCGGTAGTCCTCCGTAACATTTGCCCTTCTTTCAAAGACAGCTAATTTCTACTTATGAACAATTGTTAATGTCTAGTCGATAAACAACTTTTCTTCTCTTAATCAGATCTCGAGTCAGAACAATATTTTCATTCACCGGTAGTAAATGATGAAAGAAGACTTTTGTTCCTTCAAATAAATATATCATATTGTTAATAAGTGAAAGACACTTGTCCCACATTAGAGTTGGAAACCCAACTAACTTGATCAGCATATATACTCCATGCACTACTTCCTTCGTTGCCAATTGATTTTGAGATAGAACCGCATGTGAGATTATATGGGCCTTTAAGACAGATCGAATAAAAAAAAAATAAATTTGAACGTAATATATGTCGAATATATAACAAATTCACGATTTTTGTACCAAGAGATATTAGTGCTCCCACATGATACATTGAGAAAAAGGTTGGCAAAGAGGCAGGTAAGGAATAGTTGCCCGTCTTTGGGTCAAAAGATTGGGTGCGCAAGCTCGCTCGCACATACGCATGTCTTACGGTATATGCTAATGCTGCCTTCCACATGCTTCCTCTTCTTCTGCTTCCTCCATATTCTCTGCTCCTTTTAACCATTTTTTTTTAAAAAAAATTTCTTGTTACCATCCAAAAATGAAAATTGATCTAAATTCAGATTTTATCTTTTTCTGTCTGCAAAATATAAATTAAATTAGTCGTGGTGGGGGATAAGAGAGTAAGACACACCATGCCGATGTGTACGTGACTCATGCGTGATCTTCTTCACTTAGAATGAGAACTTCTCATGGGCGGCAGAAAATGCGATCATAAAATTGAAAAACTTGTTTTTTTTTTCCAGTTAGTCAAATTAGGCTTAGATCTTTTTTTTTGAAAAAAAAAAAAAACCACGACGTACTACCTTCGGTCCTTATTATGAGACATTCTGATTTGTCCTAAATTCACCTAATATATTTTTTTCAATTGAACAAAAAATTTTAAAATTACATGTTCATATTCATTGTATTCTCCTAATTATTATAAAATATTTTTAATTTTTTTAAATTAAATAAATATACTAGGTGAAACATAAGACAAATCAAAATGACTTATAATAAAAATCGGAGTGAGTATTATTTCTGTCCCAAAATAAGTATCATGTGTTATTTCCTGGATTCTTGATTTAGAAATTGACTGTGAAAGTTTCGTAACTGTACTTAGATTCTTAAAATCGACACATCTAAGAACGAATCTTATCACTTTTGGTTTATTCACTAGTATAATTTTAGGTAGCTAGGTAACATGGGGGTAATTGGGCATGATTAATAAAATCTGTGTAAGAAAGTTAGGATTCATGAATGTGGTTCTTTTCAAACCCATTTTTGCTGTTTTGGTGAATGGTAAAAAAAAACGAGAGTCTAACTTGTTAATTTCCGTATATGGAAACAAAAACAAGTACATAGTTCAGTTCTTTGCATAGAGCCCCTAACGATACAGTTGGTAAAAGATTCACTGGGATCTATTATAGCTAGAGTGTTTTTTCTAGGTCAAACAATGGGCAAAATCTTGACTAGTAGGAGACCTAATTTTCGGTTACTTTAATCACACTTTTGTATATAATAAAGACATTGAAGGGTACAAACAATGCCATAAAAATTAGATCATGACTAGATTCTCTTTCAGGTCTGGTTTGTACCTATCCTCCTACTCTTTTTAAAGTTTGTGAACTAACATGGATTCGGTATCATTGAGGATTAGTTGTGAATTTTCAGTCCAAAATATGAAATGTCGATTCAAGAGAAAATACGCAAGTGTTGCGAGAAAAAACAATTGCCGGCAGGTTTCAAGCATGGTAAGGGCTTTATACTTTCTTTAGTTTCTTACATATTCCTCCTGTTCCATAATTATTGTTCAGTTTGAATTTTCATTTCTAGTTCAAATTATAATAAAAATGAAATATCAAAATATACAATTATTTTGGGACAAAGGAAGTACTAATTTCAGAGTTTGAACATGAGTTCATAGAAAAATGATCTATGAGAATTTTTATCTTTGGAGAAAAGATTTCACTCTCGCATATAGAAGAATATGTGCCGGTTTAAAACGATCTCATTATTCAAATTAAATCTATTTAGAATCTTCTCCAAATAAAAAAAATAAATTTCCTTCTAAATCAGGCACAAAAGAAATGACTAGATTATGAAAAACGATAAGGTCGACATGACGAGGTGAATTGTCTATACAAAGGGCACAATGAAGAAGTTGCCCTCCGAGTCCAAGGCATTATTTCTCCATTAGAGCAGCCACGCTGTATGTGCCCTGGCGTGCAAGTTTGTTACAAAAGTCATCAATCCCATAAGACCATAATCCTTAAAGTGACGACTAATGTTGTTGTTAATTCGAGACACACATAACAAAAGTCCTGGAACTTGTCTCTGCGGCCGCCATGACCTTATACTTGAAGGGTTGCTGAAAGCTTCCCTCATCCACATTTCTAATTGGTTGTATTATTACTACTATTATTAAACGCATCATCCATTGGAGTGATTTCCTAATCAGCTATTTCGTCTTTGTCATCGTCAATCGAATGACATGCATTACCTAAGCAATCAAAAGCTGGGAAAAG